CTATCTTGCCGAGTCCTCCTCCGGAAGGCGATCCTGGCACTGATCTCACTCAGCAGCTCCTGGGGTGCGGCATGCGTTCCTGCCCTTCGCTGGCAAGAATCAAGTGCTTTACTGGATGGGAGATGAAACATGATCTGTACTCGACCATCATGGCATCCAAAGCATGCCCTCCTTACTAAGTTCGGCAGACTAGTAAGAGGGAAGTCTCACTACTAGTCATCATGATCACTTGACCGTTTGAAGGCTCAGCAGTCGTGGTGACATGCCACTGAGCCGCTGACAGTGCCGGCGGGCCGGGCGGCGAGGCTGGCGGAAACTTGAAACCGTCCCCGGACTCCCGAGCCTCTGAGGCTCGCCGGGAGCCCGGGGACGATTTGCTGCTCCGACTGAGCTTGCCATGGTGTCGGACTCGCCGTCGGGCTCCGAGTGGGGTCACCGGGTTGAACCCCGGGTTGAACTTCGGAAACGCAGAGCCGCGCAGGGCGGCGGCACTGCGGCAGGGCCCGGCCCGCCGGGCCGCCGGGCCGCGCAGTCCGAGTCGGACGATCCGGCATGATCATCGGATCGGAGAATTTATAATGAGGCTTTTCGCCCTCGTCCCCGCTAAAGCCGAACGATAACGGACGCGCCCATGGGGACGTGAAGGTGACGGAGCAGGGGATGGACGGGGAGCAAGTGGCAGGCGCAGCGGCAGGGGGAGCCCTCCTCCTCCTTCACCTCCTCCTCTTTATCCAGATCCCGATCCTTGGCCATGGGCCTCTGTGGAGCAAGCAGATCTGGGTATGCATCATCAGGAGCGTCAAGCGAGGGGATAGGAGGCCATGGAGTTGGACTCAGGTGGACGACCTCTTATATGTGTCGAGCCTCCCGCGCCAAGTCAGTGAGATAGAAGAGCTACAGGTCCAACTCGCCTCCTCCGCTCCCTCCCTCTGCGCCTGCACTCGGCTCTTGCCCGCCCTGACTGTTTCGCTCCAGAGTCCTCCACACAAGTTGAAGGCAATAGTATCGCTAGTGGAGACGTGGGAGGTACCTTTCCTGCATCCCTCTTCCAGTACAGCTGACATCATGGTCAGTTAGCAATCAGCCCAGAACAACTCCATGCTCTTGGACTAGAAAGCCTCGTCCTGCCCACTCCAGACTATTCAGCTCCTTCCATGCAGAACATCATCACGGCCGTTGAGTTCATCGACTCCCACGTGAGTGCAACTGAACAGCTCTGAGTCCCCTGACCTTGCCTTCGCTTTCCTCCTCTCCTGCTTCAGGTCTCACGGGGGCAAGGTGTGCTTGTCCACTGCAACGCCGGGAGGGGAAGGAGCGTTGTGGTCGCCATCTCCTACATGCTGATGCGACACCAGCACCAAGGGTGGACGCCTGAGGCTGTCTTCGACATGGTACCTCTCCTCTCGCGTTCTGGGACGCTGAACCTCTGACACGTGGGCAGATCAGAGCCAGGCGGGCCGTCGCCGCCATGAGAGGGCTCGGGGGTATCAAGTCGCAATGGCGTGAGTGTTGGCGAGGCGTTTGCTTGTCCCCTCACCTGCTGTCTGCAGATGCCGTGAAGAGATTCCAAAGGTATCTGAGGAGGCAGGGAGGCGTTCTGAGGACCATGGCTCGGACGGAGGCTCCTCAACAGCCCCCCGCGCAAGCATGGACAGTGGATGTCAGCAGTACAGGGGAGTGTGAAGATGCATCGAGAGCAGAGGAGAGGACGCCGCAAGAATCGGAGGATGGAGAAGAAGCTCGGGTCTTGATAGGAAGGGAGGAGGAGGGGGAGAAGGAGGCAAAGGCACAGGAGGAGGAGCAGATCGCGTTGCCTGGAGCAGCAGGAGCTGCCGCAGATTCAGACGAGAACGTCTGACGTGTATACATAGGGCAGGAGAAAGTTATGGTAACATGTATCAATGTCTTTTATTCATCGATCGGGTCTAAACTAACGACAAGAAGTAAAAGTCGAGGCTGTAAACATGGAGCTCGGCTTCAAAACTGTGAACGCCACTCCGCTCCTCCTTCCTCTCGCTTCAAACTCCCTTCTTCCCCCCATTACATTTTCATCCCCATCACGCCGACTCGTTGCTTCCAGGGGCCACGCCTGACGCATCATCGCCGGCAGAGATCATCTCGAAGAACTCCCTTTCAACCTGCAGCAAGCACATCAACCACACACTCCCTCAGGTGATGAAAGTGAACCTCCTTCAACTTTTGCTCCTCCTTTTCTTCGTCGTCTGCCTTCTTGTCTTTCGCCTGCTCTCCTCGTCAGCCACTCTCTCCCCACCTCGCACCGAGCACGACCTGCTGCTGCTCCGCCTTCTTCGCCGCAAGCCGCAGCTCCTTCGCTCTCGTCTCAAGGTTCTTCTCGCGCTTGGCCTCGCGGTCGAACATCTGAGATATAGAGATCTTCTCGCTAGATTGAGCCACCGACAGTCCCTGCGGCCGAATGAGCGTCCGACGACTGTCAGATCAGCCGGCGATGCCGCGACTCACCGCGCAGATCTCGAAGAGGGTCGTCGACCCATCCGCAGCTCCCGTCGCTATCAGGCGTCCTCGCTCCTCTACCCTGAGGGTGTGCAGGGGAATGTCCGTGACCTTGAGAAACGACGGTCACTCCCGCACACCTTCCCCTTCTTCTACAGCAAGAGGACCTGGAGGGTGAAGGTCGGATCGTTCTGCTTGAAGAAGTAGTCCCAGATATCAAGAGTTCCTGCCGTGCAGCTTCAGTATACTCTCACATTACCCTGATCACTGACCGTCCATCTTCGTGGTGAAGAAGACACCAGGTCGAGTTGGGCTCCAGCAACCGTCGGTGAGGTACGACGCATGGTACTTAGTAGTCATGATGGGAGTCTGCAGGTAGCTTCAGAAGAGGTAGGCGCGCATGACCATGGTTCTTCACCTTGAGGTCATCGTTCCAGATCCTTGCGGTCCAGTCGCCGACCGTGAGGAAGTTCTTTGGAAAGGCAGGATGGCGCTGGAGGGCGTAGATGGGGCCGTGGTGACCGGGGTAGACTGCTCCGATGCGATCACTGCAAGGACGTCACGTCACATCTGGGAGGACAGGTTCAAGTCCCCTAACCTGGGGCTCTTGGACTTGCGCTTGCAAAGCAAGACTGTCCCTTGCTCCGTTCCTACCAGGAAGTTGGTCGGGCCAGCCTGGACATCGTAGCTCAAGGTGACGCCGCCGAGTGTTGGGCCGTCCGTTCCAACCTGAGCAGCGAAGGGGGTGAGATAGAGACAAAGGAGGCCATAGAGACTGCAGGTACCTGCAGAGGCATACCCTCCGTTGGTTCTCCTAACTTTCTTATGTCCCAGAAGAAAAGCTGTCCATCGGTTGAGACCGTCGCACATTCAGTCCCCGTCTTGCTCTGCAGCCAAGCGACATCGTAAACAGGATCGCGATGCGACTTCTCGATGGGAGAAGATTCGATAGCGGCGGATCCTTTTCTGTCATCCCAATATTGCAGGAGGCCGTTGTAGCAGCCACCGATCATAAGATGAGTTTCCTTGGGGTTATACTCGATGCAAACAAGCGGAGAAGCAGGGTGAAGCTCGAGCTCAGGGTAGTTGGGGTTGTGAACATCCCAGACGTAAGAGTTCAAAGGCATTCCTTCCGGTTGCCTTTGAAATTGAAGAATTGCATATGACACCGCCACTTTTCTGCCACCGTCGGGATACCATGAGATGCAAGTTGCCGTTCGCTTGATCGTGTTGGGATCACGAAAAACCGTCAGAGTCTTGGCTGACGGAGGCTCGCCGGAGTGATCAACAGCATCGCCAACAAAGTACTCCTCGTAAATGTCGATCGCGTTGTTTTGCCTGATCAAATGCTCCAGACTCTCTCCGAGACCCTTGATAGTCCTGATGTAGTCCTCGTCTTTCTCTGTCTTCTTGATGAAACGGAGGGTCTGGTCAACCTCACTCGGATCTACATCCTTTGGCCAACCACCTGGTGGAAGTTATTGCGCACGAAAAGTGAATTCCCACAACTTCACCTTCAAGGTGTAGAACTCCCTGACTGTGCAGCTCAAACCTCTCGGTGTTGACCTTTGGATAGCGTCAGCACCACTTCACCATCGCAGGCCAGCATCCTCCTCACCTCGTGCTCGGAGAACTCAGGGATGCATTGAATGCCAACGTCCGTAGGGTTCCTCTCCACATACTCCATCATCATGTCGGGGTTGGGCAAAGTCTCGGACAGAGTATCGGCCGGCAAGTCTGTGAACTTGGGTGCCCGCCCAAAGTCCTTTCTTAATTTCTGATAAACGTAGACGATTTCCATCGTGAAATATCCTTATTGGAGAACGAAAACAGCAACACAAATCTAAGGTGGGTGTTCAGCAGATCCAAGAAGTTCTCAGCTGCACAGGTCCATGGCTCAAATGTCTGCAAACAGAATCAGATTATCAGAAACTAGTGAAATAGGTATGATCGCTGCGAATTTCATGCGGTATGTCATATGCTTGTGTTTTTGCAATACACGCTGTTTTCAACTACATCATCTATTTCACACCATGATCAGCATCAGCGGAAGCATCAACAGCATCATCACCATTGCAGTCCTCATTTTTTCATCGATGTTGCAATCATTATCGCAACATCGATATCATCAATCACGCCTCATTCGCCTTCGCCTCCACTTCCCCATCCCCTTCTTCCGCCTCCTCCTTAATTATCCTCTCCCCCTCCCAACTCCCACCAACCAACCACTCTCCTCCCTCCCTCCCTCCCTCCATCTATCCCTTCTCCTTCTCATCGTTCTCCCCTCCCTCCTCCCTCCCCCCATCCTCGCGCCTATCCTATCGTCTCCCTCCTTCCTCTGCATCCGTTGCCATCCCGCCCGTTGGCTACCCACCCCACCCCTAAGATGCTTTAGACCCTACCCTACAAGAATTCTGAAACAATCTACAGAGAAAATTAGCCTGTCACCTACCCCTTCAGTCCCACCCCACCCTCCTGTTCCCTCAGATACCTGACAAGCCGGAGCCAGTTAGTCTGAGCTGACTCCCGGCCTCGGAGCCCCGGGCCGCGCCGGGCCCGCCGCCCGCCCCGGCGCCGCCCGCCCGCCTCCGCGGCCCGGCCACCCCGGCGGTCACGGCCCGGGTCGCTGCGGGTCTGAGACGGTCAACGGCCGTAGGCTCGCCTGAAGTTATGTAGTATACTACTGGGCCCGCATACCTCCAAAAACCGTGACGGCGCCGCCGGGGCCGCCTCAGCCTGTGTGCCAGTGGTCACTGTCAACTTTGCCAGGCTATCCGATCATGGGCCGCACTGCTCAGTAGTACTAATCTGGCAATGCTCGCGGGAACCGAGGCCGCATGATCACATCACATCCTCGGAGTCCGATCGGATCCCGGAGTCCGAGTGTACCGTCTGTATCGGAGGCTTTCCGACATTCCGGCCCTGTGGGAAGCCTCCGAAGTCACCGAGTCACAGTGACGGTCACTGGCAATCGGATGCCGCCCTCCGATCACCGCCGGCGGGGCCGGCCCGGCCGCGGCGCCGAGTCCGATCACGGCGGCAGCGCCCAGGGCTCATCCGAGTCCAGGGGCTCATCGCAGGGATCATCCGACGGTCCAGGGGCTCATCTGAGAGTCGCGGGCCGGGCCGGGCCCGCCGGCCCGGCGGGCCGCGCCCGGGCTCCTGATCGGCCGGGCGGGGGAACGAGCGGGGATGAGGGCAAAGTTGTTTCGGAAATCTCAGCTCACGTGCTTGACGTCATGGTGGGTCGGCGCAAGGAGGAGCAGCTGCTGAGGCGCTCGCGGCGAACCCATGGGCTGCTGTGGTTCCTGCAGAAGTGCGCGAGACCGAGGAGGAAGCAGCAGAGGAGGGCAAGATCCGTTGTGTTGCAGGAGCGGGACGCTCCTGCTGTGTCGAGGTGTATACACCAGGCGGAATCAGGATCCTGGCAGGACGACACGGAATCGACAACATCCTTCCTCTCTGAAGCACCGACAGAACCTTCCTCTCACGAAACTCACTCTCTGAATCACAAGTTTGGTGAAGAACCCTCGGAGTCTTGTGTTCTGGGCAATGTGCGAGTGAAGTCGCGGGAAGCAGCCAAACCAAGGACTTTTGGGCACTGTGTAGCGATTGATTGCGAGATGGTCGGGGTTGGGAGAAGTAATAAGAGTGCTCTGGCAAGAGTAGCCATTGTGGATGAGAATGGATCATGTCTTCTCGATGAGTACGTGAAGCCAACTGAAAAAGTGACCAACTATCGTACACGATGGAGTGGGATTCGACCCAGGGACCTTGTGAAGGCTCCCAGCTTTCAGGACGTGCGCCAGAGGGTTGTCAACCTCATCAGAGGAAAGATTTTGGTCGGGCATGCCATCCACAATGACTTGAATGGTGAGCTGACCTGACGGTCGTTTGGTTCCTTGACTCTTAACGCAGTGCTCCACGTTTGTCACCCCCCTGGGCTGATCCGGGACACTTCATTCTACGTCGGTCTTCGCAAGGAGCTGGCTCAGGCTTGTTCTCAGGTGTTTTGGCACTTTGGTCTTGTCGTGTACCTCTCTGACTTGGTAATAGTATGACGCTTCACGGCCTCCTAGTCTAAAGCAACTCAGCCGCGATATTTTGAAGGCAGAAATTCAGGTGAGGATCGGAAATCTGATTTGTCCATGATTCAAGAGTGTCCTCCCCACACTTCAAGTGAGACTTTGCCATACTGAAATGAATTGCTCTCAAGGTGGGTGAGCACTGCCCAGTGGAGGACGCACGGTACACGATGAAGTTGTATCAGAGACACAGGCAGACGTGGGAGGATTCACTTGTTTGAGGGCGTCATGTTGTTTATGAGATAAAACCTTTCGAACTTGCAACCTTCCTTCAACAAGAATACGGACATGATTCTCGGTCATCCCTTACATCACTAGAAAAGTACATTTCGACCAGGGTAAAATTGTTGGCGACAAGTCAAAACAAGTCCATGCTGACGGAATAGGATAGGGCTAAAGAGACAAAATAACAAGTCTAAGACTCAACTGGTGATGACCTGTGCTTCTGGTTTCACTTCCTCCAGCACAGTCTCCGAATCATTGGTTTGTTCACCACTGTTCCCTTCCTCGGAATAGGCAGCATTACAACTATCCCACTCGATGAGGTATCGAGTGACTCGTGGCTCATCGGTCAAGATCAGTCGCTCCAACAGCGCAGGATCAGGACGTTCAACCTGCGGTGGCTCCTCTCGCAGCTTCTCATCAGTATAATCCACCTTGACGTAGTAACCAACCCTCAGAAACTCCTTGCCTTTGTACAGCGCCTGCACCATGACTACAGTGACACCCAAGACCTCGTCGGCAGGAATCTTGTCGGGGTTTGGACCATCGCAGATGAAATCGAAGGAGTTCAACCCGAGCTCTGGGGGGACGTCCACCTCTTCCAGAATCTGATCATGAACTTCGTTCTTTGCTGAGCCTACCCAAACGATTCTCCATGCCAAATCTGCTCAAAGCAAGGACAGGGTGTTAGACACGGGCACACCTGAGCCATTCCCACTCTAGGATAGACAGCACTGGGATCTCTACATACTCATTTCGCAACAATCGAAACAGCGGCAACTTTGCCTGCACAAAGGGGGCATTCGCAACAAACAACCCATACATCGCCCACTTCAAGAAGAACCACCAAGTTTATCACACACCTTGCTCTGGTTTGATCTTGCATTGGAAGGTGATTGAAAACTTGAGCTCGTCTGTCAAGCGCGCCCGCGGCTCCGACACCTCCACAGCGACAACATCAACGTAGGACATTTCCTCAGCTATCTCGCTCCGCCGTCAGCCTTTCAATACCTACATGTGGGTAGGGTGGTACAAAACACTGGGTACTTTTACCTCATAAAGTCTTCAAGGGGTAGGGTCAGTGGTGAATTTGGAAGGGTAGGGGGTGGGAAACCAAGGTCTGGGCTCTTCAAATTTGGCGGGAACGAGACTCGATTACCAGGAACCCGGTAAATAAAAAATACAGCAGTATGAGCGCAGAGTGAGAGCTTTCAAAGACGGTGCTCAGATCAGGCGCAGCGGCGAGGAGAGGGATGGAGGAGGAGCGAATCCTGAGTGGATGGTGAAGAGGACGGTGCTGGAAGAGGAGGAAGGGAGATCTTGAGGATGTGCGATGGGCAAACGTACAGCAGAGCCTGACTTGGAATCATCAGCTCCGTCGTCTTTCAGGATATTAGAAAGAGTTTCGGGAGAGAGAAGCTGCTATCATGCCAATCCTGACATGTAGGTCTGAGAGGAAGTAGCAACATGACAAGGATGAGCAAACAGCAGGATGTCACAACGAATACAAGATGGGCAACTAACGACCGGTGACCCGAGCAACGTTGTCTTTGCCATGCTCAACAAGTACCATTCATCTTACAAACAACATCTTCCCAGTCAATCTTCGGGGAGACAGCGTACTCCTGTCATATCCTCCATTCTCTTCCACAGCTTCAGCCTCTGGTCCTTATCATAGCACGGCCTCGAGGCTTTAGTCTCGCGCCCGCCCACAAAGTACAATCCGCTCTTCCCCTTGAGCCTGGCAGGAAGGAATCAATCCTTGTCATAGACAGACCTCCACCAACAGACTCACGAGGCGTCTGTAGCCAGGTTGAACTCGTTGTTGGCTCGCTCAACGTCGATCCCACACATCCCCCAACCCGCCAGGAGCATCTTGGTGTTAACGGTCCCAGGATCCAGCGTGTTGACAGTGACGTGCGGGTGTCGCTTCTTCATCCTCTCGGCCAACTCTATGGCGTGCATGGCGTTGCAGAGTTTCGACAGAGAGTATGACCTGAACGAGAAATCAGGCCCTTCTGAAGGAGGAGATTCTGCTGACTTCACCCATGGCTGCTGAACCCTTTCTCCATGTTGAGGTTGTCGAAGTCTATGCTGCTGCCTGGCATCATCGCCGTCACGGGTCCTGGACGACACAGATATGCACCATCATTACCTTGGCTGATGGAGGACGTGATTATGATCCTCGGCTCCTCCGCCTTGGCGACCGTGTCCATCAATAGGGTGGTAAGGAGGAATCCGGCGAGGACGTTAACTTGAAAGGTCATTTCGAAACCATCCACTGTCTTCTTCATACTCTCCTCGTAGACACCTGTATGAAGGAAGAATCAGTATCAGAGTCGGATTCATGCTGATCACAGAAACCTGCGTTGTTGATCAGAACGTCGATGCACTGGTACTTGGAGGCTATCTCGTTCCCGAGCTTACGGACATCGTCCAATCGCGCAAAATCGGCCTGGAATGATTGGAGATGGGCGTTGGGACACTTTGATTTGATGAATGCGAGTGCATCTTCGATCCTCTTCGGGTTTCTCCCATGGATGATCACTTCGTAGCCCTCTTGCGCCAACTTTAGCGCAGTGTGACGGCCGATGCCATCCGTGCTTCCAGTCACCAGGGCGATCTTGTTCAGGCTGGAGCTCATGTGAACGGACATTCGTGATGCTGTCCTGGTGGAGGAGGTTCCGGCAAGGGAAGGAGAGAAGGCTGACGCGTGCGAGAGGGCAACGAGCAAGCCTGCTGCCCGCAGCCGATGCATTACCCGCGGCGTTCTGCCTGGTGTACCGAACGGTTGCATTCCCGTTATGATATTGAGACGGTTACACATTTTGGTCAATTCGTTATTTCATACTTTTTGTACCGCCGAACGTGTAAAACCGGGTAGGGTGGACAAGGAGATGGGTAGGGTCACCAAAATACCCCCACCCCTAATATATCACATCTTTACCCACTTCTTCCTCGTCAAATCCAACCCCTTTTATCACCCCACCCCCTCAATTAGAGCACGAATCTCGATCACCTTCCTATTCTCCAACAGCCATGCTCGACATAGGCGGATTCTTGGGCGTCTTTCATGGCGGCAACGGCAACATCCCCACGCTGGATGGGCATGCTGTGCTCAACGAGCCATCTCCTGGGTGATGGATTGTTTCCTTGACTCACCAATCCTGTATCGAACTTGTCCTAGTACCATGAGTCGATTTGTGCTGCCCTGACCTCCTCTAAGTTTGCCCTCGTCTCCCCTGCGCTTTCTTGAATTGTTGAAGACTTACAATCATGGTAGGCTGCATACCGACGGTAGTAGCAACATGATTCTGAACGATAACAGTGGGACTGGGGCTGAGGGCACGGGCTCGGACGATTCTTCCTACTGCCCCTCCTCTCCGCCTTTCTCGGGCTCTCCCTGGGTGGTCCCAGCGCCCTCACATTGGTATGCCAACAGCACGGGCGTGGAAATGAATGTCTCCAAGGAGCTTGCAGTCGCACCCACAGTCGTCTTCACTAGCGACAAGGTAGGCGCTTGACTTGAAGCTTGCTCTTCCCAGTTCACCCCTCCTGCCAGGTAGCTCAGGCTGAGGAGGCTCCCCCCCGTCCGGCGAAGGAAAATGGCCAAGAATTTTCGATCCCTATTGGACTCGGATCGATCCGCTGCAAGGGCACCGGTGCAGAGCTGAAGATGTTTGAGGATTTCGCGACCAAGTTCTTCCAAGGCAGCCAGAATCAGAAGGAGGTGAAAGGCAACGGGGTCAAACCCTCGCCTGGCCATCTGGTGCTCTGCGGGAATGCCCTTGCACTTGGAGCTCTCACTGCCGTGTGGAATTGGAGTGGGAAGAAGCTGAGTGGTGAGTTCGAGGAGGACAATCAACTGGCAGATGACTTCGCATCTGTGTCCTCGGATGCTGCCAACTCGGTGAGTCCAATCGGAGGTTACATGCTACGCCAGCATGTTTTTGCGACCAAGGAGTCTGCGTAAGGTACGAGCGATCGAACAGGAGCAACTGTCAGCTCAGATCTGCGATATGAACACCCAGATGCGTCAGATATACTGTCAGGGTTGTTGTAAATTGTTTTGTGTGAATCTAGCAAGAAAAATTGAAGAAAAACAGAAGAAAAAAAACAGATCACAACTTGCTCCTTGTCATGCTATGTACAATTTTGACCGTCTCCGGACTATCTTGCCGTCAGCGGTACTCGGCCAACATACCCTTGAGGTCGGAGATGCGACCTTGCAGTTGCCCACGAGCGAGGGTCGCGGTTCTTGCGGTGGTTGACTTTCTCGATTGCAAGGGGAGGGACTAGGGTGACAGGCACTCTGATCTCCTAGAAAGCACAGCATTAGATCAGTGCAGACTAGAAGCTTTCGTTCATGGGGGATGGTACCTTCTTTGTGAAACCTGGAGTTTCTCTTTTCTTCCTCAGGTTGTGGAAGTATCGATCTTGGAACGTGTTCTCGTCCTCCAGAACCTTGTACGTTGACTTGAGGGATTGCAGAGAGCATCGGTTCAAGAATCTCTTGTACAAGCAAACTATGCGCGAGTCGGGCAGCGAAGTCTCGGCTGCTTTTCCCTCTGGGACAAGCTGCCTGGGCAAACTCGGCATGTCTATCCCCTGCGCGCTCGGTTTGATGCGTGACATCACCGAAGGAACCTCTCCGGGCCTGAGGCAGAGAGTGCCCGAGTAGATAAGATCTGAATTCTTCCTGAAGTATCTCTTCACTTGCGTGTCCTTGGTGATCATGGACGTGCGGTCATACTCCCCGCTGTCCACAGTCTTCCTGTCTCGCACTGGAGAGTAGCTTCGTCCGCCGTGCGCTTCTGCTTCTCGTTGAAAGACCGACTGGATGCGTTCGAACTGCCTGTGCCGCGTCCTGACCCGCATCAGAGCCTCCCCCTGCACTAAGTCGTTCACATCTGTGAACCTCGTAGTGAGCAACTCCATCGGAATGAAGATGAGCCTTGCATAGTTGTCTACACGAGCCGTGTCTTGATAGGTCTCCTGCTCGGTTAAAGCTTCTTCCCCTAGCATGTCGCCCTCCACTGCCTGCCCTACCTTCCACTCTTTGTCGCTGGACTTCAGCTGCCGGAAGGCATCTTTGAGGTCCAGCACTTGATCGAAGGCTCCCTTGGCTATCAGGCTCTGCTGCAGCGAGTCTACATACGCGTTGGAGCTCTTGCGGACAAAGTTCACGGATCCCTTGTGTACAAAGTAGATGCCAGACTTGTTCACAGCCTTGTTTTGATGCCACAGCACGTTGCCCCGACTGTACTCCACCTGCTGGAACCGAATCCCACTGCTCTCCGCATGTGTGATAGCATCTAGAATCCTCGACGCTGGTATTCTGCATCTCTGAAAACATGGCGTCGTTGCCAGAAACTCAGCCACTTCCAGGTGCTCGTGGTTGACCCCAAGGTAGTTCCCCCCCGCGTTCTTTCTCTTCCCCTGATCCTTGAACATGGATCGGTTTTGAGGGGGAAAGGAACGTCTGCTGGGAGGTCCGAGAGGAGGAGGGGCATGCGGAGCTTGAACGGAGACAGGGAAGGAGATACGATGGCCAAGGAAGCCCAGAGGAGGAGGAGGAGGAGGAGGAGGAGGAGAGGGACTGACGGGCCGCCTCCTGCAAGTTTCCTGCTCATCCCCATGCTGCTGGCCAGCGATCATGGTGACAACGGCAGCTACGGCCCGTGGTACGGTTGCCCAGCGCTGTGACTCCACTGAGTAACTCGGACTAAGCGGGGCCCCCGGGCCCCGGCGACTCAGTGGGCCGGCGGCCGCCGCGGGGCCGGCCGCCGCAGACGGTCACCGGGCACCAACTTCGCTTTGATCATCGCATTCAACTTTGGCACTGATGAGTATGTGCCCGGCCCCGGGGCCATCATGGCATGGCATGCTGATCGGATCTCGGTGACCAACCGTGCGGGCCGGACTCAGCCGCGGGGCCGCAGTCCGGGCCTCGCCGGCCCGGGCCGGATCACCTCACCGGGCCGCCCGGCGGGCCACTGTGACACCGTACGCCGGGTCCGATCGGACGGTCCGTGACTCTGACGGACTACACCTTAAATTGCAACAGGACAGTTTTTGCTCAAGACCGAGCCTTCAGTAATGCACACGAAACCAGAATTGAGGAGCACATGTGTATGCTAGGGCTCGTAGTAACAGCCCTGCATGAAAATCTTCTTCAGAATGGACAATCCTTGAATGGTTATCGCCCACTCAGCATGACTGTGAACTTGACGTAGTATTCATCATCGTATCTTGACTTGGAACTGCTGACATTCTCTTGTTTGTGTGACTTTCTGACGTCGGCGATGTACTTTCCTAGAAGGATGGATCACATGCCAGCCGTGCCAGTCAGATAGCGCCGAGTTGACAAAAGCTTCCAGAACCAAGGCGAATCTTACGTGTTTCAGGCGGCAATGTAGCACACGTGACGAAGAGCCTCGGAGGCCTTCCTAGCCGTCTTGCCTAAGGTCTTCTCATCAGTGTCTGGATGCTTGGGTTTCACAATTAGATGTCCGATCACCGGGGCCGTGGCACAGACGCTTGTTTACGGTGAGAGATAAGGGGAGATGCCTTGTGAGCGGGTGCAATGGAGAGAGATAGAGAATAAGGTAGGGGAGAAGGAGAGAGAAGTTTGCCCGCCGGCATTTGAAGACCAAAAGGTAAATTTTGAACCGTAAAGAACTTGTGACCAGAGATTGCTGCCGCGAGATCGGAACATTCGTTTCAAGGCATTTGCTGAGATATTGGGAGCCTTGTTCACGAGTCCATGAGTAGCTCCAGTTGATCATGTTACAGCCTAGCTCCGTGACATAACAACCTCCCGGGGGAGTTCCATTTGATCCTACCGTCACAGACCAAGAAAATAAGAATCGCATTAGCTCCAAGTCGGATCAATCAAACACATTGTGACTAACCAAACTGATAAGATTAACTTGCATGATTGAGCATGTAAACGGGGCCCATAACCGACCGGGACTACAAGTTTGTTAGACTCTTGTACTGAGTGGCAAAGTAATGCAGACATCATCATATCAACCTTAAATTGCAACAGGACAGTTTTTGCTCAAGACCGAGTTTAATGCACACGAAACCAGAATTGAGGAGCACATGGCCGAGAGATAGACTGTACACGATCTATGAAGTGGCTCCGTGCCTATGGATGTGATTGATAATGTCTTTGTCTTTCCCGGTGATGATACAAGCTACATACTTGTGAAGGGGACCAGGAAGGTGGAACAGGCTTTTGGAGGATGTCAGCGGGAATACCGTACCGGGTGAAGCAGACGGTCAGTGTCTGTGCGGTTATCTCCTTCCTCACGAACCAGTTTGTCCGTCCAAGCGTCTTACATGCGTTCCAGCTCGTATCTTCACACTGTGCGACTGGCAGACCGTGACTTCTGGAGTGCCCAGTGTCCACTCGGAACTTCCGAATCAGGTGTCAGCCGATGTTCTCCGCTGGCACCGGCCGTTTCTCCACTAGGTTCTTCCCAAGGTTGTAGCCTGGTAGATCAACTGTTGTAATGTTGGGATACGGATATCTTGAATCTCACGCGAATGCTGAAAAAGACGTGCATGTCACGGTCTAGGAACGTGATAACTATTACCACTGCTACAGAAACTTGCAGTCGGTGCTATCACAGTCTACTTCGGGTGTCACTGCCACTGTGTCACCGTCTGTGGAGAGAAGGTTACTGGGAACTTCAACATATTCTAAAAATTTTAGAATATCAGTGCCTAGATATTCTATAAGGTGCTACATTTTCTCGAGAAACCTTGTATCACGGCAACCAGTGGACTCTTACTCTCACATTCGGAGTGACATCAGCTGGAGAGTATGATTTGTGGAGTGACAACGGTAGTAACAGCTGAGCCTGGAGTGAAACATGGGTTCCGATATCAAAATGGCAATGGAGATCCATGAAGCTTTCTCAAAAACAAGTATCGACCTGACTAAGCTTAAGGAAAATTCGGGCAACAATGTTTTTAAGACGGAGGAAGAAATGTGGGGTACGCTCAATCCGTTTTTCACCGTACACTCGAACGAGTGTGGATGAAAACGAAATCATCGCTGTGAAGATTTCTACTACATACAACCCTGCGGACATTCTCACCAAGATCTGCCCAGTCTCCAAAATTCGTCAGCTAGCATCGTTCTTGTTCGGCAACGACATGCCTCATGTCTCGGTTTGACCATCATTACGCCGCTGCTTCATGCAAGACCTTGTCAAGCTAGCCAAGCTCCCTGTACCTCGTCAGGGAGGGAGATGGACAATGCGAAGTCACAGGGGACCCACTTCAGCCTGAGGTCATCTGTTCCGACACCAGAGACAGTCAGGGAGGGTTCACTAAATGAACAATCAAAATCAGGGAATATCATATCTTTTCACTATCATACCTGAATACTGAACTTCATGACAGGCTGAGACCCTCTTACCATACCTGATGAAAGACATCAGCATCGAGCCTCGCATCATCCCTATGTCAAGTCACGTGACATGGACGAGTCACTGCCAGGGATCCCCCAAGCAGAGCCAGGAGTCGCACAAGATGACGACGAGGCCACAAGACAGCTCTCCCACCATGATGAGTGTGGCAAAGAAGCTGAGGGGTGACATGACAGCGAGAAAATCTCGATGATGAAGGGATCAGTCCTGATCAAAGTCGCTCTGAATGTCAAAAGTGACAAGAGCTGTTTTCAATCCAACCTCAAAGCCTGTACGTGGCCAACAGTGAGGAGAGGAATTACCTCATGATTCCACTGGACAAGCACCGCGATGTTGAAGCGGCAAGCAGAGCACGGCAGATGAAAGCTTGAAGGTTGTGAAGACCGAGGAAGGGAGACGTCCCAAAGCCTCATTGCATGCCACGATCTCACGATGGCGATAAGATGACACGAACCAACTCTACAGCAGAGTTGAAGAAATCAAAGGCAGCTTGAAGCGCCAAGCCTTCGCAAGACGAAGAAGCAGACGATGAAGACATACCTTCGATCGAAGTTATGAAATGATGCTGCAGAAATGAAGGAGGTCCCAAGTCGCCAGGCACATCAGTGCTGATGGGCGCTGAGGAGAACCTTTCAGTACCATGCACAGCCCTACTGCGAAAGTCAAGTCAAGAGGCTGTGGTATCTTGTGAGGGAAATAGAAATAGAAGCCAGAGCACTGGGAGTGTATGTCGAGCAACCGGACGGGATAGAGGAAGCGGGGTTTATGTATGATCAGTGTGAAAACTTTCTGATGGAAGTATACAAGAAAGCAAGAGGAGAATGGAACATGACGTCAAGGTTTGGCCATTTGTCGTGGATGACGGTGGTGGACTTGCTTAGGAAGAGCGGGCGAGGGCGAAGGATGTAAAGATGGTTTGGTGTAGTTACTAGTGTAATACATTAATTTGCAATAAAGAAGAGCACAGTACATGTCGGAGATGTCTACAAACATGCAAGTGCAATACCAGGTACAGACACATTCAGGTACAGACACATTGGGAAGTTGGATGCTATCCTGCATGCAACAACCATTACTCCTTGTCACCTCTATAATGTTCATGGGCATGGGATCATGGGACAAGTGCGGGGTAAGGGGAGAAGATGCTTTTGTGATTAGGGTGTGGATGTGTGGATGGTCGTGCAGTGTACCAAGGAAACAAGCGTCATATGGTTGCTCAAGGGACTTGCATATTGGAAGACAGTTGGGGATGGATGATATCATGATAATGACAACTTGGGAATCTCAACGAGACAAGTATGATTCTTCAGACCGAATTCATCTATGACATGAAAGGTTTTCTATCCGAGGCTTATCATCATTGAAACTTAGATGTGTAGAAGCAATGAACAACTATGCCTAGAATGATCCTAAGACGTGATGTGATGTAGAACTTATCTTACCGCTTTACACAGGCCCGCCTCAGGACGTGTCGGATTGTTCTGAGGCGGGCCCACTGAGGCCTGCTAAAGCTTTTTAGCTTGAAACTCCTACAGTTTTTAGTTACAGGATTGGGCCATATTTTTGGATTTGAGTTTTTGTTATTTTGGAGAGAATTTTGAAATTTTATACGGAAACATTGAAATGACTTACACTCATTTCTCTACGAAGGTCAGTGTGCTGAAACCAAACTCAGGAGGGGTATATTTGAAGGATTTTACTAGGGTACCCAGGGTACTCTGTCTGGTCGTGCAAACGGGTTCATTTCAACAGGGGGGATTCTGGTAGGAGTCTGAGCGCACATTTCTTTGTGGGATGGCAGCGCAGGCTGAGAGACATGTTGAAGATGAAATGGAGGAGGTAAGCCAAGTAGAGTCTCCGAATGTCAACGAGGATGAAGGCGATCCTTAGGAGGACATGCAGGTCCAGGAAGCAGTTGTAATTCCAGGACAGGCCACTCCGAGGCCTCAAATCGGGGGCCGAAGAAAACGTCAGAGAACAGGTAACGAGGCCCGACAACCATTGGATGCAGCTCGTGGGCGTCAAAGAATCTCAGAAATCCGATCAAAGAGGGTTTCGCAAAATTCAAGAGCTGCATATACATCTAGTATTGTCCGTTTTATACAGTTCGTGTATCGAAACAATCCTTTTCTATTGACAACGGAATTCAAAGATTTGATTGAAAGAGATATGGAAGAAGGAGATCCACCACTACCATCGAAGAGGATCATACGAACGGTACTGGACGAGAATTCTGTATCTTGGACAGGTTAGAAGTTGCCATTGATGGCAATATTATCTCTGAAACATTGAAACAGGGAATGCCCCAAGAGTTTACCCGATTCATTTCGATCAATTAGACGCAGACTACTTCTGTATGTGGATCACGCATCTGCTAAGCGTTTCACCGAACAATGGTTTGGCAACTTACAGTAATCATCGATCGGCAATAAACAGCTTTTTCAGAGATTTTCAGAAAGACCTACCCCTGGAATTCAAGAATGCTCTTCAAGAATTCTATGTTGGCCTCAAGAAAGATCTGAATCAGATGGATGCAACAGGTGTACTGAAGATAACAACAGGCAAAGAACCTATGAGCATGACAACCTATCGTTTGTTTTGCAAAACCATGATGTTTTCCGACAAGAGAAATTACATCTTCGCTCGCACTTTTCTCATCATTTGTTGGAATCTTATGTGTCGCGCTGGAAACGCCGAATCTATTCAGTTCAACCACATGTGCTGGAATGAAGATCATCTCCAAATTTTCTTTGCTCACTCGAAAACAGATCAGAGCGGTGACAAGCCCAGAGACCCCAGGAGAGTCTATGCAAATCCAGTTTATCCAGAGATCTGTCCCATATTGGCATTAGGAATCTATTTGCTTTGCTATTTACCAGATGAACTGTCCCTGTTTCCAGGCAGATCACAATACAAGCGTTTCATGCAGGTTCTTTCAAAAATAATGATGCCGCCGAATCAATCAGCAGTCCCGAGTCCCTCTGACACAGACGAGACCGCGGAAAGGCATGATGATCATAATGGTATGGATGCAGTGCAGACTGCAGTCACTGCCCATCTGCGTTCACTCGGTTTACAACCAGAGGATCTTGGAAGTCACTCTATTAGGAAGGGGGCAGCAACTTATTGTTCATCCGGGAGTACTCACTGTCCATCGAGCAGTGCTGTGTCTGAGCGAGCAGGATGGTCCAATGGAGCAGTTTTCAACACGTATCTACGATATGAAGCAGCAGGTGATGCATTTGTTGGACCACTATAACAGGGCTTCCCATCGACTCATCAGAGTTTGCAATTCTTCCGCCGCATTTCAAAGAAGCTGACTCGTCAGGGATGGTTACAAGTGCGATTGAGATGCTGTTCCCAACATTACCAATGTGCATGTATGGAGTTGCGGAGTTTGCACTCGCATCCGTGTTATACCATGCAGATTTCCTGAGAACGAATTTGCAGAGGAATCATCCTCTTTGGAAGTCAACCTTGTTTCAGGACGAAGCTATGCTGAATACTTTGAAATCAAAGGTTGTTTGCTGCATGCCAAAGGAAGCAAGGGGCAGAATGGAAGCGACAGGCATTCCTCCCCACGTTCATCAATATGTCCACAATGACAAGGTTATTGCGTCCCTAGAAAAAATACAAAGAGAAGTTCTGGAGTTCAAGCAATCTAGCCGGGGCAACCAGGCATTGGCAGAAGGAGTTTCGGAGAGGCGACAAGTTGGTTTCGTACCAAATGAGTCTGGACAATCAGCAAAGGAATTCTTTCGCCAAGGCTTGCTAGAGAATCGAGATGAGCTGAAAGCCATCATACGGGAGGTGATTATGGAGACGGGAGGGGAAGCAAGTGGATCACAGAGAGATGTTCAGCAAAGGGAACCCCAGGCTTCAGGTCAGAGTGTTGTTGAGTCTGGTCGCAGGAGTGAGGAGCGCACCGTAATACCGGCAGACACTGTTGGAGGAAACGAGAGCAGAGACCCGGGTGGTTCTATTGATGAAGCAGCTGGGGAAAGCGCGTCGGCTCTGGAAGAAGTACTTTTGACAGAAGAGCTGGAAACCCCATTATCGGCATGGAATTTGTGGTTCTGTGGAAACGAGAAAAAACAAATTCCCCCTTTGAGAAATGTTTCTGCAGGGGAGTTGAAGCCTGGACAAAGCAATACAAAGCGACGTTCAGACGTGAAGTTTCTCGTAAAATGTTTTGAGCAGCATATGAACAACGTGCTAGCTGACAAGGATGCAGACGAGAGGGATACAGAACTAAGGAGATTTGAAGAGTTGAAAAGAGGAAGCGGAGTCAGGCGCATGTTCAGGGAATCGCAGGAGATTTTTGTCAAGTATGAGTCGTCTTTCTACAGTTGGATCAATGTAGACTCGGGCTACAGTTTCCGCAGAGGGCAATTGAAATGGAATACATTCGTGAAGAAGTTAAGGAAAAAATTCAAGAAGAACTCAGGCTCATCTGCATCAAGTCGTTGAGAATAGTCAGGATGATGTTTTCTTTGAACATGGAATAAAAGTACTTGAATACGCTGAACGATTGTCGATATTCAGCCATGATCATGGAAGTCAGTGACTTGTTTCCAGAATAACTTTTTGAATTGCTTCGATCAAACGTCCCATGCCATGATCAGATGACTACAAGGTTCAGAACAAGCATATGTCGTAGAGGTTTTCTTCCATCAAGCGAGGTTCAATGCTGTTTGTTACTCTCATATTGCATAATTAGAGAATACAAGCCTAGGCAATCGATGGAGAAATGATTTCCCTATGTTATGCATTGTTTGGTTTGTCAGGAACAAACAGCATACTGAGAACAATTGCGATCTATCTTCCTTCCATCGCCACCGGCATGAATTTTCGCTAAGTCCAATCTATAGTTTGAACTATAAACCTCACAGAAAAAAATGTGTTATACATTGAATCCTACCTAGATCCCATAGCTCTACTTATATTTTGTTCGGTTGTTAGGGTTTGGCTTTCTCCGGGGCCCAAAGGTTTTTCAAATCCAGTCGGAACATGCGGCTCATAATTTCAAATGTGGGGCAACAAATATGAAGCTTCCCTAATCTCTATTGAGTTGAGTAATGGTAAAACCTCTCTCGCTTCAGCTCTGCCATGCCCAAACGCGGCAGGCAAGATGGGGGCGACGATGAGCAGTCCGCCCGTAAGAGCAAGAGAGTACAGCAGAACAAGGAGGAAGAGATCCGAAAGAAGGAGGAGGAGCTCCGGAAGAAGGAGGAGGAGCTTCGAAAGAAGGAGGAGGAGCTCCGAAAGAAGGAGGAGGAGCTCCGAAATGATAAGACTAAGGCAATGCTGAAACGTCATGTCGACGGCGAAAACAAGGAGTACTGGGAGGATGTTCTGAAGGACCTTGCGGACCAGGAGAAGAAACTAGAGAAGGAGAGGGAGGAGCTCCGAAAGGAGAAGAAGGAGGAGGAGCTCCGAAAGAAGGAGGAGGAGCTCCGAAATGATAAGACTAAGGCAATGCTGAAACGTCATGTCGACGGCGAAAACAAGGAGTACTGGGAGGATGTTCTGAAGGACCTTGCGGACCAGGAGAAGAAACTAGAGAAGGAGAGGGAGGAGCTCCGAAAGGGTTGGAAAGGTCTCCCAGAGAGAGAGAACCACATCGCTTGGAAGGAGATAACTCGGAATCGTGACGCGGGGGGGTATATGGAGGAGCGCAAGTTTTTCTGTCTCGATGGGACGTTTTGGGATCAGAAGAGCTCTGGACAAGAAAGGCAGCGGGTGCTCTACTGCAGGGAATGCTTCAAGGAGCAGTGGGATTTCATTAAAGAGAGAGTGTGTGAGGCCGGGTGTCTGGGTTGGATCCTAGGCCCTCCAGGGACGGGGAAGTCGACGACGACCATGTCCTTTATACAATCGCTGAGCATGGAGGAGGGATGGATGGTGATGTGTGTGCGGCTGTGGAAGTGGAGTTCAGTTCAAGTGCTACAAGTTGATGGTGGAGTTTTGAGAATCGCTGAATTGCCACGCAATGGTGCAGAAGATATGCTGAGAAGGGTCCTAAGAGAATGGTCCCGGAGCAAGAAGAAGTATCTTGTGTCCTTGGACGGTTACCAAGAGAGTAGCCCCCTTGTTGATGACTCTGATAACCCCCCACTCCCCCCCCCTGCATTTACAATCCCTTCACCTCCAATATAAAAATGCGAAAAAGAGTAATAGAACCGCGGAGTACCGTGTCTGCTAGGTCTAACAGGGGGTAGGGTAGTGGTTACACCGGGGAGCCTATGGTAGGGTACCCGTCATCCATTACGTAGTGTTTCCCAGATGACTGGGGTACTGGGGTAGTCTACCCTCTAAGAGTTGAAACATTCGAATACTACCCCGAAGAAATCCAGGCAGGAACACCCACCTTACCCACCCTACCCTGGGAGAAGAGTTCAACCGGAGGTCCGATTGCACCCGTACGATTGCATGATCCTCTGACAGATACGTCCCATCTTACCAGGCCGTACCACCCCACACCATATTTTCTAATTGAAGACCACCCCTCCTGGTCTCATTGGCCTACAACCCCACCCAGATGTAAAAATAACCTCGACTACCATACCGCATCCAACTACCCTAAAGAGGTAGGACCTTTAATACCCCACCCTGGACCAACAAACATCCCCGAGTCCCGTCCTTCCACGGCCACCGGCAGATGTGCCCCGATGATGGACCTAGCTGGGCTGCCAGGCGACCGTGACCGTACTACTCAGTGCGGCCATGATGATGACGGTCACCGTCCTGGCACCCGATCGGACCGCGGACTCCGTGCACCGGCGGGCCCTGGCGCGGCCGCCGGCGGGCCGCTCATTGCAAGTTGAACTTCCGAAGTTCCGAAACTTCCGACCGTCGGACCGGGGCACTGGCACCGGCCCGGCGGCCGTACCGTAGTACGTGACGGCGGGGGGCCGGTCCGACCGTCTGCGGCGAGCCTCGTTAGTAGCCTGAGCTTCACCGTGCGGGCGCCCGGCCGCGGCGGCGCCGCGGCGCCCGGGGGGTAATACTGAATACTTGCGGCGGACTACCGTACGGCCTACGGTACCCGGTCACGGCGCGGCGCGCCGATGATGTCCGACATGGCGGCCGCTGAGTCAGTCGGATAAGTTCTTGGAGACGGCGAGAACTTGCAGGCCGCGCTGAGTTCAGCCTCAGGGTATTGCGTCTCATCGGTGGACGAAGCTCAGCGAGATGGAAGTGGGTTTTGACATAGGTCTGGAAGGAATCGACGAGCCTGAGGAAGGAATCGACGAGCCTGAGGGTCAGGCAGTGAAGAGGGGATTAGGAGGACACGTGTCCAGAGCGCTGTGCATTGTGATTGGGTTGCAAGGGACTGAAGGGAAGGTGATTGCTGTGAATAAAGGAGGCATTGGTGGAGTTGAGTGTGTCGATTACTGCCGCACTGTGGCAGTACGCGGCGGCCCGGCCGCCGCCGGGCGCCCCCGCGGGGTGAGTCGGCCGAGTTCGAGCCGCCGCTCGGAGTTTTCTTGCCGCAGTGCGCGCAGTTATTAAGTGAAGGTCACCGTATCAGTTGAGTTTTGGGGACAGCAGTGGCCCGGAGGCCCGGATACTGGACTCTCCGAAACCAGAGTTGGTTCTTCAAGCCTCCTCGCCCAGGCTCAGGCCTGATGATTGTCCGAGGTCCTCGAGCTGATTTTCAACCTAACTTTGAGTTATGATTAGAAACGTTTGAAATGTTTCGGATATTTTTGCAATTTTTTAAAAATCTTCTTTTTTTCAACTGACGCCCCCCAACGGCAATCAGCGCTTGCGGGCCGATCATTCAGGCCACCGTCCAGGCTCCCTACCCCTCCAATCGTACACCCCAGCCTGTGTGATACCCCTCGTATTTCACTACCCTGCTCTGCAATACCCCCAATTTACCCAAGCATTAGGGGATATTCTTGGTGACAAATGACCCTACCGTTGCTCTCAGCGGACCCTACCAACCAAAACCTAAGTCCGCCCTGCATCCTCCCTCCATCCTTTCAGTTTGGCTCCTGTTTGCCTTCCCCTCCCTAGTTGACAACAGTGCGGGCCTTCTCTTGCTTGCTCGGCTTGCAAGCACATCTTGGTCACTCATTTGGAGCTCACCATCTGGCTCACCCTGAACGGAACCCGTGCAACTGACATATACAGGGATCCTCTCTTCAGAGTAACTGCTATCTTCGTTCTCAACCTGAAATGTCGCGCCAACCATCTCGGCAGGGATCTACCACTTCAATTGGATCTCGGAAATCAACAGGAAGGTATCGTTCTGTCGGCAATGGAGGCGCCGATGATTCATTGTTCGGGAAAAATGGCAGTCAAGCTCACTCGAGTGTCAAGCAGAATTCTCTTTCCAAAATATCCGAAAGCAAGAAACACGCACCTGTAGAAACCGATTCCATCGTCATCACCAACACAGATCTCGATCGCTTGAGGAAGCTCGCAACCATCATAGACAGAGATGAGATCGAGAAGAAGAAGAAGGAAGAACGGGAGAACAGGCTCAAGGAGCAAGCTAAGGCACGAGAACGGAAGGAGAAGATGTTAGCGATGGAGGCAACGAGGCGGGCCACCATGCAAAAAGGTGATCTCGAACTCGAGGACGAAATGAAGAACACATTGCTGCTGGATAGTGCGCAGAAAGCAACTGACGAAGAGCTGGATGTTGTTAAACATATGAATCAGATGATGCTGTACGCAAAATGCGTCACAATCAGAGATGCTCAATTGATGGAAAAGCGAAAGATTCAGAAAGAACAGGCAGAACAGGAGAAACAGTTCGATGAGTTGATGGAAGAAGAGCGTCTTAGGGCTATAGAGATCCAGGACGAGCAAGAAAAGAAGAAGATTGACGAGAGGAAACGCGGAGCTTCCATCATACGGATGCAGATTGAACAACGCGAAAAGGACAGAATAAGGGAGCAGGAGCAGCTTGACATGGAAAGAGAAGCCATGTTGCGTCAAATAGAAAAGATGAAAATGGAAGAGCAGCAGAAAGAAGAAGGGCGGAGACAGCTAGGACAGCAGCTCTTGGAAGAAGCTGCCCTTGCAAACAAGATTCAAATCCAGCGAAAGCAGGAGCAAAGAATGAAAGCGATTGAAGAAGATCAGCGCATTGCTGAATACATTGCAGAGAAAGATCGTAAAGAGCAGGAATGGCAAGAGCAACTCGAAAAGGAGGCCAAGAGGAAGGCAGAAGAGACTGCTCGTTTGCGTGCAATGCAAGAAAAAATGGCTGACAAGCAAGCGGAAGAAGATGCTCTTCGGGCAAAGCGAGCTCAAGAAGATTACGAACGAGCATGGAGAGCAAAGGAAAAGGCAGAGAGGGAGAGGAAAGAATTGATGTTGAAGGAGATCATGGAGTCCAGAGAAGAACAGAAAAGGACAAAGGAAAGAGTTCAGGCCGAAGCAGCACAAGCACAGAAATTCCAATTTGAAGCAATTCTTGCCGTACAGAAAGCTGCTGAACAGGCGGAACTTGAAAAAGAAAGACTGGAACGACAGAAACGATTGGAGCACAATGAGTTCATCCGCAAGCAGATTGCGGAGAGTGAAGAGAAGAAGCAGAGGAATCGACAAGAGTTCCTTGAAGAAGGAAGCAAGATTCGGATCGCTAAAGAGATTGAAAGCAGAAGATTGGAATCCATCAAGCAAAGGAAGATCACAGAGCTTCGCAATTCTGGAGTTCCAGAGAAATATTTAGCAGAACTTGCTCAAAAGAAGCTGTCTTGAAATGATCTTACAAATAGAGTTGCAAAGTGTTTCCAACTAAGAAATTAACATGATCCCTTATCAGACTTCATCCCCCAACTAACATCTGATCGTAGAATGTGCAAGAAAACGCCTTTTACGTTTGTATTGAAATCTTGTAATGTCGAGGATTCATCTCGTCCTGCAGCATTGTCGCTTTTACGTCTACTTGTTCTCCTTTCTGAACTTGAGCGAAGACCCCGAGGAATACAGTCGTTTGCTTCCAGTGGGTTGGTTCGCTCGATGGAGCCGTATCGAGAATGATTGGTGATGGAGAATCAAGCGTGAAGTCACAATCAAACCAGAATGCAAAGCCTGCCAACTCTGAATCTCTTTCGATTCCGAAGGAAAATTCTCCTGTGAGACTAACGAGTTGCGACCTTTCAATTCTGTTGAAATCAATGTTTGCAAACTCTTGTGGTTTGCTGAGCAACTCAGATGATGAAATCTGCTCGACAAATGGCGTAGCCATCCTGGCTGTCATGATTTCTTCTCCGATGGATGAAAAATTCAAACCATAGTATGACTGCCAGAAATCAACATTTTGCTTTCTAAATTGCTCCATGGCAACTGGGCAAATGTAGATCTTTCCACTTGAAGGGACCATTTTGCCGTCTTCTTTTAGAAACCTGACGAAGCTCATAAAAACATGGTCGAATACACTTGGATTCACCTCTCCCTTGCGTCAATGACGGAGCCCAGCATAGATTCGTGGAGTAGGTAAAACCCCATCCACTCTGAGATAATGATGTCAACCTTCTCTGACAGCTCGACATTCTCAATGACGTCATGGATGACTTGAATCTTGTCGGAAAAGCCATTCTCCCTGACTAATGCCTCGGCTTTTTCATATATGTTGCTGGCCTCCACAGCGTACACTTTCCTGGCACCTGAGTTTGTATAACGCGAAAATTGACAAAGGAAAGTCATTTTAACCTGCTCTCGCTGCAAACATCGACATAATTCCTGTTCCGCATCCAACGTCAAGCACAATCTTCCCTTGGAACAGCTGAGCGTTCTTCTCGATACCGTCGCGGTACGCTATCAATCTTGGGTGATCCCTCAGCATCAGCTCATGCACTGAAACATCGGAATATGATCGAAAGTAGTCATCCTCTCCTTGAGTCTCTTCTCTCTGCCCATCTTGGATTTCCACCTGTATTTCTCCTGGATCTTCCTCTTCCGACATAAGGAGAAACTGCAGTCTTGTACAGGCCCTTGTAGTCTCCATGTCCTGAACGCTCAGCTCGCCACTAGACAGAGCTTCGCGGACATCGTTGGCACTGCATCCTTCGTCTGGGATCACAGACACAATCCACTTGCTCTCCTCCTTTCGGATCGAAGAGATCTGTCCTCCTGCTCGCCTTCGTTTCGCTGCTGGAGCGCTCATGTCGATCCGTCTGGCTCTATCGCCGGGGCCGGGTCCGGACTGGACGGCCGGGCACTCAGCAACTGACGCCCTCCTGGAGCTCGTCGGTTGAAAAAACGGCTGTAACTGCTCTCTACAGTTGAGATAACGGTTCTCCTATGTTAGGAAATTCCAACACACTATGACCAAGTCTTCAATTGCTACTGCTAGGAGCATAGGACCTGAGGTGCGTATGGCCTGTCGTTAGACGCAAGTTGTGTGAGGGGTAGGAAATCAAATTTTGAAAATGATAATGAAATTTTCAAACCCTGACCCACCAGTGTCACAAATTTAGCCTGCTGGTGGGTATATTTTGAAAATGACCCCTCAAATTATGAATCGTGCCATTGGGTAGGGTACCCACTAGGGAGTGTCCGATATGCAGCCGTTGCCGCTGCCATGTGGAGGCGAAGTCGATGCTGCGAGAGACGAAGTGATAGATTGAGATGAGACATTCGATGAGGAATCAAGAATATTGTGCGTGAGCTATACAGTTGTTAGAGCGTTCATCGCTGGATGGTATCGTCTGAAAATTCAATGTCATTGAGAATTGAAGATGTTCTGAATGTCAAGAGACGTCGAAATTTCATGTGTTTAATTGAAGCGTGAAACTGACATTCCACGAGAATTCTAGAGATGGATTATAGATTCCTGAACTTGCGTGTTGAATGCGTTTATGAATGAAGTTATGAATCAGGGATGTCTTTTTTAGACTGCTTAGTCAGTTGTAACTCGAACTCGCACCGGAGAGGAATGTCTTGTAGTATTTTCATGGTCAAGCATTTTTCAGAACAGATTAGTGTGCCTACGTTTCTTGCAAAGAGCGCCTGTGTTGTTCTCACTCAAATGAGATCCCTGCACATCAAACATATCCACATGTTTTCAAGACGTGCTTGTAGTGACCCTGATGCGCATCTGAAGTTATCTTGTAGGTTCTCGAATTTATTTTGGTTGATTGAAGCGAGTGTTAAGGATGTTCAAGAACACTTTTCAATCCGGATTCTTGTCTATACTTTACAGCATCGGAAGTAAACCTCTTCAAATATGGGATAAGCAAGTGCGAAACGGGCATATAAAGCGAATTACGGATCAGGACATTCAGTCCAGCGTGCTTGAGATTATGGGAACGAACGTTAGCACCAACTACATCACGTGCCCTGCAGACAAGAACAAGACCCTTGGCATCAAGCTTCCTTTCCTAGTTATGATCATTAAGAATGTATGTAGAACCTGTGATTGCTACGTTCAGTTTAACTTGTTGTTGCCAGCTCAAAAAATACTTCACTTTCGAAGTGCAAGTTCTCGACGACAAGAATGTTCGCCGTAGGTTCCGAGCGTCTAACTATCAGTCAACGACACGCGTCAAACCTTTCATTTGCACGATGCCCATGAGGTTGGACGAGGGATGGAATCAGATCCAGTTCAACTTGTCGGACTTCACTCGTCGTGCCTATGGCACAAACTATATTGAAACGCTTCGTGTACAGATTCATGCGAACTGTCGCATTCGAAGGTTGATTTGCTCTTCTTTCCTTTCTGATGCTTCTATATCTGCTTTTTTACTTTTTCATGGTTGCTTGTTTAAGTTTGCATCGCTCACGCTTGTGTACAGGATTTACTTCTCGGACAGGTTATACTCCGAAGATGAGCTGCCGCCTGAGTTCAAGCTGTTCTTGCCTGTCCAGAACAAGTAGAGGTAGCAAGCATCTCGCTTTCTGGGGTTTCTGTAGAATTATTTTGCTCGCCCGAGCTTTAAAAGAGGAACGCCTTATGAGTGATGTGAACGCGGTCGTTGAATTCCACTCCAATAAACTAATAAATCAGCGTGTGTGAGCCACCGGGAGCTCCTAGTCAGGCCCCCTCGCCCCTGCTGTTTGCTCGCTCATCCCCATGATGCCGAGATCCCCCTCACGGAGCTAAGATTCGCCAATGTAGCAGCAGCGAGCATCTGATGCTTCGCGCTCCTGGAGCGAGCAAGCAATATGAACTGCTGAACTCCGATCTCCCTCGCGATCCTCAACTTGTTCTCTTCGTGCTGCGAAAGAGAGGCCAGAGATCGCGCGGCTTGAAGTTCTATCCCCTCATTTCCGCATTGCAGAAGGCGGTTGATTTCTGGAAGAGAACCCGCTGCAACAATCTTGTATTGCGCATCCTTGTGGACTGACAGATTCGCAAGAGCCATCATGCCCAGCGTTGTCACTTCCTGGTTGTCAACCCGCAATGTGGCGATCAGCGCTTCGATCACCTCAGGCACGCAGAGTTCGACTTCATTCTCGTGGTTCAAGCTGATGTTTGCTAGACACCTCGAGGCTTGTCGCAGAACTTCGATGTCATTCCCTCTCATCGCGTTGACGAGGTGCAAGATCGCGCCGCTCTCCCCGATCATGCGTTGGTTCAGAGGATTTCTCGCAAGATTGGCCAGAGCAGCGACAGCCTCGAGCATGACGTCAGGGTTGGAGGCCGAGATCATCCGGATCAACGAGGTCAGCCCTCCAGACTTCACAATATCCTCCTCGTTGCGCTCGTTGCAGTAGGCCAAGTTGGCGAGAGCTCGAGCGAGGTGACATTGCATCCCAGCTGAAAGCTCAGCATTCGTCGCGAGCTGCACCAGGTCCTTCAAGGCTCCCTCCTGATTCAGCTTGTCCTGTAAGCCGTCGTCAAGTGCGAGGTTACAGATCGCCATGACCGCGCATTCACAAACTTCCGGGGAAGGGCTGTGTAGCAGGCTGACAATGTGCTGCAGCGCATTGGCGTGTTCGATGTGCCTCCGCTGATCCGCATCGATGGCCAAGTCTGCCAGTGAGCGAGCAGCTTGATACTGAACTTCCATGTCCTCACTCTTCGCCCATGAGATCAGTTCATCAATATGAAGGCTGTCCTGCCTTCGCTCCTCGTTCAGCCCTTGGTGGTTTGCTTGTCGCTGCTGCTCAGGGGAGATGGGCATGAACATCGCCATGGTCTTCTCGAGGTCACCCTCGTTCGCCTCCAACACGTTGCTCAAGATCTCTTGCGAGAGCATGGGGAACATCTCGCTGAGCTGTTCGACCTTCTTACGTTGCTCTTCTGCAGCTTTCTCTGCTTTCCTATCCTTTCTCCGGCCAAGAGTGAGGATCGCGCCCATGCTTGTTCAGCAACCTACACGCTCTCAGACCTGAATGTTCATCCTCTGCCAGGGCAACTAATCCAAGAAGAGCTTGTTTCAATTGTTTGGGGCGTGCATCCGAGTATGGCGATAACCATCTTTGAATGCCATGCTGTGAAGCACTGTTCTATCTGACGCTTGTGGGTTATGCTCTCCTTGCTCGATCGTTGAGGACAGCTGGTTAGTCTCCTGTAACTTCCTCTATCAGCGTTCGATGCCTTCAACCCGAACCTTGCCTTTCTCTTCTCTCTTCTCTCCTCGCCTTTCTTTTCTCCTTCCTCTTCGTTCCTCCCCTTCCTGCTCCTGGCTCAGCTCGATGCCCTTCGCTTGTACGTCACCTGGAAGCCCTGAGGGTCCTGTCTACCCCCTGGTACCTCTCTGAACTTCTAAGTCTCTATTTAGTCTAAAACGACGATCCCTTAAGGTCACGGGCCTTACCACATCCACTTTCTCCCCACATTTGCCAGTGTTCCCCAAGCTCTACCTCTCACTTGTCTTAGATCTGCTTATAATCTCAAAGGCTATCCCTGGACCCTCTCAGTCTACCAATATTTTTTGCCCTGACGATGCAAGGGCCTGAGGCAGTGCAGTGACTGATGGCAGACGGACAAAAAGGGACCGTCAGACCGGGCCGACAGTCCGGGGCCCGGCCCGCCACTGCCTGACAGTGTCCGATCATCGGCGGCGAGTCGGCGGCGGTGCGGCCCGGTTGGACTAGCGGTCGGAGCGTCCGAACGCTAACTCGATGCCTGAGCTGTCGGACGGTCTGTGATCGAGCTCACTCAGCCGTCATTGATCTGCATGCTGTCAGTGAATCGTGGCTTGTATGTGAAGTCTGCTCTACGCTACAGTTAAAACTAGCTCGGCGAGCTCTACCGATCACTTGCATGGGCAGAACTTGTGGCTGTTGGTGAAGGAGTCAAGTCTCCTGCAGCTCATGAAAACTGGTTGAGGGAGGCGGCAGACGGAGTCCGAAAGGTCAAAGACGGGAGTGTGCAGCCCTTGTACGTCTGGTTCGCAGCCTTGGGAACAACCTTCTCTCATCCCCTGCAGCCCTCACGTGAATCAGCAGCATGACAAGGAGGGAGCGAGAGCTGCAGGATCAAGAGGAGAGAGCGAGAGCTGCATCTCGAGTACCTTGGCACGCATCAACTTGTCCAGGAACTGACAGTCTGGCCATGCGAGTGACATCCACATCCCACCTGAGCACCAGCTCACTCACTGCTTGTCCAGTTGACCTGCCCTCACCAGCAGAACAAGTTTTCTTGGAGCTCAAGCAGATCTCCTCGCAGGTCTTGCTGCCGTTCCCCACCCTCCAACCCCCCGAGCTCTTGCGGAAGGCTTCCTCCGGAGGCTCGCAGACCCCCTCGATGAGCTGCTGCCGGCTCTGCGGGGCAGGAGGAAAGCTCTGGTCCTGGTGAAGCCCTACAGCGTGTCGGAGAGCATGAAGGAGGAGGAGGCGGTTTACCTTGTAGATATGGCGACTCAGAGGAGAGAAAGAGGGTAAGCATGTCGTCTATCCTCATCCGAATCATCCCTTGATGGTACCCCCGCGGCATCCTGAGCAAGTGTTTGTGAGCCTCGAGCAAGCAACAAGAGGATGTGGTACCTGTCCAGTCCGCCCCCTCTCCCAAGTGTCCCAAAGGTATACCCAAGAGCATCCCACGAGTCGTCCAAGCTTGGGTTAGCTGACTTGGCCTGATGGACAAAAAGAAAGGAAGGGAAGGAGGGGAAGGAGCAAAAGGAACAACAGGAGGAAAAGACAATACATCTGAATCAAACTCCAAAACGACGATGAGATTTCAGACCTGGAAGACGAAGATGTTTGTCTCATCCCTCCTTCTGTCTAGCTTCAGCATTTCCCACAAGCAGCGAACCATCTACCACAGATCTCAGCGAAACAAGAGAAGGAGAGGCAGGTAGTTCAGACCTTCCCTTTTCTAACGAGCTGCATGTGATTAGAGGAGTGAAAGTCGATGGCTCCCTTGTTCAAATCTTCCCGTGTCAGCACTCCTGCTTGAGCCTGCAGATTCTGCTCCAACCAAAGCATCAGGAAGAGAAGCAGCAAACATGCCGCACCATCAGGTCAAACCAGAGCTGCTGGGAAGCCGCTGATGTTGTCAAGGCACTTCGTTGGGTGCGATCTCCGACCTGCGGCAGCTCGATGAGACCATTCAAGAAACCGGACAGGCAGCGGCCTCACGTGCTTCGTTCTCGGCACCTCCGGGAAGATGCACTCCTTCCCATGCTCCATCATCACTCGCGCGAAGGGAACGTCCCAGACCTGGTGAGGTGAGCCGAAGGAGTGGAACGAATGTTGCTCTTACAACATCCGGATGATACAGTTGGCTGACAGCTTTGTAGTCTGCTCTTGAGACCATCCAGCCAAGAGCCATGAAATGCTCCCCTCGAAAAACATTCTTGGGGTCGTGTGTGCTGGAAGAACAAGGACGAAGAAGGCGAGAGGAAGGAGGGGGAGGGGAGGAGGAGCGAGGGATGTGAGGGAGTGGAGAGGCAGGAAGTAGGATAGGAGGAGAGAACGAGTCATGCAAGTAGCAGAGGAAGAGGAGGATCATTCTCACTTGCTTTCGAACCCATTGTCGTTGTAACCGCTCACACAAAAGATCGAGTCATCCTCTTCCATCGTTTCCGCTCCCCTGGCATTCAGTTCTCAGCCTTTGCCGCTCCAGTTGCTGCTCCGAGACCAGCGAAAGAAGTCCAATGCGTCGGGCGCTAGCAGCAGATCCTCCTCCAGCACGATCACATGCTTTGCCCTGCAACTGCATCATCCACATCACGTTTGTTCTCAATTTCCCAACCAGTCGTTCCAAGACAACACATGCTCTAGCATAAATCGATAATTGTGGGTTAGACGAGAAGAAAGAATCGGCTGCAGGGAGGATCAACTCTGATGATCTCAGTCTTCAATGCACACCTTGTCATCCTGCAGCTTGGCGGGCAGACGAACATGCTTGACAGGGAAGAATGCTTTGACTACTTTCTCCACAGCTCTGCTCAGAAGAGGTTCTGTCATTGGGTTAAATGCCGAGAGAGATGATTACCTGTGGTCGCCATCTTGATAGACCCACACGAGCGACATGTCGGAGTGAGAAGCCATCTTGATGGACTGACAACACCCACCATTAAGCTTTAAGACTTGAAACGACAGCTGTTGCACAGCTTATCAATTTTGCAACTCACATGTAAGAGTCGCCGCAATGCATCAAATCTGTTATGAGCAAGAATTGCGATGGGCGGATGCGAAGCACGGAAATGATCACCATCTGTTCAAACACATTGTCAACAATGCTCTGGCGTGCTTACCCTATGAATTCACCTGGCATATTAAACGACGGTTTTTGACGAGCTTGATCTTTCCCAGCAGTCTTCCTATTGGCGTTTTTCTTTTCACTTCTCTCTTCATTTCTAGAATTTTCATGTCTTGGCTCACGTGCTGATGCATCGTTTCTTTCGCGCTGCTTCTTCCTCTGAGATTCTCCAGATGCGACTTCGCCATTCTCGTGGTGAAAGGATTGTTCTTCCTTGTGAAAATCCAGATGGAATTCGTCAGCTGCTTCAGAATCGACATTCTTCTTCTTTAAAGGGCTCCGACCACGATCGGTCGACGATTCTGCATGAAAATTTTTCGCTACAACTTCATCCTCGTCTTCTGCTTCTTCAATATGCCAAACTTGACCTGGGTCCTCGACGTCCTCACTTGCCTTATCTTCGTGCAGTTGCGGTTGACTCTCACTCGATTTGTCCTGTACAGAGCTAGAGCCCACGCTCCTGACGAGGTCGAAGAGGAAAGAGAAGAAACCTCCTCCTCCACCACCTCCTTGTTTGATTTCAACCTCTGGGACGTCAGAAAGGTCGATATCCTCCTCAGGGAAGCCACGAGCGGTACTTGCCCATCGACCAGCAGCCTCGAATCCACTCAGCGGAGCAGATTCGTCGCTTCTGCTTCCTTGTCCTCCCGCCATCGCCAGCCCGATCGCCACCGACAGAGCGACGATCTGCCATGCTACCCTCATTGACTAAGCCCCTCATCCCCACTTCAGTCATTGTTTCATCCCCCTCATATTTCCCCCCTTCCATGCCATAACGGTCTAACCGTCAACCACTATTTCGGGATGCCGCTTTGGCCGAAACCTGACGAGGAATGAGGAAGAGAGAAGAGTTTGATGAGCCTAGGCAGGATGGAAACAAGCTTAAGAAATGCACTGAACAAGTATCATCATGCAGCAGAGATCTTGTAGCTGTGGTTGTCAACCTTGTTTCATCTCATGGACATTGCTTTTGCCTTGTGTTGACATTGCGAGCTCATGTTTTTGACATTTGAATGTTGTGTTGTGACCAGATTCAAACCTGCGAAACAATGGTTTAGGGAAAAGGAATGTAATCGTTAGCATGAGGGTACGGATGGCGATGGCGATGTATGAGGATTGGGAAGAACATTTTGCGACGATGCAACGGATTTGGGTTTGTCAAACGATGTGGAGCATACTTGTACTGCATTTCTCTTGTATTATGTCAACTGTCACGAGCCTCTGAACTCATGAATGGTCGAGGTAAAAAAATCTATGAATTATGCTGCACGGAACCTGCTTTCGCTTCATCGTGAAAACTCGTTGAGCAGCACATAAAACCTGAGTGGATTGTGTATTCTCAGTTACGAAAGCAGGCAGTTAGAAAAATAATTCCTTGACCTTCTGTTATTTTTCTGACATGTATCGTGATAGGACAATGTTTGGGATCGTGAAAAGCGCTTTCCAAATGCTTGACAACTCTGGCCCCATTGCACGCACAGCACCAGCTCCGTACCAGATTGTTGACTGTGAGAAGCGGAGTGTTGCGGGCTTGACTTGCAACTCTGTTAGTGAATACTTTGATTGTTTGGTCAGGCTCTGACACTGGAAGCAGGTGATCCAGAGCAACATGGAGCCTGCGGGAAACAACAATTGCGCTATTGTTCCCAGCAGTGATGCTGGTTACTCTTTGGTGCCCTCGTGCCAAGCTAGACCTCTCGATACTGCTGCTGTCAGTGCATAGATTCGCTGGTTTTGACAAGGCCCTTCCTAAGTCATGGCATGCCGCACGGTGCTTCAGCATCATGCCACGAACAGAGGCTAGTGTTCAACGATCGACTCAGTGTTAGTGTGGTACTTACCGCAGTACTTTCATCTTGTTGCAATAAATTCAAAACTGCTGTCCTGAAGATCCCGGATAAGTTCTTGAAGACGGTGGGAAGTTCAGGGTAATGTGTCTCATCAGTGGACGAAGCTCAGCGAGATGGAATTGGTCATAACTTAGTAACTTCTTAGATCGGGACTCAGCCTCCGAACCGTGGCTTGATAAACGAGCGGCCTGTCGAAGGTCAGGCAGAGAAGAGGGGCTGTAGGAAAAGGTCAGAGTGCACGTGGTGGCGCCGCTGTGTGCATTGAGGGTGAGCGCAAGGGACTCGGGAGTGAAGGGAAGGTGGTTGCTGTCACCCGTGATCATAAAGGAAGCGCCGTGAGTACTCGATCAGCCTGAGAGTCTGACTTCGGTTCAAGTGTTGCCTCGGAAGGTTGTACAACTGAGTGGTTGGAGAGCTATGGGAATGAAATGAATCCAAGGCACTACACGGTGTGGAAGTCACCGGCGTTCAGTGGCCGCTGACGACCCGGGCTCAGTACTGCTGCCCCGGCCGTGATTCCGCCGGGGGGAGGGGAAGACGATACGGTACGGTCCGGCGATCACCCAGCCTGTCCGACCATGATCGGACCCCGGTACTAGGCGGCCGCCGCCGGGCGGCTCCGACCGTCGCCGAGCCGCACCGGGTGCGGGCCGCGCCCATACTCGGAACCGCTTCAGTGGTTTGCGGGCGACTCCGGGTCATAAAGTTAAAAAAATTCTGTGGGATGGTCGAGCATCAGCGAGCATGGAAATCGAAGAGGGCGGGAGATGAGGGAGGGAGGGAGGGGAGGAGGAGCAGGAGCAGGAGCAGGAGGGGGAGGGGGAGGAATAGTTGGAGAAGGGGGTGAACAGAAACAGTTTTGAAGAAGTGAGAACAGAAGGGAGCAGTGGGAAGTGAGTGAGGATTTTGTGAAGCTCAGGTCTTTGCTGAAGCAATTCATCGCAGCTTTTGACATCATGTCAAAGTAACTAGTCGTATCTTTGACATGGATTCGCCCACGTCTCCTACTCCAAGTAGTCCAGCGGGGGTAGATCCAGCTGTGAAGATCATTATCTCCAAGATCAAACTAGGCAAGGACAAGGAAGTGAAGGAAATCATCGCAAGCAACCCTTCGATTATCAAGACAGCCACTGATACCAGCACCAACACCACTCTCCTTCATCTCGCTGCTCTCAATGGCCATAAACGAATTGTCAAAGAGCTTCTTCGGCATACGGAGTACTTTGATCCGTACGCGAAGAACATCAAAGGGTTGACAGCAGTCGACCTTGCTCGAGACTTCAACTACAATGATTTATCAGACTACATCAAGAGCAAACTTCCCGGGATTGAAGAATCGCATCCAAAGGCTGGTGCAGGGCAGTCGTTGATGGAGAGGCGAATGGACCAACTGGACGACGTGAGCGAGGATCTGATCAGAATTCAGAATGAAAGGAGAGAGCTTGAAGCGGAGATCGTTGCTGCAAGATCTGAGGATTCCAAGGTTGATCATCAGGAAGACCCTGCCGTCATTCAGAAGGTCATCAGCTACCAAGTTAGCTGGCGTTGACGTGTATTTAGATGATCTCAGAGAAGGAGGAGCGAGAGCGGATTGAAAAGGTTTGCAAGGGGAGGAGGAGATGGTGAAAAAATCTTCTTATGGGAGTGAGCAGGAATTGAGGCAGCGCATCGAGTTGTTGGAGTTGGAAGCAAAAGCTGAACAAGAACGTCGAGATCGAGTCGATTCATATCCGTGGTTTGATTGTTGGTGTTGACTTGGTAAGTAGGAATACGAGGCCAAGTTGAAAGAGCTAGAAGCCGTTGCGATACAGAAGGAGGAGGTTATTAATATTTCTGTGCTGATTGTTCAGTTCTGATCTCCGGTTTGCAGGAGCGTGCGAGGATCGAGCAGGAGAAGGCGCAGCTGGAGAAGGAGAAGGAAGAATTTGAGCATAGGATGCAGGTTGAAATCTTCCTTCATGTGCTCTTGCTGAGCAACAGTGTAGACTCGACAGCGAGGACTGCAAGACCATGCCGAGGAGGTCAAGCAGGGAAAGGAGGAGGCAGAGAGCAACTTGATGGAGAAAGATCGAATGCTTGAGAGGTGCGGCGCACGGTCTCTAACGCCTCCTCTAACAAAGTTCTGCAGCAAACAGGAAGAGCTCAGCAGAGAGATCGCCAAGAAGAATGAGGTGAGAACGAGTCGACCAGCTGCCACCTCGACTTGACTTTCGAGTCTTGCTGCAGATTCTTGCAGAACTTGCGCAGCTCAAGTCTCTGATCGCTCAGACTAAAAAAGTTGTGTGCAGTCCCTGGAGGAAACTGACTGACCTCGAGCTGGCAGGCAGCAGAAGATCACGAGAAGACATCGCCAGAGGATAGCAGAGGTCCATATCGCTCCCCCCCCTACCCCCCTCCTTATTTCGACAGCAGACGAGGAAGGCAGCAAGAAGCCTCACATAGACGTGAAGTCAGAGAAGGTCAGGCAGCCTTGGCTCATTTCCCTCGACGTTGGCGATAATCTTTCTTGCAGGATCGGCTAATCTCCGAGTTTGAGAATCGGAGAAAGGAGCTGGAGCAGCAGCAGAAGCAGGAACAGGAGCGGCAAGAGCGGCTTCTGAACGAGCTGCTCGACATGAAAAGGAAGAAGAAGAACGCCAAGTTGAACAGGAACAGCACTTTCTCTTCCTCATACTACTTCTCTCCTTACTTGGGCAACAGGAACACAAGCAGTCCCGAGGGCGACGAGCAGGAGGGAGCAGACTAGGCTGGAGCGAACGGTCTTCCTACTCAGTGAGTGCCATCCCCTCGGACCCCAAGGCTGGAAAATTCTTATTAGTGGGTCATTTAGAGAGACGGCGGAGAGGAGGAGAAGGAGATGAAATACCGGTCATGACTTGCTCGTGTACTGCTTTGATGAGCCTCTTCTGGTCCTGCTGGATCTGACGAGAGAAGCATCAGTGAATGTGAAGCTTTTCTCGTCAAACCTGAGTGCGAAGATCCGAGCGAGAGACCTCAGGCATGAGGAAGCTGCTCACCAGATCCTTGACCACATCTGCAGTCCATGTTAGGCCTGCTGCTAGACTTGTCAACTTCTGCTCCTCACCTTCGTCCGTCACTCCTTCCTGTTCCAGGCTGTCGACAATGTCGTTGAGGAAGGTAGCGCGTGCGTTGGCCTCCATCAGTGCCTGAGCAGGGCAAGTGAGCCAGCATGACAAGGGGGGGCGAGCAGGCGACCTGCTTGGAGGACGTGCTCTCGATGGCGTCGCCGAGGATGTTTTCCAGAAACGTGTCGATAGATCCTTGATGGACTTGCATGACCTGCCTGTACATCTCGTCCTGCTTGGCTCTTCGGCGCTCCTCTTCCTCTCGCTTCCCTTTCTCCTCGGCCTCACTGCGCGTATATCAGAACGACAACAAAAACAATCAAGCGCTCACCGCATGGTCCTCTGCCGCTCCGCCAGCATGACCATGGCAAAGATCCGCCTCTCCTCCTGAGCACAACATTAGCTAAGCTCCAACTTGAGAGCGCAGGGAAGACCTTGTAGCGAACCAGCTCCTTGTTGAGGTAGTCCAGCTGTTGCCCGACTTCTCGTCCAACGGCCGTCGCGATGTGACCTGAGATGATGCTCCGCTGGTGCTCGATAACCGCCTCCCGCGAGTGTTGCTCCGTCCTGTCCTCCAGAGTCTCCACCGTCCTCAGCTCCTTGATGAGCTGCAGCCGCTTCTCCTTAGCCTGCATCATGTCGTTCTGTACAGCGCGACCGCGCAGCAGCTTCTGCATCAGGATGACGGCAAGACGCTTGTCGTCGTTCTCGGACACTGGAGGTCGGAGCTCGGGCGTGGGAGGACGAACAACGACAGGAGCCTTCCTGTACTCGGCGAGATCATCTACTTCCTCTACCTCTTTTGCTGCCTTGTGCTTCTTGTTGATGATGGCTGTCATGCGGTCCAGGTGTGCCTGCATCTCGCGCTCCTTGCGGGCCTCCAGGGCGGACTTGTGCTTAGTGCGAGAAGGACGTTCGATCTTGATGGAGGTGAGCCTGCGAGGAAGGCTCTCCTCTAGCTCCAGCACGTCTTGATACTTCATGTCGTCCAGGTACCTCGTCTCGTACTTGTGTGAGTCTCTGTCGACTCTCAAGCCTTCGCGCTTGATGGGGGCGTATACCTTGGAGTTGAAGTTGGCGTACTCCCCGATGATGTCTCGCTTCTTCGTGCTGGACAGGTTCAGACTCTGTCTTGCGACTGCAATTTTTCTGAGCTGCCGGACGCGCGTGTGATGGATTGTATCTGCATGAGCTTCCACCATGGCCGACGCGCGATCCTTGAGCTCCTCCATCCTTTGCTCGTTGACGAACCTCGTCTCCTCGTCTCTTGCCTGCAAAGCCCCGCGTATCAGCTCAAGACGCTGCTCTTGGAGCGCCTGGATCTCAGCCTCTCTCCTAGCAAGCTCTTCCATTTGCTGCATCTCCATCATGTTTCGCCAGGTCTCCGGGTCTTCGCCGATGTCGGGAAGCGCCGCTTCGAATGCTCTCCTCTTCCGAGCGCGCTCGATCATCTCGATCTCAGCCATGCCGGCAGGGAGACCTCGTCCCCAGACCAGGTCCTTGAGCTGCAGGAGCTCTGGCTCAGGAGCAGAAGGATCGAGAGGAGCGACATCCGGGGTGAACGGATCTGTCTGTGTTTCGCTCTCTCTGTAATCTGTCTGGGTTGATGCAACCTTCACCGCTGGCTCCTCCTCCACCATCACTTCTGGGAGACTCTCTGCTGACTTAGCATCTACAGATAGCAGGACGTCCGGTGGGACCGTCTGCAGCGAAGGCACTGTGGGGGTACGGAAGTACTTGAATCTGTTGGCACCACTGACAGCACTCAACTTGAGCACCATGCGTGAAGCTGCGGCACCTTGGTTCCCTCCTCTGAAGCCAGATACAGTGTAGATGGGGTCAAAGGCATAATCCTGTGGCCTCTCTATCTGTACAGCTATCGCTCGAGTCGTCATGGCTGCTGTACTGTCGACTCACTAGAACCTGTTTGCTGTTGGATCCCACCTCTTCAAAGGTCCTCCGACACAGTATCAGCTCCTCGGCAGGCAGGGATCAAGTGTCTGACAGGATATTCCTTGCTCCTCTCCTCTCTTCCTCCCCTCTGCCTTCACGTCCTCCTCTCTTCCCTTCCTCCCCGCGCCTCCATGGCGCCCTCACACTGCATTCACTATCCCCCGTCTCTTCTACCCCTCGGTTTCTCATCAGTTCCGGTCGGTGGGATGGTGGGGTACCCCTCAACGGGCAACGGTCAACCACCTCCCCTCACTGACCTGAATGGGAGTAACGGAACTTTGTAACGCCAGAAACATGAAATAACGCTTTAATAACGGTCATTTCGCCCCAGGTCCGAAACGATGTAGGAACTCAACGCTTGAGGGAACAATGTTGGCAGAGCCGAGGACAAGGTTTCGGAGAGCGTGGAGGAGAGGAAAGAGGCAGCAAGATGTGCGAGCAATAGAGATCATGACGATGACTACGAGAGAGAGGACTGTAGAAGCACAGGATCCTCGAGAGACTTAGTGAAAAGCTGGTGAATGAGGAGGAGGAAACGGATAGTGGTGTTGGCTTTTGGAGCAAAGACGAGTATGACAGAAGTGGAAGTTCGATCTGAGAGAGCAAGACAGACAGAAGAATGTTAGATCAAGGACAAGGATGAAAGAGGAGGTTTGCTGTGCTTTCAAGATGAGTTGAGAATACAGCCTTGAAAGGATAATTTCAGCTGAAAAAGTTGTTACGATCGTGAGAGGAATGAAGAAAGATGAAAGGGAAGGAGAACACATGTATAGATGCTTTACGTATCACAGGAAGTGGTGGGAATGTTTTACATGCTGTTTCGACAAAATCCTCCTGACAAGCTCCTATGTACGAAACAGGATGGTACTCGGTACAGGATGTGACATCAGCTATCGGCTCTAGGTTGTGCTAGTCTATCTGGTGCATTCTATGCTGACACAGACATGAAAGGATGCAAGCAAAGGATCAAGTGGGAGTTGGGATCGGAATCCGTACGAAAGATGGAGTTCTTGTCATCACTGACATCATCGAAAACGGGGCTGCTGCTAAGAGGTGATGGAGCTAAAGTTTGATGTTGCGTTGGCTGATGGAAGAAGCAGCGGATTGATTCAAGTTGGAGATGTTCTTAGAGCAGTCGATGGCAAACATGTCGGCTCGTCGTCTTCAACAGCACGGTGACGCAGCCAAGGAACTCGCGCTGGTGTTGACGGTTGATGCAGCAACCTGCTGGTTGGGCAAGTGGGAACGTCAGTGACTCTCACTGTAGTGAGGAAAGAATCGTTTCTGGGGATCGAGAGCATGAGAATGGACAGTATCTTCAACGTCCCTCTCGTTCGCTGCGGCCATTCGTCTTCGTCTTTCAGGACTGAAGATGAGCTGAGCGTGAAGGAGCAAGAAGGGCACTTGAGTGTTTCAGACCTAGATGATGTCGAGGCCTTGAGACTGAAAGTTTTTGAGCTGGAGGTGACAATTGTGCTGTCGTTGTTGACCTGACGGCTGACCGTTGTAGAATTATGTTGCTGTCACCTTGCAAAAGCTCGAAGCCGCCAACAGGAGATGGCAGGACGAGCAGGTTGTAACCGTGGTGACCGCAAGTGAGTTTTGATGTTGTGCATGCAGAGGCTGTCAAGGGACCTTCAGAAGAAGCTCGACTCAGCGCAGTTTGACTTCTCCCGTATGAACATGGAGGAAGAATCTGCGATGGTTCTGGAGAAAGTAAGAAGATCGCGATAGTGATGGGAGCGAGGAGTGATTGACGAGTGGCAGATTATGAGTGACATGCAATATGAGCTGACGAGTGAGCGAAGTCTGAACGCAAAGTAAGACTCTCGAGATGTTGTTTGTCATGTCGTAACATTCCATGGAAGGCTGCAAGAGGAAGTAAGAAGCTTCCGAAGTCGTATGGAGGAATTGAATCAAGAGAAGGTGGAGTTGCAAGATTTTTTTGAGGTGTGCTTGAACAATCTCTCTGCCTTGCTCTTGAAGCAGACAGCGCGTCTGATTACATCTTCACTTAGACATCATTGAAATCATCCAAGGATGAAGTGTTGGAGGTAGAGACCAAGTTGAAGACGACGAAGCAAGAGTTGTTCGAGTGCAAATGTGAGCTCAAGGAGATGATAGAAGTGTCCAAGGGCGACTTGCAGCAGCTGAACAATCTGTCCATTGAGCACGAGAAATTTATGAAACGGCTGAGAGAGGTGGAGAAGGAGAATCGACGTCTGCAAACACAAATGGAACAGCAAGATGTCAGCATGCAAGCCGCGCACACTGAAGATGCGTTGGCGAATCTAGAGCAAACTCTGAGCAAGATAAGAGAGCATGTCGCGCAAGATGAAGTTCACCGCCATGCAAAGAAGAGCGGAGCTGAGAGACTGCAAGCCGAGCTGGTTAAGTCGCGAGCAGCGATGGGTCAAGCAGAAGTTGCTGCTCGCGCTATCCGGAGGGAGGCGGATGAGATGCTCATAGCGTCTGATGGGATCAAGAGAGAGCTGTTTGCCTCCTCCTTGCATCGCATTGAGGAGCTGGAAGTCTTGCTTGCAGACTTGCGGCTCAAGGAGGTCTCTCCTCCTCTTGCTCCACCTCGTCCCTCTCCACTCTTTCGCTTCTCCTCCTGTCATCGTCCCCCTCCACCTCCTCTCGCTTCTCTCCCATCCATTGCCCCTTCTCTTGTCCTTCTCTCCCTCGAAGTGACATCTGAATGTTTGCAGGAGAGGGTCGCTGAGCTTGAGTCTACCTGCTCTGCTGCTGAAACAGACCTCGCCGAGAACAAACTTCAGCTCGAGAGCCTGCAGGAGAAGCTCAACATCGCCACCTCTCAGCTGGACAAGCAGCTCAAGCGGGCGAGAGAAGCAGAGTGCAAACTTGCGGGAGAGACGATCAGAGCCAAGAAGATGGAGGAGCAGGCGAGGATGGAGATGGAGGAAAAGAACGCAGAGATAAGAAGGTTGAAAGAGGAGGTGGAGGAGAAAGTCAAGGAGGAGAAGGATCAGCGCCGACTGGAGGTGGAGAGGGCAGAACGCGAGGAGAGCGCAAGGAGAGAGCATGAAGAGAAGATCAAAGAGCAAGACGAGCAAATCAAAGAGCTGCTGGAGAGGAGGCGCCAGGGGCAGGAGAAGATACGACAACTCGAGCTGAAGATGAAGGAGCAGGATGACTTGGTCACTGAGCTCGAGGAGAAAATCGAGGAGGTGGATGGGGAACGACAGAAGCTGGAAGAGAAATTGAGGGAGCAGGAAGAGGCGAGGCAAGAGGAGCTTGAGAAGATGAGAGAGCTTGTAGAGAAAGTCAGGGTGCAAGAACAGTTGATTACCGGACTTGTTGAAGAGAAGGACAAAGTTCAGCAGGATCTGGAGGGAGTGAGGCAGGAGGAGCAGCAGGTCCGACGGGAGCTGGAGAGGAGGGAGGAGGAGGAGGAGAACAACCGAGAAGAGCTCCAGCAGAAGATCAGAGAGCTTGACAAGCTACACCAGGAGGTGAGGGCGCAGGAAACAACACGCAAGGAGAGGGAGGAAGAGCGAAGAGACTTGATCCGAGAGGTTGAAAGGCTGCAGGAGAAGAGCGCTGAACTGGAAGACAGACTTCGGAGGGAGGAGATGAAATGCAGGGAAGTGGAGGAGCAAGGGGGGAGGGAGCTAGAGGGAAGGATCAAGGAGCTGCAAGAGATGGAGAGCATGTTGAAGGACTCAAGAGAGAGAAGGGACGAGGAGGTGAAGGCTCTATCGAAACACGTGGAGGAATTGCAAGCATGTCGAAGTGAGCTCATCAGTGAAGTCGAAAGGATGAAGGAGCTGGTGGAGGTGAGGACAGGAGAGAAGGAGGAGGCGATGAAGTCGCTTCATTCACTTCAGCACGAGATGAATGAGATGCGAGAGAGGAACAGTGCTGTTTGTTCAACTCCAACAGGACAACAAGAGCAGCAAACTGTCGCCTCCTTGCAAGTTGCCGAGCAGAAGATCTCCAACCTCACGGCAGAGGCTCGGGCCCTCACCGACAAGCTGGAGGCCCTTGAGAGTGAGCGGGACGAGCAGCGACTTGCGATCTCCACGCTAGAAGAGGAGCGAAGGCACATGAGGCAGGCGATGAAGGCAAACGACAAGACGCTGGATGCGCTGGACAAAGTCTTGTTGGAGGTCGAGGCCAACCTCGACGACCTCGAGCAGCGGCAGTTCGTTATCTCCACCTGGATCAACCAGACCAGGAACGAGAGCGAGAACCGTGAGACTGTCATTCATAGTATGGAAGAGAACTACAAGCATATCGTCAACCGATGTAATATGTTGGAGCTCACGATGAAGAGCATGGAGATGGAGAAAGAAACCTTATCCTTTGAAAACCATGACATCAAAGACAAGCTCGAGGTCTGTTCTGAACTCTTGTTGGTCACCTTTTGATGTCCCTCATGCAGAAATCGAGTTTTGAAAAGAGCATGCTGATTAAATGTCTCGAGAACGCCGAGAAGATCAGCTGGATTCTTCTTCAGGAAATTGAGAACACAACAGAAGATGTTGAGACCATCTTTTTGTCGTTGCAAGGCAGTCTCGACGAAGGGGAGAACTCCCTGATATCCAAGTCAGACCAAGAGCTGTTGCAACAAGGTGATCTGATTTGATGTGACTTGACCACGTTGATCTCGTGATCTTCTCTTTTCAGTCCAGCTGCTTGAGGTGGTGGCCGAGTCGATGTCCAACACGTCTGAAGCTATTCTTTCATCAATCAAAGAGACGGTTGGCGTTATGAGCCGCAGGAGAGGTCTGCATGTGTTATCCTCCCCCTCGGCCTTACTCGCTCGCAGCTCTTGACACGTCCGATGCAGCGGATGTTCGGAGGTAGCAGACAAAGTCTCCTTCCCCCCTCCTCACCTTCTTTCAGATCACACGCCCAGCAAGGGGCTGCTGAGGACCTAGACGGACAAGTGACCTGACGGCTTTTTCTACCGCCTCCTCTGACTGCTCCGTATAGCCTCCCACTGATCGAAATTCGGAAATTTCGGGCTTGAGGAAAGAAATTGAAAACCTTCGAGGTGAGCGCGAGAGCGGCAGGCAGGCAGAGCCTTGACTTGCTGGGGGCAGAGAACTTGGGGGCAGCGGAGTCGTCAAGGATCTCTCTGATCCAGCAGAATGAACAGCTGAAGCAGAGTTTCTACACGAAGCAGAAAGAGCATCTGGACCGGCTCAAGCTCGAGAGGGCGAAGGTTGTTGTGCGTCAGGCAGACCCTCAGCTGAGCTGCAGCTTCAGGTGGCAGAGGAGATGTCGTCAGCCTTCAAGGAGCTCACGACGAGACAAGAAAAGCTCGACCTGCTCTCCTCTGTCCTCTCCTGCATCACCGCCAAGGTTCTTTGCCTTCCCTTCACTCATGCATGAGCATCTGACAACGAGCAGGACTCTATCCTCCTCGAAGAATGCAGAGGCAAACGACTGCTTGCTCCTGCTGCCGACCAGAGGCTGCAGGAGCTGATTACTGTGCGCCTCCCTCCTCCTCTCATGCTCAGCTGACATTTTGTTCAGGAGGAAGGACAGCTCAGGACTCAGCTGGCTGCCTTAGATGCGCAATCTACAAATTCTTCTACCGTGTTCCAAGAACCTCTGAAAAAGACGCCGGCAAAGGGAGTTCTCAAGTATTGCCATACCTGTCCTGTCATTTCCTTTCTATTCCTTTCTATTCAGTGTCCTGCCCTGCCCTGCCCTGCCCTGCCCTGCCCTGCCCTGCCCTGCCCTGCCCTGCCCTCTCCTTTCCTTTCCTTTCCTTTTCTTTCCTTTTCTTCCCCATTCCAGTTTTAATTCAAAATCAGGAGGAATTCGATCGAGTCGGACAATGCGATGAACAGTACGAGCGTGTTGGAGGATCAAACTGGTGAGGAGACCGGAGCAAGAGCATTCACCATTGACGATGACGTTGCAGTGAGCGAGAGGAAGCGAGTTGCGTTCGCCGAGTCAACGGACGATCACGAGTTTGAAGATGTTTTAGTGGAGATGCATGATGTGGACTCAGTCTCTTTGTAAGCAAATGTTGATTCAATGAAATGATACATATTTGACGTCTCAAGGGGGCAAGCATGTAAGAAATATTTCTGCTCTGCTCTGCTCTGCTCTGCTCTGCTCTGCTCTGCTCTGCTCTGCTCTGCTCTGCTCTGCTGTCTCGCTCCATTTGTCTGTTGCATCCGTTTCAAGGCATTTTTCAGAATGTCTGCTCTCTGTTCTACCCCTTCTTTTTCCAGCCCAAACACCGGTCCTGTGACCTCAATGGTTTCAAAACAAAAAAAAAAAGCGTCAAGCGCGGAGTCGCTGACCTCCCCGCCCCCCTCCTCTCTGTTCTGTTTCTCCCTCCTCCTGCGACGTTTCCTGTCGTTCCCTTCCTCTCTTCTCGCCTAGTCTGTCTCTCCTTTCACTCCTTCGCGTTTTGGTTCTTCCGCCCCCCTTCGTCCCGCCTTTCCTGCCCATCCTCCATCTCTCCACTTCTGGTATTTGCTGTATCTGTCTTTCACAACCCCAGCATTCCCTGGTTTCCTTCCGCGCCTTCCGGAAGCTTTTGCACCATCAAAGCGTGCTTCTCGATGAACTGATTCTTCTCTCTTGTGTAAGCGTCGTATAGTGTGAACAAGTACACAAACATGTCAGTTTTCAAAGCAGTCGTATGTGCAGCAATAATTGCTCTCCCGTTATTCTTTTTGCTTGGAGTATGGTTTGCAGTCTGGAGGTACCGGGTTGTGTCAACCAGGAAGGCACGCTATAAGCTAAAGGCCTCGGAGGAGTCAGAGACCAAAGGTATCACGAAGAACAGCAACGGGAACAAACGCGAGAGAAACTCGTATATGTTGAGCTCAAACCTTGTGACTCTGTCACATGACAGACCCGAAAGCAAACATGTACCCATGCCAAGACCAACACGAGAGTCAGATGACATAGAAGAATTGATTGAAGCTGAATCCATGTCATCTCCTGTACCAGATATTCAAGAAAAAGTTCAGCTGCCGAGAAATCCTCGCAGAGCTGACTCTGCAGCAAGGGAGACGGTTGAGGCAAGTCCGATCACCCCAAGATCAGGGTATAACAGGAATAGGGTTCATGCTGACGATCGCGCTCACAGTCAAGTCTTTCCAAGCCAACGAGAGATCGACAAGGAGGTCATAGACGCCATCTCCCAGGGTACCTCCTGATTCTCCAACCTCGCTGCTCCCTTTGACTTTGCGTTACAGGAAACCTCTCGAGATTGAAGTCAGCAATAGTGCTGGGGGACATCGGCATCAACGACCCCCTTGACATCAGCACGGGCAGGAATGCTCTACACATCGCGTCTGCCACAGGTCGCACAGAGATCGTCTTGTTTCTGCTGGAAGAGGCAGGGGCAGACATCATGTGCAAAGACTTCTACGGGAAGGATGCACGTTCCTTGGCGCTTCAGAATCATCACTTGGACCTGGCCAACTACTTTGCTCTCTTCCTTGAGGGGCATTTTGAAGAAGAAGAGTCGTTGTGATGTCAACTGTCCAACTTCATCGATCTGGGCAGGTGGGAAGGAGCGCTTGTGTCCTTCGCATGGTTTGGTCTTTGACATGTGCCGTACGAAAGAAACCATCTAGAGCAACGAAGGGGTTGTGATGCAGATAAGAGCGCATTCTGTTCATGCTTCTAGTGTCTGCACACCTCGCCCTTTGAGTTCTATGCTTCAATTTAATGTAACTGTTTAGTGTAATCATCGAGCAACAGCAAACATCTACTGACAAGCAACAGCTGAGCCTCCTCGTGCAGCTTCCCTCCATAAAGTCCAGAGCCTCCTGGAAGAGCTCTTCCGTTGCTGAGCAAGTCTCCTCGTCTACCTCCGCTCACCATCCCTCGCTCCTTCCTGCCCTCCCTCGTCGTGTCGCTGCTTGACGGGACCCTGCCGGGAGTAGGGCCAGCTCCACACCCCGACCTGCTTGCACGCTCTCTTCAGCGCCGAAAGAGAAACCCCCTGCCCTCCCCGTCAGTCCAACGCTCCGCAGCAAGCGAGGAGAGGGTTGGTAGGACTTACGAGCTTGTTGGCAGCGTCGGCCTGTCGGAGAGGGAAGAGGGCGGCGATGTCGAGGAAGGAGAGGCAGACCGGGCTCTTCTTGAGGTGCAGGAGCTTCTGCACACCGGAGCGTCTGGGGACGATGCGAGCGATGCGAGGCTCGAGCATGCGAGTCGAGAATGAGGGAAGGGGATGGGTAAGGGAGGAGAGGATCGAGGAGCAGGAGAAGCCAGGAGAGTCAGGGGGACGAGGAGGAAGGGAGACAAGGGAGGGATGCGGTAGAGGTAGGGTAGTCATCAGTCGGTCTCGTGACTTTACTATTCATCCCCATGGCACCCTTGGTCCCTACTGCAGCACCGGACGCATCTTAGAGCTGCAGTATCTCCTCAGGTCTTATCGGCTACAACTCGTCCCATCCGTCGGTCAGCAGAGTGCCGGTAGGTACCGGTCACCCTGTACTTGTGCTTCCCTGAGCCCTCACCCATGAAGGCCTTTGATAAGCTGGAGTGGGAGGCTGGTGACACTGAATCTCAGACGAGAGGTGAGGGCGACAACAGAGCATAGGGAGGACATCGCCTCCGAAGATGAGTTCACCCACGAACCTCACACAGAGGGACACAAAGAGATAAGATTCCAGCAGAAGAAGAGTGCGCACAAGATCTCTCTCAGCAAACGACTTGTTTGACATGCTTGACCCAAGTCTTTTCTCTGCTTGATCCTGTAAATTCGTAAAGAGATGGGCCGAATCGAAGAATGACTGGCTTTCTTTGCCAAAATCCAGTTCACGTTGGCAACATCTTTCTCTCACTCTGCATTCGCCTAGAATGCAAGCAGGTTCCTACCAGTCATCTTTATCATGCATATCTTATGACCAAACTTTCAAGAGCTTTCAGCTATAACATCTTCTTTCCTGCGAACAACCTAAGCCATTTCAATTACACATGGATGAAATCTTCGTTCAACTGAGACATGCAGCCATGGCGTCGGGAAGGCTTCATCCTTCGCAGATGATGTCTCAACGGGATTTTGTTTCGAGGCTCGGAAGAGGAGGAAGATGACCATGTGGCAGTGGACACAAATCATTCATTTACTATTAATAAAATCAGATACAAGCTCTCCTTCACTCATTTGCTTCACTCATTTGCTTTCAAGGACATCAAACACAAGTTCTCTTGAAGCTGACACGTCTTCAATCCTCACAAGCCTCCCGCTCCTGTCGATGGAAGGCCTCCATGGGCTTCTGTGCGCTTCCTCGTACAGCATGTAGAGACCCCACGGCTGGAAATCTCCCCGGCTGTCGATGGAAGAGGCCCAAACATCCTTGACGTGTTCCAGCCGTGGCGATGAGGAGGGGGAGGAGGGCTTGGTTTCATGCTCACTGAAGCAGTCGAGGTTTCTCTGCGACGGTTGACAAATGAGATCATTGCGAGAGTGAGAGGAGATATTGGTGCAGCTCAAGCAGGTCATAGCAAAACACAGGATTGCTTCAGCGCAGTGCTGGTGGCGTGGAAGGACTCAGAGGGATAGGGAGGATGGGGAGGAGGAACTGATAAAGGCTGCGATCACATGGGACAGATTCGTATCCAAACTTCTTGGAGGAAGGGGGAACGTAAAGATGTCAAACAACTCGTTTCCATCCGCTGGTCCTTCGTGAAAGCGGGTCTTATGAGATCTCAACGCTTTTGTCTGGCTGCCTTGTTTTGACTGTCTCCTATAAAATAGTTTTAGCGGCTCACTGGCCCCTTGGCCGCGTGACCGGAGGACTCCGGGAATATCCGACCGATGCGCTAGAAGATCTTGAAGCCTCGTCACTGCTACACTATAACTTAACTTTGAGTAAACTTAGCTACACAATCACACTCACCGTACTATCACTACTACAACATTTTTCGTTTTACTCCACTACTGAGTCAGCGGCACGGGCGGCTTCAACGGGGGGGCCGCTGTTGGACCAGACTGAGGCCGCTCCCGGTCGGAGCCGAGAAGTTCAAGTTGCGGCTCAAATGGCCTCTTGCAGGACGATGGGTGATCCGACTTGCAAACGCATCCGGTCCAGGATCTTTCGTCAGCTCAAGGCCTCCCTGTCCTACGCTGCCATCATCGCGGGTGCATCCCGGTATGCGTCTCATTCCTTCGGCGGCGGCCACCGCGACATCGCTGGCATGGCGGCGCGGGGGGATTGTCCAGCGCGCCGTTAAGTGAAGGTATCAGTTAAGTTTGGGGGACAGCAGTTGGCAGGATTGGGTTTGGTTCTCGCTGTCTTTTCTCTTCTCGCCGTTTGGCCTGTGCGACAGTGTCAGGGTCAAGCCTCCTCGACTCTCCTGATTGTCCTCGTACTGATCTTTACCTTAACTTTGAGTAAAGAAAGCTCAAAGCCTGGAAAAGCCTTGATCTTTCTGCAAGTTCGCCGGGAAGTTCAATTGGCGAGGAAAATCCGTTCACCGAGAGACTGAGACGCCGTCCGACGACGAGGCTGGCCCAGACGGACCGGCCCGGCGCCGGACGGTCCCGGGGGCCCCGGACACCGAGCGTCAGGCCACGGGCCGGGCCGGGCCGGGCCCCGGGGGACTCAGGGCCGCGAGTCACAGTCGGACCGTCTCAGGCTTCAACGGCCGCTACGGCGTCCGGCCAGGCTGCCGCTCAGCTGTCAGGCCAGTGTGCCGGGCCGCGCGGCCCGGGCCCCGGTCGGCGCGGCGGGCGCGGCCTGGGCTTGAGGAGGGACGTGGACCCAGTCTCCCGAAATAGAACGAGCAATGGTGAGTTGCGAGTCTGATGAAGATGAAACTGCATGGAGGGAGGGGGAGAAGGATCAGAGGAGGAAGACATGGAGTAGTGGAGCATCAGGAGGGAGGAAGGGGGGAGTGAAGGGGGGCGGAGAGGGAGGAATGGTGGGAGAGAAAGAGGGAGAGGAGGGGAAAGAAAGCAGATTTCCAAGCAGTGATAAGTGTATAACACCATTACCGATGAGATAAATGAAGAATGAAGGTAGTATACTTATCCATTATTTTTATGTAGAAGAGGCTCAAAGACGGAAAGAAGGAGAAAGAAGTGAAATAGTCTTGATGCTATAATTGCAGTTCGCTCTCGCGCAGAAGTACAATGCCTTGAAGGGCCACCAACTCCAAGTCCTTGATGGCAATGGCGAGCCAGAGCTCGACAGGTACTTGTAGTGTGAGAGCTTATGATGGCCTGACTCGACTGCTCTAGCTACCTCGCCATGCCCAACAACACCTCCGATGGCGACTTGTGGAACCCCCTGACTCGGAGACTTGTATGATGTCAACTCGATTGGATGCTGGCTGACGCTGCTGCAGGCTGCGCCATCGCCTACGACACCACCCCAGCATAAGTTTGCCACGGTGATGCGAGAGAGTGCAGAGCATGAAGCAGGTCAAGTTTATTGTAGAATATGACAGCGTAGCAAGTTGTGCTGTCTTGCAAGATCGCGAAGTCTCCTGATGCTCGCAGTCGCTTGAAAGTTTTTGTTCAGTGTGAAGCTCAAGAAGCTGAGTTGATTATCCATCCCTCTCCATCCATACGGTTGGAACCGTTTCGTGTCTCTTCAATCAGTCTTACAATTTCTTCCTCCGTCGAATCGTCTGTGCTTCCCGCCTCTTGTTTGTTCTCCGCTTTGGCCTGGCAGCTTCTGTCCATGAGCTCGTTACAGTTTTCCTCCTCTTTATGCTCCTGCGCCATCTCAAACAGCCTCGTGTAAAACTTGGCGTAGTCCGGGTCAATCCCCTTGCCCTCAACCTTCATCCGTTGAGGTGAAGCATCGGAAGAGACATCAGAAAACCTTGAACTATGTGAGATTGCATCCTCATCTTCAGAGAGTTCAGAAGATTCTTCCTTGCGATCTCGGTCACCGTCGCTCTCGTTCTCTTTGCCGTCAAGAGCATCCGAAGAATCTGGTCGGGCCCCAGGCTGAAACATCTTCTGTATGTTCAGCTTCTGACGGAACTTGGCCAGTCTCGCATCTCTTCTGCTCCATTTCTCCTTCTCCTTCTTCTCCTCCTCCTCCCGTTTCTGTCTGCAGCGTAACCTCTTCCTTCCAAAACCCTCAAGGCTCACCTTGGCCTCCAGTTTCCGTCGAGCATCTTGAACTCGCTGCGCGGCTCGTTGCATGCAGACAGCCCTGAAGCACAAGAGATTTACAGATTTGACAAGGCAGTAGGGGGAAACGACCTCATGTGCTGAAGGTATTTGGCCTCCTCTGAGTCCAACCCATTCGTTGGCTCGTCTGCTCGGGAAGAACGATCTGAGGAATGTCAGGAGAGGAACAGACAGGCAGTCGTATGTCACCTGATGATTCTTTCTTGAACCTTTCAAGCAGGTTCTTCTGTAGCATGCTCTTTGTTTTCATCTGTAGCATCTGCAGCTTCTCTTTCTTGAGAGCTTTTTCCTGCCGCTGTGCTTCCTCCTCCTTTGACTTGGCATTCTTCAACTCTGCTGCAGCTTTCCTCGCTCTTTCTGCAATCTTCCGCTTGTCCTTTCGAGAAGAAGGTTGCAACCTACTGAAAGCAGAAGCTGAGTTTCCAGCTCCTGGGTCTGTTGCTGCTGTTGCTTGGCCTGCTTGTAATCTTGAACCTTCTCCTCGGTCTTGGTTGTTCGAGCTAGGAGGTGCCAAGTTCTGTCTAGTTGTTTGGTCACGCGAAGATTTCTTAATAGCAATATGAGGACCAGGACTAGAATGGCCGGGAATGAGAAGAGGAGGAACTGCATTGCGAGGAGGTATTGGACGGGGAGGAGAATGAGGCATAGGATGTGACGCATGAGAAAGATGTTGAGCGGGAGGGTGTAGTGCAGGGCGATGGAAGGCAGTAAGAGGAGATTCATGCTTTGTTTCGCCATCATCTCTCGTCCTGGAAGAGAAAGTCAAGTCGAACAGCCCGCTCTTGCTATCCGAACTCTCCGAAGGAATCGGGCTCGTTCCAGGATGAAATTTTGGTTTCTCCGGTGGGGCAGATGGCCGGGGATGAGAGCCATTGGGTTTCGGAAATGAAGACGCCAGAGGGTCAGGATGTTCAGGGCTGACAACCTTAAGAATTCCTTGACCCTTTGCTTTCAGGGGTTTGCTCGTAGGAGTGGCAAATGCTTCTGATAAATTGATCGTTGGATATTTGCTGGACACGTTCTCCTTGGAGTTCTTCCTCGATCCCTCATGCTCTCCTGTGCGAGGCTCTGTCAGTTTATAGGAGAGAGGAAGAGTGAAGACATGAACCTCTGCCACATGATGGTGAGACCGGAGGAACAACTACTCTTTGGTATGGAGGGACCCCTTCCATTCCAGACTGCACATGGCGAAAGATTCTGTTTCGTCCCTCCTGATCTTTTGATGCACTTAATCCTCGACTCTTCTTACATGATAGAGGTTGATGGTCTGGTTTCTTCGAAGAAGAAACTTGTGATATGTATTCTTTTCTCCTCTTGTCTTTGTGCCACACCAAGTAAGCATTGCAGTGCTGGACAAGCTGAGGGATTCCCAGCGCCATTCCAGCGGTGATCAAAGAATTAATCCCAGAAGAACTGAATCCAATCCACTCACACCTGCTAGCAAGCTCCAACTCTCTTTGTGTCTCAAGTTCGTGAGATTGATTGAGGAGGGAATATCCAGCAAATTCGCTGCTGATCATGTTCCTAAGTCTCGCAATGACAGCGAAATCCTTGAGGATCTCTTCGTCAAGGTTGATCACTCTCTCTGATCTCTCCGCCAAATTCCTTCGGATTTCCTGCAAAGCCACGGAATGTTGCCTGCTGGTCAGAGCACCTGCAAGCGATGCAATCTTGTGTCTGAGCACCAAAATCTCGTTCACTTCTCTCGAGCTCGCAGCATCGACGAGAGATCTTCGAATCGAGTTCAGCGCTCCCATCACCGTCTCCATCTGTGCCTGACAAGTAGCTGAATCACGCACCATAGCATCTTCTTCCACTCTCTCAGCACATGACTTCCAATCCTCGAAAATTTTCGGGTTTTGTAAGTAACCAATCAGTCTTTGTGCAAAGCTGATGTCGAAAAGTTCATCAGTGTTCCGTATAAATCCGTAGCAATCCAGAAGCCATTGCTCGACCATCCTCTCGTCAACGTCGAAGCTGCCTTCTCGCTCGCTCTCGAGGAAGCGTTTTCGAATCAGGTCGCTACCTCGGACCACACACGCAAACTCCTCCTCACTTAGCTGGAGAGCAGCTGACGGACGAGAAGCCTCGCCCTCGATCATGTGCCAGCTCCATCCTCCCTCCCTCCTCCTCCACCCCCATCCCCTTCTCACCATCTCGCTAACCCATCCTGCTTGGTGCCATCGTACGGATCAGAGTTTGACGCAGCCGTTACAAAGGGGGTTACACAAAGGCAGCCGTTGTCAGGCGGTCTCTCGGGGTGGGGTAGTTCAGTGATGTTTGGGGGGTACACCGATCCCCCGGCGGCGTGGGCCCCGGGCCTCCGTTCTTTTCATGCAGCAGTGCCAGTATATGATCGCCGTCTCACTGCCAGCCATACTTCGCCGTAACAGCAAGAGGCGTCCGTCGATCAGGTTCTTGTCTTTTTACGACAAAGTATAGTTCTCTCACAAAAGCTGTTGCCGAATAGCCACTCGACCTGGAAGTCTTCAAACTGCGAGCACCTAGAGCCGGAGATGGGACCGTGTCAGTCAGTGACATGGCTGAACGACATGTCAATCTTTACAGCATGGACTTGCACTCCTCCACGCGCGTGACTGCCACTCCCGTCGGACTCGCCCTGGCTCTCAGTTCAGGCAATGGAAACCTTGATAGGGGCAAGGGCAGGCGGATGGCAGGAGGATCAAGAACCTTTTTGGCAGCTTCACTGTGAGGATCAGCAGACCCCCGGGGGCAAGGAAGTTGGCGATGGGCAGCACCAAGTTTCGAACCTTCGAGGAGTCAAACTCGACTAGGAGTTCATGAAAGAAGTTGACACCGTATCCCGAGCGTCGTTGTTGCTGTCACACATCAAGACTCCAAAAGGAGACCAGCTGATGTTTGTAAGACTCTCACCATCGCCCGCGTTGCTTGTGTTTGAGGATTTAGCGTTCTCGTCAATAACAAGCGCTGCCTGTTGCGCTTTCATTTGTAAATGCGTGATCTTGCTCTTGCACGAGTCCAACTTCGGGTCCAGCTGACCTGCTGGGAAGTCAGGGAAGTAAACGACAAAGGCACAAGAAAAGAGCAACCAGGATCGATCGCAAGTACATGTTTGACGCACGATTGCCGCGCCATGTGCCGCTGTTTGACGTCAGCTGGACCTCTTGCTTAGGAACACATACCGTCCAGCCTCCCGGGGCAGCTCCTACGTCACAGACAGTAAAAGGAAGGAAACTTGGCTTCCAATGGTAGGGGCGGCGAGACAAATCTACGATAGAGCCCTCCTGCATTCACTTCAACCGAATTGAAAAGAACATCAAGACTGCCGACTTTGTCTCCCGATTCCAACCCAACAATCTGTCGCTTTCCCGTCAACATCTAACTTTAGCTTGTCTTTGCACCTGCATCGCCTCGAACAGTTTGAAGGTTGCATGATTCAACGGATCGCTGGTCGAAGTCAGGCTTTCCTCGCTCTCGCTCGCCTGGCAATAACATACAGTGAATTCACCGAGTCATTACATTCAAGGCTAGGTCAACTTCATCTTTCTCCGTATGATTCGATCTTTTTCCTGCTATCCGATGTTTCTCCTCTTGTCTTTGATAGTATCAGTGTGATAAAATTCTTACTGCAGCTCTCACTGTAGGTTCATCAGTCGGTCGAACCATTCTTTGCCCTCACAGACTGTCGCATGGGTCAATGAGCTTTCACGATGTTTGACAATGTGCGTCACACCATCCCATAACACTGTTTCTTTATGAGTCTTCTCATCCATCCTGAATTCAGTCACTGTTAGATCACCTTTCTTCTTCAGCTCAAGGCAAGGATCACGTGGAAAGTGAAAGGAGGAGGTGTGTGAATTTTGTCGGGCTAAGAACATATCCTTGCTCTTCTAAGATCTTGTCGAAGTCAACCAAGTCAGACTCCATCTGCAAGAGTGACCAACAACACCGTAGAAAGAGAATTGTGGTGTGAAGGAGGAAAGGCCTGCAGTCGGATTGCTGCCTTGGGCGGAAGAAGGGATTTCATCCTCGCTAGTTCGCCTCTCTGCCATCGCATGTGAGCTGAGGAGGAAGAGAGCTTCTGCAAGTACTTCATCATGAGAAAGGAAGAGTGTCGGGAAAAATCTGTAGCTTCTTCGTGCAAACCCATCTCTGCCGTTGCACAATTTACGCAAAGTTTCCCAGAGGCGATCCCGCATTCCATTTATGTCATTGTTTGTTTGAGAGACATCTGCCAAGACTGCCCCGACATGATCTCTACCCGAAAACACCTGATGCAGATATGCAGTGCTTTCAAAGAACATCTACATGGAACGGATGGTAAGCCAGGGGCAAAGCGGAATCCTGGCAAGACGTACCCTGAATCTTTCCGTGAGGGTTTCGTCGCAGCTCAGAGACAAGCACGCATGAATCTGCGCTCCTGACGAGTCTGGATCTGCTGTTTGGCTCATCTTCGAGCCCTCGACGGTGCCTTCCCTATCAAAAGTTTAGCCTCCGATGCCTTCATTATCAAAAGTTGAGCCTCCAAATGCTCGCCTCCTGCTGTGCGGCCACGCATCCTATATACCAGTCTCATCTCATCTCGTCTCATTTCGTCTTGTCTCGTCTCATCTCATCTCATCTCATCTCGTCTCGTCTCGTCTCATCTCGTCTCATCTCGTCTCATCTCGTCTCATCTCGTCTCATCTCGTCTCATCTCGTCTCATCTTGTCTCGTCTCGTCTCGTCTCGTCTCGTCTCGTCTCGTCTCATCTCATCTCGTCTCGTCTCGTCTTGTCTCATCTTGTCTCGTCTCATCTCATCTCATCTTGTCTCGTCTCGTCTCGTCTCATCTCATCTCATCTTGTCTCGTCTCGTCTCGTCTCGTCTCGTCTCGTCTCGTCTCGTCTCGTCTCGTCTCGTCTCATCTCATCTCGTCTCGTCTTGTCTCATCTCGTCTCATCTCATCTCATCTTGTCTCGTCTCATCTCGTCTCATCTCATCTCATCTCATCTCATCTCATCTCGTCTCATCTCGTCTCGTCTCGTCTCGTCTCGTCTCGTCTCGTCTCGTCTCGTCTCGTCTCCCCTCCCCTTTCCCTCGACCTGAGCTGCGTCCCCCGACACCATTGTTCGACAAAGAACATATAAAACAAGTTTTATCAGTGCCGGAATCCCAAACCTAAAACTCGCTTTTTTAAAAGCCGGGGCATGGCCGACAAGAATGAAGGGGTTGATGCGGATCTTCGGGTTTATCCTTCTCCTCTCGCTGCTCCAGCTGCTCCTCATCGGCAGGAGAGCTTCGTCTCGTCCTCGTCCTAGACTTCTCGGCAACCTCCGACCAGACGCTCGAGCAGACAGGAGGAGCGAACTGGACTCACTGAGGGTTGAGATAGCTGATGCTAAGAGAGTCCTCAGCAACATCCAGCACTCCTTACTCGACTGTCAGGACTCCGAGTTGCTCTCCTCCACCAGTCCAGCCCCTTCACATGAGCCCAGCTCCCCTTCTGCTGTACCAGCGATCCCTCCAGCTTCCCCCCGCCAATCGCTTTCCATGGCTTCGGCATCACCTGCTCCATCTTCTCTCTTGTCAGCCCGTCCCCTCAGCCCTTCTCATCCGACGGAGCCAGCCAAGGATCAGTTCCAAGAGTTGCCTCACACAAATTCGTCTTACAGCAACTCTGACTGTGACATCATGGTGAACATCATGACGACAGTGATAGAAGCTGGGGATGAGCTGAAAGAAAAGGCACAACTCAACGCTCTTGCATCTCTTTCCCGTCTGCAGAGCGCGAGCTTGGGCCAGATCCGAGTATGGTTGTTCACGACATCCTTGTACTGGTCAGAGGTTGCGATGGGTTTTGGGATTAGAGTGGTGGACAAGTTCGAGACTAACTCAGCGGGCACTCCCATGTTCTCATACCTGTTCCAACATGTTGAGAATGTTGACTTGTGTGCTGTCAAGAGTCGGTTTGTCTTCGATGGGTATGTGAACGGCGACATCATCCTCACGAGTCGAGTGCATTTGACTCTGACTGAAGTCATGCGGAGATGGTCCGGCCCATTGCAATCAGGGGAGCGACAGGGAGTGCTGGTGATAGGAAGGCGTCACAACGTGGAGTATCAGGGGCAGCTGCTGGGAAGCGATCGGGAGGTGGAGGAGCTGGTGGGGTTTGCGGAGATGTTTGAGAGCTACGCCATGGACTACTTCTTCTTCTCGAGAGGCTGGATGAGTTGGAATGACATCCCTAGCTTTGTGGTGGGCAGGAGAGCCTACGACAACTGGCTGGTGGACCATGCCTTCCACCGCCCGGCCGTCGACCTCATCGATGCCACCGCAAGCATCTTCGCGCTCCATCTGACGGGGTCGGACGGCATTCGAGCAGGACACAACAAGGGGAGCGACAACGACCACAACGTGCTGGCAGTGAACCCCTTGACGATGAGCGTGGTCAGCGAGGTGGAGTGGGATCACGGGACGACAGATCATGCGGGCTACTACACGCAGATGATGGGAGGGCAGGTCTTGATCTACTCGCGCCCGGTGTGGTGACGTCAAGAGCGAATGCTCACGTGTACAGTGACGAAGTGGAAACTCGTCGAATAACGTTTTTTACATGTCCAAAAACTCCTCCCCATGCTCACCCTCCATCGTGATTGCGTCACTGCGAAGGAGCTTTTTCCTCCATCTCGGAAGGGAGGGGCATGGCGAGCGCATTCCGAGCGATGTTGGAGACATCCATGCAGTAGACTAGCTGCTTCCACCTGCCAGGTTGTCAGCCATCGCCTTCACCTCCCTGACTTGTCTCACACTCTCGGAAAGTCTTCATGCTGCAAAACCTGGCTAGGAGTCAGCTGGAAACCTCAGCTTCACATCTCCTCACCGTCTTCGCAAGAGCTTCTCCGTGCGCGCGAGCCGATTCTCTGTGCTCCCTCGACAACATTTTGATCATGCTTCGACCTGCAGGAGCCTCAACACCACATGCGTTGAAGCTCAGGGAGGCGAGCGAGCAAGGTGGAGTAGAAATGGCACAAGGACAGGAGGGGGGAGAGAGAGGAACAGAAGGACATACCTGTAGGCGAGGAGACCAGCTCGCGTAAAGAGGACCCAATCTTGTACAGATGCTGAAAGATCGTCAGTTGGGAAGCTACTCGCAGGTTTCACCTGTTCCCTCTCAGTATCTCCCGGCAACGATCGACGAGACAAGTTGAAGAGCGACGTGACGAAACCTTGCCGGCATGTCAGGCCTCTCACAAACCCTCTAGTTCACCAGCAGCAAAAATCATCCACAAGGGCCCGGAGTCTTTCGGGTCGATGATGCTCTAGAACATTCCTGTTAGGTCAAGCATACTTCTTCCTCCCCATCACCTTGAACTTGTCGCAGACCTTTCGGAATCGCGAACTTCCGCTAAGGAGCGTCAGGGTCACTAACCCGAGTCCTTTGACAACCCACATCAAACTTGATTCTCCTCGCCTTCCTCCGCACTTACCCCACATATCATTGCTCATCATGCGCCTTCCCGTCATGATTCTCGTGCTAACGTGGAGCCGTCACGGTTGATTCCCCTCATGTTTCAGGTTTACCTCACGACAGGATCGACCGTCAGCATCTTTGTGGTGGCGCGTGTGAGGGCCGGAAGGTCTCCGAGCCAATATTCATCGCCTGAGCAGTCAACCATCACGGAGAACCCAGCTCCTCCCTCCTCGTCCCCTCTCCTTCCCGCTCTTGCTCCTCTCGTCGCTTACCGACGTTCAAAATGTTCGCCATTTTCACATCTCCATGTGCTACGCCGCAAGCATGCATACACCTAGCATCGCATTAGTTACTCGCCATCTCTTCCCCTTTGCTCTCCACATCCTCCTCCTCCTCAGGACAAGTGAGATCTAGAGAGACTGACCGCAGCGATTTCCCTATATCTTCCAAGACCTTGATAGCAATATTGCGAGGAGCACCGGCACGCCACTTGCTTCTGGCGGTCGAGCCGAGATCTCCCTCTGCAAGCTCGAAGACAGAGCACAGGAGGCGGACATTGCGATAACCCTCCTGCCCCTGAGCGCCTGTTCCCTTCGAGTCTGGGTTGCACAGAACGTCCGCAAGCTCACGGCCTTTGATCCGCCTCGTCCAATCATTCTCTGTCAGACTTTGATTTTCGTTCTCCGGCACTGGCTCCATGTAAATCGTGTGCCAGAACCAGAGCAGAGGCATCAAGATCATACTGTTCCTCCTCTCTTCGATCGACGACGAGATTAGAATGCCCCCATTCTGCGACGGTTTCTCTCGTGCTTTGCGCAGCAGTCGATTTCTTTGCTTCACAACATGCTTCGAGAAGGCTTCGACGGTTGGCTCCTGGTAGCATCGCACGATTGAAGTCTGATTCCACACCTGCACGGGAACATTCACGCTCATCCCCCGGTCCTCGCGGAAGACAGGAGGAGGCTTGTCTTCCTTCACAGCGTTGGCTGCCTTCATCCCAAACATGTCAAGGACAAGGTGGAATGCCAACCAAGCAGCAGCATCCAGAGAGCTTCTCATTGGTTCAAGTCGAAACGCGACTTTGTTCTCTCTGTCCATCAAAACACACGCAAACCCCCCCTTGGAGTGTTCCGGCGGTGTCATATCAGAGCTGTCCTTCGTTGGATCGACAGTAAGATTGCCACTGGTGTCAGCAGAGCTTCCAGAAATGTTCATGTCTGCCATTTGCGCTCGCCATTCGAGAATTTGTTCCATTCTTGCCTTGAACGCTTCGACCACCTTATCGCTGGTACGATCAAGAGCATCTCTCTCCGCATCAAATCGTTTCTGCAGATCTTTCGTCATCGATCCATTCAAGGACATCTTTGATTCTCGATGAGTCGCCATCAGTTCAGTTATGTTCTTGAGTTGCTCCATCAGCGGTGCTCCATGATCGATGCTGCTGGTGCCCTCAGTCGGAGTTTCACCGCTTGTCGCCTTCTCCTGCAGTTCACAGTCAATGGCCTGTAGCGAAGCTTCATCACGATGAAACACTTTGCTCAGCCTTGTTGCCTGGAATCAAAATCGTCAAGGGATTCAACTTCACGATATCTGTACATTCACCTGTCTTAGCGCAGTTTTGGCCATCTTGTTTTGTAAAGCTTCGGCATGGAGGTCAATGGAGACATGGTTGATGTTTCAGGGATACCTTCCACTGTCTTCTGGACATCATCGCCATCCTCAGCATCGACATTCTTCTTCCTGCATTTCAGCAACTCAGTTTGTATCCCCCCCACGCCAGGCTCACCTTGGTTGACGTCTTGGCTTTTCCTGCAGATTGAGACCATCCTGAAGCAGAGGAGGGTAAGAGAGCGGCGCATGACACGGAGATGCACTCACGTCCTTCCTCCGTTTGTTTCTGAGCTTGACTGAATCCGACCCCCCTCGTAAAAGAATAGTACGTGCGCTGCAATATTTGAAATCTGTTCGGCAATCCGGGCTTGTTCCCTTGGACATGAGCTTCAGTCGCTCTGTGAGCTGTGGAGAGCGATGCAGCAGGTCTAACTCCTTCATGGAAGTCCAGATGCTGCCCGTATGCTCTGTTATGATCGGTTGCACATTGACTTGAGCAAAAGAACAGGAGCTGAGGATCGCTACCATCAGGGTCGCAGATAAGACCATACCTTCGAACTCAACCCGTCCTCACATCCAGCAGTTCAGTATCTCCATCTCCATATGCCAGGACTGTGTCTCTTAACTGGCCCCCGTTGTTTTCTTCCCTGTCTGCTCCCTCCTTTTGTCGCACTGCCTCCTCTTTAAGGTATCATAATAGTTCAAGGATCCCACCAGCCCGTGATCTGTGAGCTCTTGCCTCTCCATGAGCTTTCTGTACTTGGTAGAGATTCAAGCATTGCTCTCTCCCTCTCTTACACGCCTCCGCCTCTCTCCCTCCGCCTCTCTCCCTCCCTCTTCCGCTCACACAGCTTCCCGCCATCATTCATACGGATCCCACCCCTCATCCCCCATCCTACACAAATCTTCACCCTCATACTCATCTTTTATAACCCCATGAATGCACATGCGGACCATGCAGCGAAGGGGTGAATGATGGCAGGACGCGAAGGGCGGGAAGAAGATTGATAGAGGAGAGGAGGAGAGAGAGAAGAGAGAAACGAGAAGAGAGGGTACGTAAAGGATAGGAGGAGAGAGAAGAGCCACTTGAGGGGAAGGGGGAGAAGCCATGGGATGTGCACGAGAGGCATGGTGTACTTGTGTTGGGATGTGAGACTGACGTGTCCGCAGCGGATTCCTCGCCCTCCTGATATCTTTCTTCTTGACTGATCGTTGTTATCGTCAGCTTGACAGTCATGCAAGGTAACAAGACACCTTTCAGTTGCCAAGGCTCTGATGAGCACGTACAGCAGTGACATTCCCCAAGCCTGACAAGTCGGGGATCCTGGTTTCTCTCGGGTTTTCTCTGGACGGGATGATGCTGACAGGAGGTGAGTGCTGCTGATGACTGCTTATCCCTCTGAGCTCCTACAAGGCGACAACAATGGTCAGGTTCACGTCTGGATGAACAACGGGCAGCAGAAACAGTCGTACAGTCAGTGACTAAGTTTCCTCGCTGAGTTTCCTGCAGTTGGTCTCACTTGCTCACGTCAAAAGCTCACAAGGGCGATGTGGTACGACCTCCTGTCCCGCTTCAACCTCCCCCTTCTCCTCTTCTCGCTCACTCGCCTTCAGGTCAGCTGTGTGTGGTCGTCGTCAAGGAAAAAAGGATTTCATTTCCTCACAGCCGGGCATGACAAGTAAGGCATGTACACACAACGAGGAGTTTCTGATGGATGAGCTTCTTCAGAGATGTCAAATTTTGGATGTTCAAAGACGGGAGTTACGGTCAGGCTTGCAACGTCATCGCAACGTTCCACACACAGCACACTGAGCACATCAGCGATTGTGTGTGGTATCTTTATGACCTCCTGTTGACAAGGATCAATTGACAAGTTCGTACTTGACAGGAAGGACTTTCGTGGCACAGAACTACTTCTGACAGCAGGAGGTGACTGCAGCGTTCGCATCCATGGCAAGACAGGGCAAGGGATGTCAGATTGGTCGTGTGTGACAGTCCTCAAAGTAAGAGCAGAATCGTTTCCTCTCGCCTTCGTCCCTCCTCTCCACCTCTCTTCTCTCTGCTCGTCTTGAGCTGACTGGTTCTCAGGAGCAGAAGGGAAACATTGTAGGCATCGATGTGTCTATCTCAGACGACAACAAGCTGTCGATTGTATCGTCTTCATTCGATAAGACGGCTGTCATCTGGAGTTGCTCTGATGACCTTGAGGCTCTTGTGGAGGGCAAGTGCAAGGACGCTGAGCATTGGAGCCTTAAGGTTTTCTGCTCCTCCTTTGCATGCTCCTCATTCTGTCTTCATGCCCTCGTTCCTCTCTCCTTTGCTCTGACTGATAGACGTGGCAGACCCTCGCTGGCTCTGAAGTGTCGCAACATGGCGGCGATCGCCGCGTGAGCTTCTGCCCGACGGACGGGGGGCTGGTGGCGGTGGCGTGCGGGAAGGAAGTGCATCTCTGGGAGGAGTGGGAGGAGGAGAAGTCACCAGGAAGGAAGTGGGAGAAGACAGCAACATTACAGGGGCACGAGGGATACATTAACTCCTTGAGCTTCCGCGACGACGGGGTCCTGCTGGCCTCCTGCGATCACATGGGAGGAATCAAGATCTGGTCGAGGTTCTCGGGAAGCGAGAGAGAGGAAGTATGGGGCTGCATTCATGATGTTTCCGACAAACAAGGAACCTTGTGGAGCTGCTGCTTCGGGACCGCCCGGTAGGACGTTGACCGTGAAGTTTCCCGTCACTGACGATTTGTATAGATCAGCAGCAGTGATTGTGTTTGCTGGGTTTCAGGGATCTCCAGTCGGATCCGATAGCTCCTCCATCTGTGAGTTGCAGACTGAGAGGATCAGGAGAAATGATTCGAAACTGTTGGACGTTGCTCGAGGTGTGACGCTGACTACCTCTCCTCCCCACCAGTAGACACCTCCCTCTCTCTTTCTTCCACCATTTCTTTCCTCCTTCTTCCTCTCTCTCCAACGTCCTCCCTCCTCCTTGTCCTGCCGCCTCCTTCCTCCCTCTTCCGCCTCGCTTCCTCCCTCTCCCTCGTCTCATACGACTCCGACAGGAGTCTATGAGGTTGCGAACCTCGTTAAGGCGGAAGGAAACCAGAGGTACAAGGAGGGGCAGCATGAGCGAGCGAAGGAGGAATACTTCCGCTGCCTGTCGCTCTTTCCTTCCGAGCAAGAAACTGCCAACATCGAGAGCGATGAGCTGAAGGAGGAGCTGAAGGGTCTGAGAGCAACCTGCCACCTCAACCTTGCCGCTGTCTCCCTCCTCCTCTCCGACTTTCATCTCGCTGAGGAACACTCTTCTCTCGTCCTGCTCGCCGACCCCACCAATCCCAAGGGGCTCTACAGGTAGAGTTGCGCTCCTGCATGGTAGGATTCGTGACTTTCCGGCGAACAGGAAGGGGATGGCGCTGCTGGGTCAGGACAAGACGGAGGAAGCGACCAAGTGGATCATGGAGGCTGCCAAGTACATGCCCGAGGGAGATACGCAGTGCGCGACAGCGTTGCAGCAGGTAAGGGAGGAAAGCAGAAGAGCGGGAGAAGAGCAGAGACGAGGGGGGGCTGTAGCGGAAGTAGTTACAGCTTCAGGTGCTGGAGCAAGAGCATGAGCATGAGGTCCAACTGAACAACAGAAGTTCTCACACAGTTCGCAGATTGAACACACTAAAATGTACAACATGTTCGGCATTGGACAGGATGGAAAGTTTGCAATCAACGAGCTGTGCTACTCCTCATTGTTCTCTTGTTTGGAGCAGAAAGATGTGAGAATCATCTACCTCCTCCTCCTCCTCCTCCTCAATCACCAGCACCACTACTGCCAACTTCCAAATATTCTCTCGTCGTCCTCTGATTTCAGTCGCAGAAAAAAGTGGCAGACGAGCTGCTTTCTGTCCTCCGTGGCATTCATTCCGGGGAACTAGCCCTCACCAAGGACGGGGAGCAGCCTCCCGAGGTTGCGCGAGCTCTGGACAATCTCGATGCTCTCGTTGGCGATCAGGCGAGAGCTGATCTTCTCATGCCCCTCTACATGGACAAGTTCTCCCTCCTCGACCTCGTTCAGCCCTCTGCTCCCTTCGGCTGCTTCACTGGCTCCTTCCCCCCCAACCAGGGATGCAGCGCCTTCGCCCTCAGCCATGTGCGACTTCTTCCCTTCAAGGACAAGGAGAATGACGGGAGTTTCCAACAGGTCGACCTGACAGGAGCCGATCCTTCTGTCATCGCTGACGCAGGTTACATGGTTCCTCCCGGTCAGTCTCCCATGTCCCTCCTGTAACGTCCCACTTTTCCTCCACCCCCCTTTTCCTCTCTCCCTTTCACATCCTCCACTTCCTCTATCCTCCTTCATGTCCTCCCTTTACTTCTAGAATCTAGCTCAGAGGTTCTCTGTCTCCTCCCTCCCTATCTTTCGCTTCACTCCTTTCCACACTTTTGTGCCCGTCTTGCTTCTAGTGAAGACCTCACAGGTCCCAAGTGGCCGAAGAACAACGGGTTCCTACGCATCCTGCCGCTGCTCAACTTTCATCGCGTCATCCTCCCTCAGCCGGTGCGTCGAGGGCTGTTCGACTTCCACTTTCTGATCAAGAGGAGCAGGGCGACCTCGCTGTCTTCACGTGCGGTTATGTCGTAGAGAAGGACAAGGTAAGTCCCAGCTCGCCTCCAGCTCGCCCTTGCATGCGGGCTGAAGGGAGCATGCAGATCGGGTTCACTAGAGGTCAAGGTTGTCACGTGGGGGTAGTGGTGGAGGTGATTCTGTCTTCCTGCCGTTCCCGTCGGTTTGAAGACCTTCAGGTGAAGAGCAAGAGCGACGGATCATCCGAGGACGCGGTAATCCTCTCCTCCTTCCTCTCCCTGCCCCCTCCGTCCTCTCCTCCTGAAGTCCTCTGCGTGCTCCTAACCTCGCTGTTTTCCTGCCTCTCTTTCTTTGTCACAGCTGACGGCCATGGCATAGATCTGGATCCAGTCGAAATTTCAACGCAACCAGGATGTGGCTTATCGTCACAGGATCGACCGTAATTTGCTTTGCTGCAACCCCAGCCCCTCTCAACGTTCCCCAGATCTTCCTCCTCACATCTTCGACGTGGCTGGCGGCGGACCGTTTGTCTACTTCTTCCGAAGGAAAACGTGAACATGGCAATAAATACTTATGGATTTCAAAATTTCTTTCTCGAAAACACACGCTCGACATCATACCTGACACAAAGTACACATCATCAGAGAAACACTGGAAAGAAAGCTTGGCTCGTCCAAGCGACTTTCACTCAAGCAAGCTCATGCGGCGAAGCATGAGCATCCAATTGTCTGTTCCCTGTCAGAGCTGCATTGAGCTCCTTGGCTTCTTGTCTTCGTGTCTCCCATTTACTCCAGTAGTAGAGGGTGACAAAGAAAATGATGATCACAGGAATCGATATGAGAAGAGCTGAGACTGACGCTACAAACACGCTCATTTCTTCGGTTGATGTTCTTGTCTCCAAATTCAGTCCTGTCTTAGTCACCTGTCGTGCCTTGCCTTGCCTGATCTCTTGTCTTGTCTTGTCTTGTCTTGTCTTGTCTTGTCTTGTCTTGTCTTGTCTTGTCTTGTCTTGTCTTGTCTTGTCTTGCTTTTTTCTTGGCTGGTTACTACTTCTTCTCGCTTCCTAAGACCTCAATGTATCCTATCCGTACCTTATCCGTAGTAGGAAGGTGTTCTATGAGGGGATATACATGCGGTGCTATCTGGGTCCTATGATGTGGTTCCAACAAGTACTAGGAAAGGTCTTAGTATCAAACGTACTACATGGTCCTAGGGTCCTAGAGAGAAGCACCGATGCGTCACTGCTGCAATGCTCCATCATCATATTACCAACTAACGATGCGAGCGAAAGAAGATGCGAGCGAGGGAAGGAGGAGCAGAGGATGACAATGAGAGAGAAGGAGAGATGAACAAGACGTGAGTGACGGGGAGAAGAGAAGATGGCATATAGTCGAAGTCCTTGTTTTCGAAAGAGGAAGATGATTGAATATCGTTTACAAGATGCATGATGGTTGAAGAGTGTTAGTAATATCTCACTATCTTTTGTTTTCCAGGAGCTCAATGAGACGTTGATCCCATGCGAGGTTTCATCTTCAGAGCAGTGGCCTGCCTACTGCTTGCATGCCTTCAGCTTTCAACAGGCTACAAGTCAAACTCGCAGGGCAACTGGGGTGACGTGCAGCCAAGGTCTTCCTCGCTCAGCTACATCGATCCGGGTCAGGGGAAGCCCAAAGACGATCGACTACTCAACCAAGCGGTAGACGCGTTCCACCAGGCACAACATCTCGAGTCTGAGCTCAAGAAGAGCGAGCGAGCCGTCAGCCAGCAGACGCATGAGCTCAAGAAGGAGTTGGCAGCGGCCAAGGCAACCGCTGCCACTACAGGACAGTCGAAGTACTTCCGGAGAGAGGAGCGACTGGACGAGGACTTGATGCGACAGGCAAATCGCGAGACAAGGCGGGACAAGCGGCTGGTGGCTCAGGCAGATAGGGAGATGAAGAGCGACAAGAAGTTTCTAGAGCAAGCCTACGGCATTACAGACATCGATCACTACAAGGCCGGCAGAGGTTCTCGCTCCTCCGTCTGTCCCGATCTGAACTGTCACCACGCGAAGGCTTCTGGACTCGCACCTGCTGAGTGTGTGGTGGGGATGGGGAAGTGCCCTAAGATCCAATGCTATCACTATTACAAGGCCGGCAAGTGCGGAAACAAGGACATTTGCATACAGCCGGAGACTCCGAGCAGCTCGTGTGTACCGGACAAGAAGAAGTTTGTTCGCAAGCAGTGGTCAAGAAAGACTTGTCCCTCCGTCAGCTGCTCTCAAGCCAAGGCTCTCGGTTACACGCCAGACTTCTGCTCGGTCTCACAGATGGAAGGACCTTGTCCTCAGATGCAATGCTATCACTACACCGTTATGGGAAGCTGCTTCTCCGCCAATGGGGCAGGTGAGCGACTCAAGGCACGCAGCTCGAAGCTGACACGGCTACAGCCTCCAATGTCTGTATGAAGCCAAGCCAAGCTGATCGAGAGTGCGTTACGTCCATGCGTCTCTCCTCAGCCGCCCGTGGAGGAGGCTCCCGACGTCGCCGACATGGCTCAGGATCCGGTGAGGAGGAGGAGGAGGAGGAGGAGGAGAGAAATTTGACGCAGTCAAGGTTGGGGGATGTACAAACTGATGGGCGGGACGACGGGTCTAGTAAGCATCCTCATCTTTATCACTGCCACTGGTAAACGTGAACGGGTGAAGGCTGACTGGCTAACGTCTGTGCGCAGTCGGTGTCTTCTTCTTTCTCTTCAAGAGGTAACGAGGAGGTGGGAAGGAGAGGAGGGAAGCTCAAGCTTGAGCAGGTATGGCGTCTCCATGTTCCTGCCAAACCGGAAACCTGTGCCTGTCCCCAAGTACTACGGGCGATTGTAAGCATAACGTCAGAACCAGACGACCGATTTCCTCAAGAGCATCCGGGCTGCAGGAGGAGGAAGGAAGAGAAGTTTCCTTCCGCTCTCTTAAAGACGTTGGGGGAATATGATAGTTTCTTCATCAATAATTTTGCTGTCTATGATGTCAGTTTTTGCCGCCAATGTCTTGTGGTTGTCTGTCTTGTTATAGCGCATCTTGGGGTCGTCTTTCTTGGGTTATAGCGCGTCCATGAGCAGCATGTTGAGCTCTGCCTCCATGCTCTTTTGCGACTCTGTCAGCTCCTTGCTGATGGGAAACTTCCAGTCGCTGCTCGATGTCTTGCTTCCTTGTTTCAGCGTTCCCAAGGAAGTCCCATGCAAGTCCCACACGCACACAGCATGATCGTACGAGGACGTGAGCAAGCAGCTGATCTCAGCAGACTCATTCAAACTACGTGCCGCGGGAACATCCAACGCGTCTGCAGTCTACGTGGAGTAAGCGAGGAGGGAGCGAGGAGTGAAGCACCTGAATGAGCTCGAGCGACTTGATGGTATCAGCATGCGCGACCCACGAGAACTTGCGGGTGACGATGATGCTGTCGAACTTGGGAGCGAGAGCCTCTCCTGTGATCACGTCCCTCCCCCAGTCGAGGTCGCTGGAGATGTCAACCGACAGGTCGTCAGTCTTCTTCATCAGCGACTCGAAGATCTGCTCCTCGTCGGGCTTTCTCTCCGTCACCCTCGCCTTCCCTTCCCGGGGACGTGACACCAAGTGACTTGTCTGCACCCTGCCAACCAGACGCGTCAGAGAGGAGCGCGAGGAGAGGAGCGCAGGAGGAGAGTGTTCACGTACTTGGGGAAATGACGGCCTGGGGACTTTCCCGTCTCGTCCACGCCCTGCCATGCCAGCAGACGGTCCTTCAGGTCCCGCAGGTCGTACGCCACGACTTCTCCCGAGCTCCCTGCAACGAACAAGGTGTGGGAGGACCCGTCCAAGGCGCAGCAGGTTGGGGTGTCTCTCTTGGCGGTTGCCGGGAACTGCGAAATCGACTCCATGCTCTTGCTGGGGCTCCGCAAGGATCTGAGGCGGGGGGAGCTGCAGGTCTTGGCCTTCCTCTCCACGTACCTGTCGCCCACCTTCACGATGAAGTCGAAGCGACAGACGGGATGATGGCGGAGCCTCCAGGGCGACACCTGCCGCTAGTCACAAGATGCAGCGAGGCGGGTCAATTCACCGTCCACAAGATCACGTTGCCGTGAAAGTCTCCCGTGATGACAAGCCGATAGCTCTCGAGGAACTGCAGCATCGTGATCTCTGACTTGTGTGCGTTGAGAGATCCCGCCAGTTTGATGTCTTGGAAGTCCCACAGCCTGACGCTGCCAGCGGTAGAAGATGTGGCAATGACGCTCAAGTAGGACGAGTAGGCCATGCAGGAGATGTCGGTGGAGTGACAGTCAATCTGCCGCAAGCTTCTCGTTTCATGCGGAGACGCGTCATGATGGACTCGTACTCGCCCTCCCCAAGAAGCAGAGATGATGCTCTTGTACTTGTGACAGTAGGCGAGCGCGCATACGTCTGCGTCATGCGGCTCCAAGAACTTCATCAGACCTCCGTTGAGCACGTTGTACACTCCTATGCAGCCTCGCTCGTCGCCTGCGATCACTCGCCGCTCGCGATTCCCGAGGCACATGGCGGTGATTCTTGCGGTGGCGACGTCGCGAAAGGTTTTTGACAAGAGGCCGGTGGAAGCATTCCAGATCCGGACGTTTCTACCGGAGGCAGTGATGATAGCGTGGTTGACAATGGAGTAGATGGCGGCAACGACTGGCTCCTCGTCTGCCAGCTGTGGCTTCGTCGGATGATCATGATCGAGGCAGAACAACCTGTGGAGGCGAAGAGTCTCAGGGCGGCAGGCGGAGATGACTATCCTGTCTATCCTGGAGACATAGGTCATGGATGACGCTGTTCCCGGCGCTATGTGCTCGATCTGAATCGTCTGAGTGCACATGAAGTTTCGTGTATCCCACACCTACTCGCAGGCGTTAGCGCAAGCGCGTGAGGGAGGACTCACCTTGACGAATCCCTCGACGTCGCTGGTGATGATCTTTTCACTGCCAACAACTACTCGAAGACCGACGATGATGCCGACGTGACCGTACAAGTTGAAGAGCGGCTCCTCTAAGAGTGGGTTCCAGACCTTGCAGACTTTGTCATAGCTTGTGGAGATGAGGTAGCGCTGAGATGCGATGTAGGCAAGCGAGTGTACGCCCTTGAGGTGGCCGTCTAGAGTATGTCGCAGCTTATGGGTGTTGAGATCCCAAACAAGAATCATCGAGTCCAAGGAGGATGTGACGAGCAGTCCCAGGTCAGGAAGCGCCACCAGGTCTGTGACAACGTCCATGTGGGCGCGGAAGAATCCGGTTTGCAAGATCGCGATCTCCTCGCTCCCGGTAGCTTCAGCGTTCCGTCGAGGGACCTGGAAGAGCAGGACGTTGCCGTCTGTGGAGCCTCCGTAGAGGGTGAAGTTGTAAGAGTCCCAGGCGAGGGAAGACAAGACCTGATTGCAAGGCAGCACCTGTCTCTGAGTGAACGTGTAGGCCCCCCACACTATCAGCAAGGAGTCTGACGCCGAAGTCACAATGTAGTCGGTTCCACTCAAGTAGAGACAACGAAGAGCTGCTCCCTTGTGGCCCACGAGGCTGTCAGTCCACGTGAGCGTTTCAACATCGTAGACCTTGAAGACAGATGAATCTTTCTCCGTCACTACAATCTTATCCATCACATCTAAAGTCTCAAGCCTCTCGATTTCTCCGTCTTTCATGTTCATATGCACGGCAAGGCTGCCTTGCCCTCGCTTGTCTCGAGTCTCTGAGATGTGGTAGGTCAAGTTTGCGTCTGCTGTCCTCTCGTGAGTGGTTTGACTCGATCGTCCCATCTCGAGATTGAACTCAAAGATTTCTTCCCACGTAACAACACCGTCTCCATCAATGTCTAGGGTATCGTAAACCTCACAGAGGTTTGTAATCATGGACGTTTGATCTTTCCAGTCTCTGCTTGGCAAGAAGGCCACTAGGATGTGAACAAACTCTGTCAGATTCACTCTGTCCCCAAGAGCATGAATCGCTTTCTGCACAGATTGTAAAGTTTGCGGTGTCAACTTGCCCAAAACTTCATCTGCTGTGTAAAATGTACCAACCTTCTCGGATGATGCAGTCAATCCTGAATACTCTGCGTTTGAATAGATCCGATTGAGAGTCTCCTGAACCCCTCTAAATTTCTCCATGTTCTTGAAAACTGCTACTGCTCGGTTTTCTGAGTCAAACTGACTTCTGGTTTCTTTCTGCAGCGGGAGAAAACTTTGCTCGCTCGCTAGTTTTTCAAGTTCCCGCACTCCCATCCGGATCTACTCCACCAAAGCAATCAAGGAAAATATCACAGAGCATAGCCAGCTTACCTTCGGGCCGTTCCTCTGCATCTCAAACAAGCTCTGTCGGACGCGCGCTGGGCGACTCATCATCTTCAAACCGCTTTCCTTGTCAACTTGCAAGAGAGTTTGGCTTCGTCGTTTTGACATCTGCCTTCGCAACTCCAGCTTGGCTTCGAGCTCGCTTGAGACCTTGAAGTTGGCACGGCCCTGGTCAAGGACATCTTGTACTCTTTCAAGGAGCTTGCCAACTCTGATGCTTCGCTCTGTGATGTCCATGAATCGATCATCTTCTGCGCCCTTCCTTGGCACGGCTGGTCTGACGTCCATGAGATACGAGGGAACAGGTGAGGGATTACGGAGATTCCTCGGAGCTGAGTTATCTTTACCTTGCATGCTCCTATACTAGGATGTTGACTACGATTTCATATTCCACCCGCGGAGAAGTTGAAGCGGTTTGAGCGGTGCGAACGTGATCAAACCATTGAGATTTCATTTCTTGTCTCATTTCTTGTCTCATTTCTTGTCTCTGTCCTCATCGTCCTTCATGCCATCTTTCGCTGCTTTGCTTGGCATCCTACTGAGCCGGGCAGGCCAACGGCACTGCGGCACTGTGAGTAACCATTCTTTCCCTGAGGCGGGCACGATTAGAATCCGCTCATCATGGGCCCGGGCAGAAGTAGATATGATAGCTCATAATTCGCTGCCTCTTTTTAAATTTTACGAGTGGCTGAGCGGGGATGTGGTCAACAACACAATTTCACGTGCCATGGCGAAGACAAAGGGAGCACCAGGAGTCAAGGTAATGAGAGGAGGAGGAAAAGACAGGAAGGCAAACTAGTAGCTGATAGGCAGACAACCCTACGAATAATGGATAATGTGCTGGAGGCCCCCAGGGAAGGGCCTGGGTCTTCCACTAGTAGCTGCTAGAGATGATGGTACAGGAAGACGAACAAGTAGCTGCTAGAGATCGCGTGTAGAGAGAGTGGTGGTGGTGGTCAGGGGTAAGGAGGAAGATTGATGATCAGGAGAAAGAGGATCATGAACAGGACAGGTAGCTGCGATGATGGGGCAAAGAATGTGGAGGAGAACGAGTCTTTGGGACCGGAGTAGGGGTGGGAGGCAACAGAGTGGGAAGAGACAGTGGAGATGAAGCGATGGGAGAAGAGGCATAAAATTAGGAGCATCATAAATCACAGCGAGTGTAGGCATGAAACAGGTGCGAGTCAGTGATCTGATGTTTCATTTTGATAGACCAAGGTCAAGATCGACAGTGTCAGGGGGATGAAGATAAAAAAACTTGTATGATCTGTTGTATCTCCATACATGAAGATGGCTCAACAATTCTGCAGAATGCAATGCATCCCAAGAGTCGCAAAGCGGCGAAAACGCACAAAGAATTGATTCACATTGATAAGTATGTTTCAGTAATGCTGCCTTGTAGACTCACTGACTGCGACTAGATGTGCGCTACACATCCAAACCAAGGACCTCAAATGGAAGCCAGAACGTAAAGGGCATCGTTCGGTCACGTGTTTGCTGAATGACGTGCACAGTCACGAAGATGCACTGGTTTCAGAAGGCGGTGTGGATGGACGCCAAGGACGTCTACACCCGACAAGAACTCAACGACCTTGCGTTGGAGTTCATTTGCCGCAACGACGATGAGATCATGGAGGCGAAAGCAGCAGCGTTCGCAGGTCCTTCCAACGCCCTATAGTTACCTGACTGACCCTTTTGAAGGCTCTGCGACGATAAAGCGAATTGCTCCGACAAGTCAGGTAGGAATGGATCTTGCAAACAGAGTCCATGATCAGGTGAGAGGATAGAAATAGTCTGGTATCAAGTGAAAAAGTTTGCAGGAGCAATACACGAATGTTTCATTCAAAGTCCCCGACTTGACCAACTCCAAGGTTATCCGAAGCTTGAAAGATTGGAAGACAGGAAATGTTGACCAAATGCGGAACATCAAAACAATACTGATAGGAAACAAAGATGCCGTTCAAGAAGGAAAACTGATCCTCATGGAAAACAGTTAGTAAAGAAATTCTCTATCTCTCTAGTGCAAACTACACAGGTGGAAGGGCTTCGATCTTCACCTCCGCCTCACCTCGTCGGTTTTTCTTCTTGAGCGACAGAGCGAGACGCGTGGCAAAGAGCAGAACAGATCGCAACGGGTAGGAGAGGAGCAGCCAAACTCGAAAGAGAGGAGCCTTGTATGTGCCTTGCAGCCTCACGATTTTCCAGCCTTTCATGTCCGTCTCGGCGCTTTTGTCCTTGACTCTGTCCTCCGAAGAGGATTCTTCGCCATCGGCTGACGTCTTTGGGTTGCTGGGAGACAGATGGGCAAGGACTTGACCGCGCTCGGCCTCGAGCTCGGCAGCGATCTCCAGTCGGAGACTTTCAAGTCTCCTGATTTCTTCGCTCAGCTCATTATTCTTCAATTCAAGCTTCTGAACATCTTCCTGCGCTTGTGTGTAGATGTCAGACATGTTCTTGATCTGCCAATATCATCGTCAAAGTCGTTTACAACTTTCAAATGGTACCTGCAGATCAAACTCAAAACTCTTTGTGTCGAATGAGCGGATCTGCGCCTGCAAGCTCTCAACATAGGCGTTGTCGTACAGATGATTCCTCCTATATTGCTCGAATTCCTCTTTCAGCATAAGGCAGTGCAAGCAAGCATTCCCAGCCTTCTCCTCATGGATATGCGCAGCCTCCGACTCTTCGGCATCTTGCCAGGAGATTATCGTCCTGGAGTCGCTGGAGGATTCTTTGAGGTCCACATTACGAGGTTCTTGTCTGGGAGAGGTTTCAGCCGAGGGGCTCTCGAGGGGGTTCAAAGCGGGGTTAGAGTCGCTCCCCTCGTTCCACAGGTTGCGCTTGAGGCTCGAGGCCTCTGCTTCAAGGCTCTCGCCACTCAGGAGAAGATCGTTGCAGTCCAACGCAAACTGACGAATCTCCGGGCTTGCGTCCAGCGAGCAGACCTGAAGTGCGTCCTGGACCTTGTCGTTGGTGCGAACTGAGGTATCAGATCGCAAAATATTCAAGAGATGCTCAGCACAAAAGGCCTTCTGCTTGTTGTCGCTCTGTATCATAATGTCGCAGAGCTTGCTCACGACCAGATCCGAAGACAGATTCTGAAGAATGAACTCCAGACTAGTTTCGGCTTGACGAGAAGAAGCCACCCCTCCTCCACTGGCTGCCATCTCAACGATCTTGGGAATCGCACTGTCCAATAAGAAGTTTATAGCAACTGTCTTTTTGCCTTCACGACTTTGCTCTGAAAGTTCCTCCAGCAGTGCCAGGCATTCGAGTGTCACAGTCTGCTCAGAGTGGAATAGATTGGTAAGGATTGTATCGCTGAAGTGAGAAAACTTGTTCCAGAAGACTTCACTTGCTGTCTCGTCAGCCTTCAAAACTCCACCATGCAAGAGCAGGCGAAGTGCTCGCAGGGCCTGCACCACTTGAATCCAATGATTGTTCTTCGGGGACGTCACATCAAGCTTTCTTTGCACCTTATGGAGGAGAAGTCAGCATTGAGAGATTTGCAAACAACAATCACCTCATACAATGCTACCGTGAGTTGATCAGCAGAAATGATTGTGCTTTGGTCGCCCTCTCCCATCAATTTGGCTTGCTTGATATCCATCATTTTCGATGCCTTCATGTTGCCAAGTCGCTGAGTTGATGATGTCGATCTGAATGATCCTTGGCTTGTGACACTCGCGGTATCTTCTACGAGGAGGTTGACTTCTTGTTTCATGACTCTATCAAGACAGCAGCAATCAGTCTCAAGGTTTCGACAGCCTCTGCAGCATGGCGAACCTTCCACTATTTCCTGACCTCCCTCCCACCCATCGCGATTACAAGTCTGCGCAATTGTCTTCTTGTACTCCCCTCCTCCTCCTCTCTCCTTTATCTACTCCCCTCCTCTTCTGGCTCTGCTCTTCTGGCTCTGCTCTTCTTGCTCTGCTCTTCTTGCTCTGCTCTTCTTGCTCTGCTCTTCTCATAGAATTTCTTGTTTGCCAGGTTCAACAAACAAGTACAACTCCCTTTTTTGAACTTCATCTGTTAGGACACCGGAAACCACGATAGCTGGTAGACCATGTTTAATTGTTTTCAGCTAATTGCATTTTTGAGGTGTAAGTTTTCAGGGCGACGCAAGTGTGCGAAATTTCAGAGCGACAAGGAGAAAACGAGGAGCGAAGCAGAGGAGAGGAGAGAGGAGAGAGGAGAGGAGAGAGGAGAGGAGAAGAGAGAGGAGAGGAGCAGAGGAGAAGAGAAGAGCACAGAAGACACAAGAGTGTAAGAGAGAACATGATAGGGTATCAGGTTGAATCGTGACGATGCTCAGAAGTCGCAAAATGTGGGTTTGAATAGACAGGGGGGAGAGGTCACAGCGGAGAAATGAAGAACCGCGTCATCCTCACGATGGTCGTCGCTCTCTACCAGCACCTTACGGGGCATGAGAGTCAAGCGTACTCGATGATCACTCACAGGTTTGAGAGTCCATGGCAGATGCGCAGAAACCACAAGATCGCGGGGAAATGGCTGGAAGCACCAAGACCTGTTGGTGCAAGGCATGCGCGGCAGCTTTCGCCTCCGCTGACTACTCCTACTGCCCTGTCCTCGTCGTTCAAAGACGGCAGTGAGACTTCGCCTCACAAGGTTCAGGAAGCAGACATCTCTGTGGATGATGTGTGGAGCCACAGCTTGAGCACGTCACGGCAAGAAGCATCTGCTGTGCTCCGTCTGGGGTCCGTTGTGAGGATGCAGTCAGCAGAATACTCAAAGAGAATGCTGGCGCAGAAGATCATCGAGGCCAACCATCCCTTGCTCTTCATGCTCATCTTTCGCTGGCCCATGGAGTGGCTGCGGGGAGAGAGAGCGCTGCGGCAGATCGCGAGGAATCTCCCCGTTGCGGAAAGGAACGAGAGCCAGGAGCTTCCTGTCCCAGGCAACGCTGGAGCTCCAGAAACGTTTGACCTGAGCAGCCGCTACAAGATCAGTGGGAAGGTCGGGAAAGGAGCGTTTGCTTCCGTCATGTGCGCCAAGGACACGATCCTTGATAAAGTCGTGGCCATCAAGTGCGCAGCAGACGCGATTCCTGATCATCATGCATATCATCGTCTCGCGCGTGAGGTCGGACTCTTGCGACAGGTGAGATGAGTGAGAAGAGGGAAGGAACGAGAATGACAAGAAGGTTGACAGCTCCGAGGGCACTCCAACATCATCTCAATCTCCAACTCCATCATCCGACACCGCGAGGTCTTCGACCAAACCTTGCAGAGCAAGCGGAACGTGACAGACGTGTACCTCATCACTGACCTCATGATGGCGGACCTGTCGAAGCTCATGGACTCTGATTGCGTCTTCACTAACGAGCAGGTGCGATGTATCATGTTTCAGTTCCTGCGAGCTCTTGCTCACCTTCACCACTGTGAGATCATTCATCGCGACATCAAACCCTCCAACCTCCTCCTCGATCGCTTGTGGCACCTCAAGATCTGTGACCTCGGCATAGCCCGCGAGGCCATGATTAGCGCGAGCAGGGAGAGGATGGAGGACTTTGACATCCACTTCACGGACTACGTGGTGACGAGACCCTACCGGGCGCCGGAGCTCCTCATGGGCAGCAAGAACTACACCAGTGCCGTCGACATGTGGGCTGCTGGCTGCATCCTCGCGGAGCTCATTGCCGGGCAGATGGAGATTGATCAAGCGCCCATGACGAGGAATACAAGCGCCGGCATGATTCGCCTGCCCTTGTTCCCCGGCTTCGACCACCGTGATATGGTGCAGAGAATAATTCATGCGCTAGGACATCCTTCGGACGAGGTGGGAGCGGGAGGAGGCGGCTTAAGGCTCATGGCGTGTGCAGGTGCTGGACAGGCTGTGTTTGTGGGAGCCAAGGGCCAAGAACTTTGTGCAGAAGCAAGCCTACCGCTACTGTGACCTTGAGACCAAGAAGGAGTTTCACGGAGTCGAGAACTCTCTCGAGTACTGCTCATTGGATGGAGAAGAGAGGGTCAGCTTGTGCTTCTTCTCTTTCTTCTGCTTCTTCTTCTCTTCCTCCGGGTTGTTGTTCTGCCCGCCCCCCCCCTTGACGTTTCTCGTCAGGTCAACTTCAGGGCTATTTTTCCTTGGGGGGATGATGACGCGGTGGACCTCATGGAGAAGCTGCTCGTTTACGATCCCGAGCAGCGACTGACGGCCGAGGAAGCGCTCGAGCACCCGTACTTCAAGAAGCACGTGGACAAGTACGTGCAAGAGCACATGAACATGTCCGTGATAACGCAGAACGACGCTGAGATTGTAAGCGTGTTTCTCTTGTGTTTGAGGTCATTCACCTTTCTCCAGGCGTTCCGTCGTGCAGCCGTCCGTAGCGCAGGAAAGAGCTGGGAGAAATTTTGGGAAGAGCGCGATAGAAAGAATTGGAAGCGAAGCGCTTGAAAGCCACGATGCGGATGCTCGTGATTGATTTACCCCAGTCGTTATTTAGTCTTGGTACATTTGATCTGCTTTTGCCCCAGATCCTTAGCCGCATCTCCCTGTTCGATCCACTCCATGCAAAAGTACTGGAATTGCAGAATTTACCGGCGGTAGTGCAAAAAACAAGAAAGAGAATGCAACGGTTGTTTAGAGAAGCTGATCTAAGTCGAAATCTGGTGCCATCCAAGACAGCGAGTGTAACTCATTGTTGTCTTGATTTGCCCCTGATTGCCACAAGTTCTGGCAGCAAGTGAGTAAGCACAAGAAGAATTAAATTACAGAGGCATGCCTGAGGAACATGGTTGCTGGGCATTGGCGGTACGGGCCGCTGCTTTCATGTAGTCAAGCGAGGCGTTATGAGATCACCAGCAACTGCTCACCTGTGCTTGCATCTGCCATGTCTTGGTAGCAGGGCTGTCGGTGGTCCTCACATTGCCTACTGAGTTCATGTGCGGAGACATTCCATGCGCGAACAAGTTGGGGGACATGGAACCCTGCGTCCAATTCACGCCATCCAGATCGTTGTCACCTACAAAAACAATCATCCAACAAAAGACTGGAAACAAATGTGCATACCTGGTCTTCGGCGCGATTCTATGAACACGTTGTCTTGGTTCACATTTGTATGCTGCATATACTGACCTCCGTTATGTTCGTTTTCTGTCTTGACAGGTCGTCCTGCACCTGTGTCACTATGACACAAATTGAAACGTGGCAGACCTCCATTCTGGATCAAAATTTGAGCCTGCAAGTTGGAATCTGCAAAGAGTAGTGTAAAGCTTCCATTACGCAAATGGATGAGCTCTTACATAGATTTCTGAGATTTTCGATCTCTGAGGACGATGATTCTAACTTGTTGAGGAGTTCCTGGTTGGAAGTGTATCAGAAATTTAAGATACTGAGATACCGTAAAAGAATTTTTACTAACCTGGCGTTCTGACATCAAAGCTTGAGAGAGTGCACGCAGCGACGCATTCTCATCTTCCAGGGTTTTGATCCGGTCGTGAAGTTGCTTGGAGTTTTCGTCGTTAGTCCCTCCAGTTGCCAGCCTGTTCAGACTGTTGCTAGAAGAACTCTTAGGCATTGAGTTGCTGTTGCTGGGTCTGCTGCCAGACTTTCCATTCATCATATTCGGCACATTTCCACGAATTCCATTGCTGAAATTGCTCTTTTCATTCTGCAAATTCCTTCAGTGAAACCAATAATGTTTCAATGATTAGTGTCGATTCGGTGCAAATCTTGAGTATCCTGTATTCAATTTCAAATCATCAACAGAACGATGAATGCCTTTGAATGAAGAAACATCAAAGTCACTTTCAAGTCACTCAATGCAATATATACAACCAGAATATGCTTCGAACGTCTCAGAAACATTGTCAAAATCGCCACCATCGTCATCCCCGCCCGGACTCCACGTGTCACCGCCACTTTCCGAGGGCAATTGACCGTTCCCTGTTAAGAGATATTCTCCTACATATTTGTCAAAATCATGTATACCAGAATGAAGAGAACAGAGTACGTTGCATCTCCAATTTTCTTATTTCTTCATCCAAATTCCCTTGGCCATCTGTAGTGTATCGTTGTTCTGCCTTCAAAGACGCAATCTTTTTCTCTAAGCTCCTCAGCTTTCGATGAGGCCATTGCATGACACCATACTTTCTACATAATTTCTTCAAAGCAGTGGTGCACATCCCGAACTTTTTGGCAACCTTGAATTAGCAAATTCAGTGATGCAATGTCAGTGAGCAGTGCGGGAACCTCGTTCAGAGGCATGTTAAAATGATCTCGCAATTCTTTCTCTGAGAGCATCGGCATCTGCAAATGAACGTAACTATGCAATCACGAATCGCAAAACCATACCCTCGCACCACCCACGAGTCCCTGCAGTGACGGTGACGAAGCACCGCTGCTCATGAGGGAGTGGCCATCCATGTTCTCATGCGATCTGCATCGCAAATCAGCATGATTGCGAGCGATAAGATGGCACAAGACTCGACCTGACTCTGCGCAGGGTTGAAGACTGAACCGATTCATCCCCGAGACTCTCGCGCAGTTCTGACAAAGATATTGATCGTTTCATCTTCAATTATCCGTGTTTCTTTTGATAGCGGGTTCAACTTGATCTTATACCCAATCAGCTCCAATCACATCCAATCTGTAAAGACAACGTTTGAGGGTAACAAAAGAAAAGATACAAGACGAAATCGTCATTTTTGACAGCACATCTAGCTAAATCTTTCTAAAAAGATACAACAATGAAAAGAGACGATCTAACGTTCCATACCCACTTTCGAAGCACATGTAAGCTTCTTGACGACAACAGGGTGAATCATATTGCGATTTCTGCACACAACTCTGAGCAAGTTGAAATCTATCTACTAGAATCATTTCGACACAGTCATACAATCTGCAATTTGTTTACATCGCATTCACAGTCAAGAACACAAAAGATCACAACTCTGTCATGATCACAATCAATTTCGGTTTTCTCCCGCATGGTTATCTTGCTCTGATTTGTTTTCGTTTCTTCTAATCAATTCTCTTTCCCTTCATCGATTCCCCGCCATGGTTGCAGGTGCCGTCCCCGCCTTGGGACCCCACCCCCTCCATAACGATCGTTTCCACCCTACCAACCATTTCCTCTTGGCAGACCCCCTCGCCTACATCTACCTACCCCTTGTCACCCGACAAAGTCTCCATTACCCTGTGCACATCCCCACCCCTCCAAAATACTAGATCCTCCCCATTTCCAAAGCCTCAACCCGTTTACCACCCACCATTCTTACCCACCATCGATGTAGTACCATGACCTCCTACCCCCATCTGTGAAGGTACCCCACCACTTAAGCATCGCTGCAGCCTTTTCCGACCAAGCACCCATCAGTACCCCTACCCATGTACACAGCCCCCACCACCCAACCGTACCTCATTTTCACCCCTTTGTACCCAATAGTACCCCACCTCTGAATCGAGCACCGAACCCTTATGTGTCAAATGTTTGGGTGGGGTTCTAACCCACCCCCATTTAATGACATCGAAGTGTAAGTAAGTACCCACCCTCTACACGATCTGTCAAAATCCTCCCTCTGCGAACCACCCACCCACAGTGGTCGCTTCATCAAGACAAGATATTTGGGGAAAAATAAAAAGTTTCCCCGGACCACAAGTGCATGATTGAAGAACCGGTCGCTTTCATTTCTTTGCCGGCAATGTCAAAGCGACTCCATTCTGAACGAGGACCTGTCAACAAAGCCAATCAATTGGACAAGTCTTATGTCGTTCAAGATCTAGTCACCTTCACGAGCGCAAGTTTGTCTTCGTCGTCTTCGAGGTGGGCGACATCCTTTCGACGAGACAGAGTTAGAGGAAGGACAACCGCGGCAAGATCCCAAACTTTCGGACCTTCACTCTTGTGTATGCAGGATAACTCCTGCCACCAGTGTGAGTGTGAAACCACAATCTCGAAAATAGAGAAGGGCAACCTGATGATAGCATTCAAAGCGTCAGCATAATCGACATCGAATTCGATACCCTGACAACACAAAAAGATCAACGCTGCCTGTAGGCTTGGACAGAAGTCGGCTGATAGTTGCAACAGACCTGTTCCTCTTTCCCATGGAAATCTCTAGAATTGTCGACTGAATGCACCAGAACAGCAATATCCCCTTCGAGCTGATTCATGCCAAAGTCACGGTCTCAATTGACTGACCCTCAGCCCATGGAACAGAAGCAGCAGTAGAAGAAAATGTTTTGAACTTCATATCACCTTCACTCTTGCTATATTATGTCGAACCAGCCGAAACTGTGTCTTGAGCGAGACTTTTTCAGCCTCCGCCTGCTCATTTTTCAGATTTTCGTTTGAGTCGCAAACAGGTCACTTCTCTCGCAGGGGCAAGTAGCTCTTCAACATCATCATCAGGGTTGCCCTGAAGTGATCAACGTTTTTGAGCTGAAGGTACACTGGAATGCCAAAAAGTACAAGTCTATCATTTGCATTGGGTATGATGGGAGGAAGTCTATCGTGTATGAAGCCAATCGCTCGGAGATCTGAACTCTCTTCATGATTGGCAGCAAAGAATCGAAACAACCAGCAGCAGCGTCGACACAGCCTTCCCCGAGATATTCTGTAACCTTGGTCGCTAGTGCAATGGCCTGATTGATCTGAGCCATAATGCCTTATCTTGAATCAAACCGTCACCTGATTGGCGAATTTTTCTCGCACCTTCTTGCTAGCCTTCTTTGAACATTGGAAAGTCAGCTATGGTAGCAGGCAGGATTAATAGTTAACCTCATCATTCAAGGTCCCCATGTGGTGAGTGAAGTTTCGAGGCAAACCTCTGTCGAAATGTCATATCCAGAAGCTGCAAGTTTGATCTGCCTTCGCATGTCAACATTATGCTGCACTGCAACGTCCAGAGCGCTGATCAACGTTTCCCTGTAATTCAGTCAAATTAACGAGCAGAAATGAATCAATGTTACATACTTGATGACGTCGTACCAAGAATTCCTGTACCCGTGCGAAACTGTGACATGAAGTGAATGGGTGTCTCTTGAGCTCTTTGCCTGCACAAAACATTGAATCCCTTGTATTACATCACAGCATGATAAACCTGGTGAATAAAACCCCTGGGAAAGTAGAGAAGATCGCCGGCTTCAAGTGTGCACTCAAGAATGGGTTCACCGATTTCATCCTTTTCCGTTCTTTGTGAAAACGAGAAAAAGGAGGTTTGATATTAGGAAGACCTCGGTCATGTTTCGGCTTGAGTATCTTGGCATCGCTTCGTACTCGTTCCTTGGCTCGTACACCTAGATTTGGTAAGATATGAATGTAAAATCGTTTCCAGACCTTCCAATGTTTTGTTCCCTCTGTTTGCAGAATGAATGCTTCAATATCATCCCAGTGTGGAGCAAATCCCTAAGGAGCAAGAAGTTTTACCTTTTTTGAACAAAGTTTCAACCAAGTGCCTGAGTTCCAGCGGGTGTCAAGTAAACATTTGCCCCAGCACTTGAGCCAAAATGCTCGTCAAGCAGCGATAGCATCTGTCTTTAAATGTTACGAAAATGATATACATAAATGTAAGGTCGCCTTGCACAAATGATTAAGTCTCCTGTGAGGCCTTGGAAGCCGAATAGAGCAACCATCCGCATATTTGCTCCATACATCAGCTTGAGTGGCAATTCCTGAGGACACACAACATTCACAATGATTGTACACAATATACCGTGTGGCAATTGCTTGTCCAACCTTCTCCATTATGCGTTGTTCGTTGTCCATTCGTGTATCTTGTAGCATCGATTTCAAAGTTCCACTCTAGACCTTCTTTTACCAAAAGCTCCAAGTCTTTTAGGTTCATCCATTGGTCATAATACGCTGGATTGTTTCTTTTGATGAGAAGAGGTCGCTGCTCATGATAGCTATGTTCACAACCTTGTCATGGAGCCACACGAAAAGTTGTCAGGAATGTCACCTGGAGTAAAATTCTTCCAGACTCGTGGGCGATATCAAAAGTTCAAAAAGCTTATCTGCAATGCGTCTACTATCGCTATCATGCAGTGTTGCCAGGGAAGAAACAGCAAGAAAGTCTGCTTTGTGCCCCCCTTGTTCAACTTTTTCTCCTGTTCGAGCACTGTCAGACCGATACCTGCAGATAAAAGCACATCAAAAATCATACCATTTTCCTCTCTCTTGACCCTCTTCAGTTTTACAGGCTAAGTCAAAAAGTTTCAGCGTTAGTGAAAGCTTCATAAATCATACCTTGCCCTTCGGCTCAACCGCTTTGGAATTTGTCGCACGGATACGCTTTCTTTTCTCCATGAGTCGCCCTGAACAGGATAAATCATTTTCAATATTTAAATAGAAGGTCGCATAGTTAATGATAGAAAAAGACTGAATTGCTTTGAGTGACACTGATATGTTTTTTAATCTAGATTTTTTGGCGTTTGGGTTGTTGATCTTATTTTCTAATGTTCTATGTATGACTTGAATAAATCGGATCAACTGTGAATATTCTGAGAGGTGCTGTCCCAGAAGCTTGATATAATCTCTCATCAAAATATTTTTTTTCCTCTGACTTCCCATCTTCCATGCTATCCTTACCCATGCTCGCCATCGCTGCCTCCACTCGCTCCGCCATGCGATGAGATCCGCCTATTGCTTGTATCCATAAAGGTTTGTAACGGAACGAAAACCATCATTGTAACGACTCATAACGTCACAACTGACAATTAACTGGTGAAAACGATGGGTGGGGTGGTAGGATCACGGGTAGTGTTGATTATGCTTTACTAGGGCTGGTGCTGTGATTGCTAGGGTGGCAAGTGCCACAGGGTTGTGGTGGGGGAACGGCATGGGGAAATGTTGGTCTCGACCAGGTGAGGAGCTGAAGAGAGGAGAGGAGGGAGGATGGGGGAGGAGGGAGGAAAGAGAGCGAAAAAATCAGGATAGTCAACCCTATACTAAGCAAAGGAATCAGTAGAAGTTCATTCCTGGCAAGCATACGAACCCATGAAAGCATTATATTATGCGAAGCTAGCAGACGATAAAGTTCACTATGAACGACTTTATTATATCAGAGAAGACAGACTCGATGTATTGAACAAATAGCAATGCCAGAAATGAAATTGTTGAATAATTGTGGAGAAATTGCAATCTCCTTTGTTTTTTTTCCGGTCAATTAGATACTTGGCTTATTTTCCCTTGCATCCTTTTCTCAGACCATCGGATACACCCGGATCTGAAGGAAGACGCAACAGCGCTGGACTTTGTAAAGAAAGACAGTCAAATTGAAGAGCATCCGGTACCAAATGATGTAAGGGCAAACGTGTCCTTTCCGATCAGATTGACTGCTGTTATGTGTGAGCAGTTAGGGGGTTGCAGCGAGGAGGACAAACTACATGTTAAAGTTGCTGCGCTTCAAGAAGTAGGACACGAGAAGAGTTCTGGCTTTGTAGATGTGGCTACTCCCTCGCTCATTTCAATCGAGACTTCGACCCCTGTTTGTCTGCAATCGGACGTTCAGGCAGGATCAACGAGGTAGAGAAATTAGATCAAGTTGAAGGCACTGTAACCTCTTGCTTTTTGCAGACTCTCGGTCTTGAATGAAGATGGCAGACATCTTCAAGACGGAAGACATCTCGATCAAAACCTAGCAGGTCAAGGGAAATTTCCCTCCCTTTACTTCGATTCGTCGACGCTATCAGATGATTGCCACAGAAAACAGAATGATATACAACAAGCGCCCACAGGCATCGTCACATGCCAATCCACACACAGGCCCATCGTCCCAGATACTTCCGAATCAAAGGCAAGAAGCGTACCAAGTCAACCTTCCGTCAGTGAGCTCAAAACAAACAGCTCAAATAGAAACAAAGAAAATCTCGATCGACAAAATGTGAAAAGGCTCGCATCCAGTGATAGATCATCATTTAAAAGATCGGACAGCTCGTCTAGTACGAATTCCAAAAAAGCCGCTCAACACAAACCTGGCAAGTATGATCCTATTGCACACGATGGTACATAGAAAATTGCCACCGAGTGAACTATTTGATGTATGTTTTTGTTGTCTGCACAGTGAATCGAGAAATTAGCCACGTTGTGGATAAGGGATTTGGAGCAGATCTGCGCTCAAAAATCATGGAAGGAGCAACTTCGTTTACGATGGTTGTTGACATCCAACATGCGATGCTATTTTGAGCTACATAGCAGGAAGACTGTGAAGAGACAAGCCATGAAATCGAAACTTTAAGCTTTGAAGTAATGCTTCAACGTCAATTTGAGGTGCTAGTGTTATATGTGACTGTCAATCGACAAGCTCTGCAGGTAGAGAACATGTTTAGGTGTGCTATGAGGGACAACGACGATGTTAAACGAGTTCACGTATTCAAGATATAAGATGAATAACTGCGAATGTCATTCTATCTTGCAGGACCGAGTGCAAGAACTGCTTCAATTCATAGACGAGCTCAAGCGCTTGGCAAAGTTTTTGGGGTTAGGGAACCACGGCTTGGTCTTTCAGGTGCTTCTATTTTCAATCTCGTTACCGTGTTCCCCTTGTCCCGCCTACTCTAATTCTGTCTCAAATCTCCTCAGGAGTTGCTTGGCTTGAGCAACAGCGGCAACAAGAAGGAAGAGAGCATCATAACAGGGTTGGTCAAGTTGGACCAATACCTTGAGCCTGATCGCATAGCCCAACTCTGTCGGGTAAGGAAAAGCGGGTGGAAAAGTGAAGTTCTGACTGCGTGCAGCACGTGGATGATCTTCGAATGCTTCTCAGGCTGAAGGTGCAAGATGGATCAGATCTTCAAACAGCTGCCAAGACTCTCAGGTCCGTGTCCTTTCGCTTGATTGTGCCTTCTCGGCTGATCTTTTGGCTCAGAGATTCGTATCATTTTTTCGTTAGTCTTCAGCGACATGCAGGTATCATATCTTCTGTTCGCCTCTACAAACTGACGTGGGTCACCGTGCGAATTTGCAGAGGAAAAGGGAACAACATGCTATGAGTTCCTCGAGCAGTTGCGGCAGTTCTAATTCACTATATTCTTTCCTTTTATTCTTTCTTTGTGGTGGGCAACCTGTCCCACTGCCAGCTGTAAATGTCTCTGTTCTCAAGCAAGACCATCATCTAGCCTACCAGCAGCCTACCAGTGTGTCACTCACAGAATCACACCCTGATCTTTAACTTAACTTTGAGTAAAATCACAAGTGCTGCGCTGAGTGCACTGCGGGCCGGCGGCTCGGCACTCATGACCCGGGCCGCTGGTGGTGGCGACTAGAAAACTTCGCAAGCCTGATGAGAATTCCGTGGAAGGCCAGCCAGTACAGGGGTGGGTGCTGATGTACCTTCAAGGGGGTAGGGATTCAGAGTAGGGGTGGGTTTATTTGACTCACATGGGTGGCGGAGAAGTGTTCGAAAAGCATTTAGGGGTCGTAGGGTGGAAACCGATGGTGGGGTAGGGGGTGCTAAGGGAGGCTGGGGTGGGGATCCGAAGGAACGGGGGCCGCTCAATATGGCGCGTACGCTTGCGATGATGGCAATGATGCCGCTGTGTGCGGATGCTTTTCTCTCCCTCTCAGCCCCTGCTAGCTCATTCCTTGCCAACTCTCCAGCTCTCCGACCCCAGAGCCTCCGAGCTTCCACTCTTGTTCAGGTAAACGCCATCGTGTCGTGAAATGAGAGGAGGCCACTGTGATTTGGAATGAAAGCTATTGATTCGTGTTCCAACTTGGATCTGACCTTGTCTGTGTATATCTTTGTATTCTTTTTTGTCATGTCGTAATTGATGAAAGATCTTATTGATGGTGAAGAAGAAGTTTTGTTTGACTGACGTGGAGTTGAAATTTTCATGTACAGTCAAAGCGCACGGAGCTCAAGATGGCATGCCCCCTTGTTCCTCTGGTAAGGCTTTGCAGAAGAGGCAAGTTGCTATGTCCATGACAAATCTATGCAGGGAGCTAACATCATCGTCACATTGGTCTTTTGGATGCTGCATTTTGTTTCTGCGAGCTAATTGTCTGCGACAGGACAAGGCGGCAGGAGAGAAGATGACTGACAGTGGCATCTTGGTCGCCGCCTCTGTCAAGACTGACGGCCCTCAGACGGTCAGTGCATTATATTATCATGGTTGATGGGGCTTAGGTTCTCGTTCTGCAGGGAGTTGTCCAGGCAGTTGGCTCCGGATGGGTTACTGAGCAAGGAGCTAAAGTACCGATCGAGGAAGTGAAGGTGATGAGAAATTTGACTTTTTTGTAACGGAAGCGAGTTCTTGTGCTCAAAATGCTGAAAGGTGGGGGACAAAGTCATGTTCCGTGAGCCAACAGCATTCGAGAACAGAAAGATGAAGATGAATGACCAGGACTATTACGTCTTGTCTGTACGTTGAACGATTTATTTCTGAACAGGACTGATCATATCGTTCAGGTGAACGATATCTTGGCGAAGATGGCCTAAAGATGATTTACTTCTAGCACTTTCTGCTACGTGATTGAGCTCGCACAAAGAATAAATTTCCGAAGAAGTTGAAATAGCTTGCTGTCAAATACCGTTCACAACCAAGTATCTTTCGCATTGCTTTCCAAAACAATTTCCAATCGTTGAATTGAAGGGCAGTGTAGTACGGTACAAGGCCAAGATCATCTCCAGCAGATAGAGCAAGCCATTGCGGGAGACATAGCATCCTCCAACATAAACACAACCGCTGCAAGATTCAGTACTTTGATGATTTTGAATGCCTATGAAAATATCACTTGCAATGCAAGCGTTTGACGATATTATGTTATTAAATCTTTCACCTTGAACAACTTGAAGGCCTTGAAATGTCTCTTGGGAAGAATTCTCTTGCATTTTCTAGATATTTTCAGCAGCTGCAATGGAATAGTAAGGAACCAGAACTTTATCCAGTTGACGAAAGGCCAGACAAAAGCACAGAACATTCATGTAGTTGGTGGAGTATAAGCAGCAAGGCTTCAAACTTAGATGGTCCCTTTTCAATGAGTGGAGCACATTTCAGTACCTTGAGAAGCTTCAACATGCGAAAGAGCTTGAGTGCCAGCTTCCATGATATATTTCCCAGCAGAAACCATTTTCCAATCTTGACCAACCTGCTCTTGAATCAGTAACAAAATTCGAAAGGACGATGCGGGGGAAAGAAGGGACGTACTTGGCCAACTTGACAAGTTTGACGACTCTAAGACCTTTCTGTCTTTTGAAAATTTTCAATAAATCAGCCATCTGTCAAAGATCAAGAATAAGGCCAAAGTCAACAGTGTCAAAATCAACCTTGAGAGAGAGTCGAACAACGAGGAAAAAAATAACAAACGACGCATTTTCTGCAAAAATGCTAAACGAAGGCTGCATGAACAACGAGTCATTTCAGAGCCATTGGCTAATTGATGTGCGGTAAGGCACATGAACCTGCAATCGCGACAAGTTTGCAAACTGATCGGTCGCTCCAAAACGGTAACGATACAACCAAATACAGATGAGTCTATAACAAGCATTAGGATCCCATGTTTCGATTTTTGAGCGTATACCCGCAAGAAAGAATCTTCTTGGCATTCTTAAGAGGGCGAGAACCAAACTCTAACAAAATGAAAGTTGTGCGAACAATGAGCGCTACAGTATCAGCATTGGAAAGCAAGCTTCTTTCATGCTTTGCGATCGAAAAATCTTTCAGCAGGCATGACATGGGGTATCTCTCCTGTTTGACTCGATTCCAACAAAATCTCATATCTGCGTCATATTCGCCTTGTCTATCCAAGTCTGAAAAGCAACAAGACTCTGAGGTGGTGCCACAAGTATCTCCACCAGAGGAGTTCAAATGTCTTTCCATAGGATGACACATTGCATTTCTGCGCGGTGTATGAATGAAAGAGAAACAGATGCTCGGCAAAAAAAAACCTTAACAAGGCATGGGAACTTTGACTCCGCTGTGCTGACAGTTGATCCCCTGCAGGTTGTACAGTGATAGCAGTAAGGAGAGCAGCAAGGATGATCGGGAGGATTGTTGGGGAATATTTCGTCCTTCTCCACACTCGAGGAGATTCAGACCGCATCCTTGCTTTTCTCAGAACAGGCTTCAAAAGCAAGTTGTTATGAAACCATGATGAAGGTTAGAAGAATAACTTTCACCTCGTCTGCGATGAAATCGCACATGTTTCGAGCTATCCCATTGACGGTACGACTTGCAAAGGGACTAGCACGTGATCAGAGGCCAAATGAACGAAGCGATAGATCAGATGTAAGAGCATATAATAAGGAGCAGTGCAAGAAAGTATAAGAAAACTAGAATGGAGTTATTTCGATCTCAAAACATACCAAAAAAGCAACAGAAGCTGAACAACACCAAGGTGCACATGAGAAATAAAGCGGGGAAAATTAGATATGAAAGAATGACGTCAGAAAACTAGTTGAAGTTGGTTGCAATGAAATTGACGTGAACAAAGAAAGAGGCAAGACAAACGAAGAACTATGGTGGCAGTGGTGGCTGATGTGGCCAACGAGGAAGGAGGAAAGTGTGAAGTAGGGAGAGGGCAACTACAGACAAAGGTACCATGGATGAAGGGGTGTAGGAAAAGAAGGATGCAGTCGGAGGAGGGAGGAGGAGTTTTCTTTCAAGCTATATTCACTGGCATTAGGGGAGTAGGTTAACAGGAGCAAGGGGTCCGTTTCCCCCCTCAAATGGGGGTATGGTGACAGAATCCATCAGGGGTACGGGTACTAGTTGTTGATGGTACTAACTAATGATAGTTAGGTGGGTGGGGTAGTACCTGGCCAGACTTTTGAAGGAGTTTGTGGAAACTGAACCCGGTTTTACTAATAAGTTTAGTCTACTCAGTTTCTTTACTCAAAGCCTGTTCAGGTAAAAATCAGTACTCAGAAGACTCAGCCCCAGTCACTGAGGCGGCTAGCCCACAGCGGCGGCCACTGACATGAAACTTCCGAAGTTCGCCGGTCCGATCCGATGATCAGCGTAACCGGGTAACTTGCCAGGTGACCACCACCGGCACGGCGTACCCGGAACTCGGCCGGAACTGCGCCTGAGTCTCGGGAGCGCCTTTTAACTCAGCCGGGCTCAGCCTAGTTTGTTCAAACGGCGGCGCAGGCACGCCGGTCAATTCACTATAATCACCCTTTACACCGGCGGGAGAAAGTGATTCTCTAAAAAAAGACCGTGAGCTAGGCACAGCCTGGGCCAATGCGCCGCCTGGTGAGCGAACTTCTGTGTTGCTGCCGCATGGCAGTGGGCGTTCTGGTTTCCGCTCTGCTCCCTCACCGGCTTCCATACCCCTAACCCAATTCCTCTTTGGCCTCTGTCCCTGCCCGTCTGCTGGTCCTTTTCCCTACTTCCTCGCTTACGCCTGCTCCCCGGCTACACTCACTTGCCAAAGTTCTACTCCCATACTTACTTCTTGCCTCTTTGTTCTGTGTTCCAGTGGGTCTTCTTCCTTTTCAATCTTCTTCTCCGTCGTCCTAATCGTCTTTCCTCCTTCGGCAGAACTTTTTGCTCATTGCTGCGACCGCTTGTTTGGCTGTGGAAGCCAATCCGACATGCCCACAACCTTGCGCAGGCTATAATTGTACAGCAGAACTCCTTCTGCAAGGTCAGTACAGCAAATTCTCTTTTCCAGATGGGATTTTTGGAAGTAAACAATGGGACATCCGTGTGGTCACAAGAGACAGCCTCATAACACAGAGACAGTTCATGGTTTCCTCAACAATTTACTCCTTGAACATGTTGAAAATTATCTTTCCCAGGTCCAGATATTTGATTCGGAAAATTTCTTGAAATTTTCAAACAACGAAGCTAATGTGGCAAGTTGCAACGAGTGGAGCGAGCTGAATCATTTTCAACTGTCAGTTGCGATGCTAATGTGGCCCTGCATGACACTTGTTCTAGTTGCCTATCATTGCAGGGAAACAAGTGCAGGAGCATCCAATCCTCCTCGGGGTCTGATAGTGAGAGAATGTGCTTGAAGCCGCCCGATGCCATAACCATCTCGTGTCCTCTTGCTCGTCAGTGCCGTACACTACCGTTGTAGTTTCTTGTGGAGCTCAAAACCAGCTGAATTGCAACCTTGATATCAGGTTTCTCATTATCCACAATGCATGAATTGAGAGCATATGGGCTGCAGTGTCAAGGTAGTCCCGCAGGAAAACACAGGATGCAAAGCAGGCAAAAAGATTCATTCCTATAGGATACCTTGACATATTGTCAGCACTGAATTTGTTTTCAGGAAGCATATCCTGTGGGGCTCTCGGAGGAATTCTGGCTGCCATCATCATTGTGATCTTGGTCGCAATGGGAAGCTTGCTCTATCGACGAAGAAATTTTCGTTCTCGGTACTCCTGCATTGCAGATTCTTCATGATGTTGACTTCGTTGCAGCGAATTCGAAATAAATGCTGAGAAAACGTCAAGAGACGGAGCAAGGTCCCCGATATGATGTCACATCTTCAAGATTTCACAAGGATGACATTCTGATGGTGTTTGGGTGGTCCATAACCCTTACATTTCTTCAATATTTGACGAGACCTACATACTTGTTTGGATTGAACATTCTTGAATTCTCACCGGACTCATTCCGTTGATTGTCTGGGTATGGCATCTATTCTCGTGCTGTCTCCTCAGAAACCATTTTCCTTCTACTCGGCTGGTCCTGGTCCTCCGAAATCCTGCTTGCCTCCCGCCCCCACCATAAACACCATCTCCCTCCGGTGCACCGGTGCTGCTATAATGCATTATAATTCATTTTTTCGGTGGGGATTTGTACCCTGTTGCATCCTCCATCGCCCCAGTCCCTCACTTCAACTCACCTGACCTGCTTATCCGTCCTCTCTTCCTCTTCAACTCACCCGACCTGCCTATCCTCTCCTCCCATCCCGTCCCTGCCTCTGCTCTCCCTGCCTTGCCCCACATTCTCATTTTTCCTCGGTTTGCCGCTCCTCAGGCTGCTCTTGAGGAAGGTACTTAAGCAGTTGCTGCTGTTCGGTCTGGTCCAGCAGATCAGCACGGGGTCATACTCTGGTCTATTTCAGGGCAGATTACTGCAGGCCTCTTTTTTCCTGCTTACTCTGCTCTTCTTCCCTGCTCCTGCTAGAGGCCGCATCTGCTTCCTGTACCGATGTCCATGCTGGTAGATGGAGGCAGCGGCCGTCAGATGCCATCGCGTCCTGCAGCACCATTCATGCAGGACGCGATGTCGCATCAAAGAAAAGCATCGGCGCTTTCATTTCTCGGGGGAGCTCTGTGCGGGTGAGTCAACGAGGGCTGGGTCTGTGGGACGCTGTCTGACATGCTGGCATGCAGATTGGGTTGGCTCATGTTTGTAGATGCGCTCTGTGTTGGAGGTTTCTTGACCTCGGGGGATGACTTGTACACGTGCACCATGACAGCAACACCCGTATGCTTAGCCACGCTCTTCATTCTCACCCTCAACATTACCAGTGTGGACGACATGCGAGAGTCCTATTTTAGCTATGGGTAAGCCCCTTGATGCTCGCCATGTCTTGACACACTTCCTAGATTCTGGAGGTCGAGCAAGGTTCAACGACTTTCCATGCGCATCTCTTGCATTCTCGTAAAGACAGTATCAAGAGTGGAGGTATCAGCTGACATTGATGCTCAAGGCTGTATGCTCTGTCGTGGGGTCCGTCGTCAATCTTGTATATGGCAGCTGGACAGGACGAACTCCACGGCAGTCATGGCTCGACGGCGTTGTAAACCATCCCTCTTCGTGATGTTATTTGTGGTTTACTCCCTGATTCCAGGTGGTGGCTTCTACCCAATTCATCTTCTTAGGTTCTTTGGTCTTCTGGGTTGGCAGGTTGCAATGTAGGTCTCATGGTCATCACACTTACAATTGCACGTAGAGGTCACGACTTCTCGTCTATATGAAGGCCAACAACTATGAGAAAGATTTGCATTGACGACAACTACAAGGAAGATTTGCATTCAAAAACTCGTAGCTCGGTTACGGAAAATTACTTGACATTCTCAATCTTCACTAAGTGCGCGTACGATGATGTCTGTGCGCAGCAAAGTCAGCTCTGCTCGAAATACGATCGGGAGAGCTCACCCGATTCAATCCTGTTGCTGCAGCAAGCTCGACCTGAAAAAAGTGCAAGCAGTCAAGTATCGAACGATGGGAGAACATTGGATGGTATTAGTATAATTTTGAATCAAATTTACCAGTGGAATTGGTTCGCCAGAGCCTTCGGAGACGACAATCTTGGTCGTCGTGGGATTTTTCTCAGAGTTGGCAATCTGACACCAAAAAAATCAATGTGGCTCGATCTTGTGGCTGAATCGTCCACCTGTTTCTGATACTTGGATCTGATCTTCCTGAAAACTCGCTGGAAGTGTCCAGCCTCTCTATTAACACGGTGTTCAAAGTGATGCAAGCAGTAAGGCTGGTGAATAGCATAGGAATACATACCCACTCTGAAGGTCAAACTCGACAAGAGGGTACAGCTTACTAACTCCCGCATCGTTGCTCATCATAGTGATAAGTACCTTTAAAATGAAATTGAGCACAGAGCCTCGTGAATTTAGCAGGGTTCAAATACTTTGAAGACCATGTTGTGAAACTTGTGAACACAATGCAGTACAGACATGCTGACTGGACGCATCCCCTCCATCTGATTTGACCGGAATTCCTTTTTAGAAAAGTCAAACCGTGAATTGTAGCAGAAGTGTCAAGAAACCTCGTCGTCGGATACAGTCCTCACGGTAGCTTCAACACTTTCGATCCTACACAATATTGGCTTCTGAGAGCATCAGAAAAAAAACTTACCCTGTGTCGGTAACATCCGAATCGCATTCGGTCAGTCTCAATTTGATCTTCAGGCACAATTAGATCCAAGTGAGCAAACCACGCAAGACATACGTCGTCAACAAATTCTTTGACCCCTTTGTAGCTTTGACGAAGGAAAAAATCACAATGTGCCAGGACCTTTCATAGGTGTAAGACTAGGGTGGATACGAATGAAGCTATCGAGATTATGCTTCTCACCAACTTCTCCATGGGTCCGTTCATCCATTCATGCTCTTTCAACTTGGAGACACTCAGTACAGTACTGCATAGGGTGTAATACCTGAGCACAAGAAGGCCTCGCGCTGTGATCAACTTGCAGGGTCGAGCGTATGATCTCACCACATCCCTTTCATTTGAGATCAGATGGCAGGGCCTCTTGCCTTCCTTTCGCACCTGACCGACGATTCCTTCAGGAAGCGCAACGTACGAGGCCTAAACATTTGGTCAGGTCTCATGCCTCAAAACACGAAACCGTTTAACCTCTTTGATATTTTGCAGCAGCTCTTCTGCACTGTCTCCCTGTCGTCAATCATCACTTCAAATGCTATCGCGCTACATCGTGATGCTCTCACCTGAAACGGCGCACAACCCGTGACCATAATGTACAGAATAATCCCGACAGACCACATGTCTATCTTCTCCCCGGAGTAAACAGTACCCGTCACCTACGTCAAGTCTGATTAGTTCAATCTTGTGAAAAATCACTCGACCTGCTCTGGTGCAAGATGTGATATCGATCCCACAAGCATGGTCTGAAATACATCCCAACCCTGTTGAAATATTCCAGCATGCCCGAAGTCAGTAATTTTGAGATTTCCCCTGTTGTCCAACATCAGGTTTTCTATCCTTAAATCTCGGTGGCACACGCATTGCTGATGGCAGTACAACATGCCATCCAACAGCTGACTGAAGTAAAACCTGGCAGCCGCTTCACTCATGGGGCGTGTCGGAGAGATGTAATCCTCAATGTGACCTCCAGCACAGTATTCCATCACCAAAAATATGGAGGATTCAGTCTCGAGGACCTCATTCACAGACACGACTGCGGGATGATTCAACATCACCATAGCTTCGACTTCACGATCAACTCTCGACATGGATGCCACATTTCCTCTTCGTATAATCTTGACGGCTTTTTTCTCCCCAGTTTCAACGTTGTTTGCCAACTTCACCACTCCCTCTGCACCTTTCCCTAAGGTTCTGAGCAATCGATAGGGTCCAATGATATCTCCACCTTGATAAGCATTATCAAACAGTTCATATTCTCGTTCGACCATGCTGGCAAGTTGCATAAATTCTTCCTTCGTTAGCTTTCCATCTCGATTGTCGTTATACCTAAGCATGATTCTTTCTGCGAGAACCTGAAGATAATTCGGATCGATCCTGCTTGGCAGAGGTTGAGAAACCTTTCTCTTTGCTTTGCCTGCATCGTCGTAATCTTCACTGGGGTCGACAAATGCTTCGGGGTTGATTCCGTCTTTACGGATGGCTTTTAGGAACACAACCAATTCATCCATGGTAATGTCATCAGATTCTGTAGTGTCGGCCAATCGGTAAAGCCATTCTATGAATCGCTTCCTGCCTTTGCTGCTCTTCAGCGCCTGAACTAGCATGGCTCGACGATCTTGCTGACGCTTTTCTTCTGCGGCAAGGGCCTCCGAGTCCTCCTCATCCATTTCTTGAGTCTCATCCTCTGATTGACTGGGATCATTTGCAAGGAAGTTCTCCACGTCTATGACAGCATCATTCGAGTCTGAATTCACTTCATCATCAACCCCAAAAGCAGTATAACTGCGAGCAGGGGATGGTTCTGGCATTGAATATGAATTTTGGTCACAATCCAACTCCTGTAGCTCTCCATGCGCGTTGATCCTTCGTGCGAGGATTCGCTCTCCAGTATGAGTTCTGCGATTTTTCGGCGATCTCAAAGGAATTTGATCCTCGTTATTGCCGTCATTTGTACTTTTTCTTCCCTTTTTCTTTTTCAAGCGTTTCAACCAAACCTTGGGATGTGGGATACATCCACAAACGACTTCTTCGTCTGGATATTCAACTTGACGCAGATAGTCCTGAAGGAGAAGAAATTCGTCGAATGACAAATGGCCTTCCAACGCAACATCAAAATGATACAATGCCACGAGAGATCGACTAATGTCCGGTCGAAATGTAAGTAATGGGATGTCGAGGTCTTCTAAGGACGAACCCTGGACGGCTTGTTCTTGAAAGTGTATTAGTTCATCAAGAGTAACATACCCCGTCTTGTGAGTGTCCACAGCATCAAAAAGCCGTCTTTCCTTTCTATGTCGAAAATCACGAAATCGGAATGTCAAGAGCAAATATAAGTCGCTCCAGTGTATGTCCCATGATTTAGGGAACAGGAAACATCGCTTGGCTCGCTTGTCCTCAAAGGCGCTGACATTAGACAGCAACCCACCACCTTGATTTCCATCGTCATCACCCGTGAAGCTTGGACGTCTTCCTTTCGTCATTGAACCAGCTCTTTTTAACAAAACCTAGCACCAGCTATACTCAAGGGATGAAGCAGGAGACATGTCGATAGCGAGACGGATGCGAGTGAAAAGGCATGTGGAACTGTGTAGATTCGCGGGAAAGGAGGGAACAGGGGGGTTGAGTGGATTGGAGGAGCGGCACAAGTTCCTGCTCCTGCCGCTAGTTCCTGCTCGTTGCACTGAAATGGTTGCGCTGCATGGATTCCCCCACCTTACGAGGGGTGGGGTTAACATGGTAGGGTGGTAGTGGGGATATCTAGGGGTGGATGGCATTGTAAATTGAACGCAGAGTCTGAGGTACACCGGTGGTGTTTTGTTCTTGAATTCAACTAGATGAGGTGGGTGGTGGAGGGTAACTTGGCCAGCCCGGCGCCGAACACCGTGAACATTATTCACGAGTCAAGTTGTGCTCAGTGGCCCGGGCCCGAGTCTGCTTGACAACGGTATCTGATCGTCTTCGATCCCCCTAACTTTCGTTCTTGATCAAATGAAAACGGCCATCCTTGCCGAATGCTTCCGCCGAAGTTTATCTTTAATTCATGCTAATGTATTCAAGCGTAGGCCCCTTCTTTGAACACTCTAATTTTTTCGAAGTAAACGGCCCGTGTAGCTCGTGCATTCGAAAAGCTTCCACGCACTCATCCCCTACGTTCGTGGTGGATACGGCGTCTGAGAAGGGATACATGAGGATGGAGGGAGAGATGAGGTCATGGCCAAGCAGAACATCCCTCTAATCAGCAAGGAGGCGGAGGCGGTCGGTGGGGTCGGGAACTTCAACGCCAACTACATCAAGAGGAACGGCAAGGAGAGGGAGGACTGCCGCACTCCGTTCATCCTCTCTTCCACTCTCCTCTCTGAATCCATCCTCACCCAGGCTGATGTCACTTCCTGGCACCCCTGATGACACCCCTAAACCATCAATATACCCCTTCGATTGGACTAAAGACTTCAAGTTCCTCGTCCGGGCCTCGGCGATGGCACCTCCGACAACACGGCACCAACAAATTCGGCACAGATGCATAGCTTGAATCCGTTCCAGGACTTGGTGTTCATTGAAATCCTCGAGTCCATATCGATGCCTTCAACTTTGATGTCAAGCCTGTTTGCGATCTCCAACAAGACTCTCTTGACCGTCTTGCGATGGACGTGTTGCCGCCGTTGCACAGCCCCTCCATCTCCTTCCTCCGCGGCGTGAAGCGACCAGATGGGCCGCCGTCACGACTTGATGATGATCTTGATCTCCTTGCCGTCCTTGCCGCCTGCCTTCTTCTGCAGTCTTGATGCCTTCCGAAGTTGAGCTTGTTCCTAGAGACACTGAATCGATCACTGCCGCTGTGCGGCTGTCAGCTCGACTGCGAGCGCCTCTCTGATCTTCGGGTCCTCGCTGAACAGAGTCAGATGTACTCCCTCCATCGCTTCGCTGCGTCGCTGGCCTCCGGACTGCCCCCTTTGCCCAGGGTCCTCTCTTGGCTCGAATCTTGAAAGATCGATCGTGCACGATGCTCACATGTACAGCTGTGAACTTGCGACCATCCATCGTGAAGCCTCCTCTCTTCCCTGCCGGCTGAGAGCTTCTCCGCCTGTGCATTGCGGAGGAAGGAAACAGTCACCGGGATCTCATACGGAGCCTTCCCTGGCACATGATCGCTTTACTCTCTTGTACTAAGCTTCAGCGCGGCTCTGCAGCCAGCTTCTCCTTGAGCGCGTTGCGTCCCACTCCCTGCTCCTCTGGCGTCTTCGCCCACTCTCCCAGCGACATGAACTCCAGGCTCCCCGGAGAGTAGAAGGTCACGGTCGTGGAGGTTGCCAACGGCCTTGTCCAGGACCGTCAGCTTGATCGGCTCGCTCGTCCCCGCCTCGTTCAAAGAAGTTGCATCTTCGATGACTGCTGACAGCTCGCTGACGAGCTGCATGTCCTCTTGGCTTGACCGGGAGATGCTGCCTCCATTGTGATCCTCTCCAGGGGGCCTCTGTAAACCCTAAACCCTTCAAGTTCGACAAGGGCCGGCTGCTCTTACTAGGCACTGCACCTAACTTGAACCCACTAACCCTAGTAGGGAGGAGGGAGGGAGGGAGGGAGGGAGGGAGGGAGGGAGGGACGGAGGGAGGGACGGAGAGAGGGACGGACGGACGGAGGGACGGACGGAGAGAGGTACGGAGGGAGGGAGGGAGGGAGGGAGGGAGGGACGGAGGGACGGAAGGAGAGAGGGACGGAGGGAGGCTGGATGAAGCAGATGGAGGGAGAGCTTCAGACTTGATGTCTTTAAGGGTGTCTGACATTTCTATGTTCTAGCTTCCTCGAGGCATGGCGGACGACGAGAAGGAACCAACACAAGCCGACGGAGGGGAGGCTCCAGTCTTCAAGAAGAAGCCAAGGCGAGGTTGTATCCGAAGGAAGGAGAGAAGCAGCGGAGATGAGGAGCCGGAGGAGCCGGTGGCCAACATCAGATCAGCGATCGAGGAGACCAAGTTGGAGCAGAGGCTGAGGAGCGGGAGGTCAGGGGTAGATGTGGACAAGTTAGCCAATGTCTACGACCCTTTGAAGAAGAATTTGATCGAAACCTTCGTCGAGCAAACGCCTGCCAGCATGCTCGACAGTCAGTTCAGCACGGAGGACTCCGCAGAGCCCGAGCTCGGCATGCTAGAGAAGCAGCTGCACAAGTACATCGACGAGAGACTCAAGGGATCGGAGAGACGAAGAGGCTTTCCGCCGAGGACGAGCTCTACGTGATACCCGAGGAGTATCGGGTAAAGTCCAAGACAAGGCAGCTAGGGGACGCAGCTGAGACTTGGCTAACGGGGATAGTGGAGGTGGAGCTCCCTTTGGAAGAGAAGCTGAAGAACACATGTTCAACAGTGTGGTGGGGAGGGGCCATTGAAGTGGGAGGGGGGTGGGGAGGGGCCATTGAAGTGGGTAGGGAAGGGTGGTAGTGCCAGACTTGCGTTGGAAGTCGAGAGTATCTTGGACGGATACGGTGGTGAGGCCAAGGTTATGTATTTGGAGTGTTTTGGTGGTGTCTAGGACGTGAAACGGTTGGGGACATCGAAAGCGATGGCGGAGACAAGGCAGGGTGATTCAGATTCTTCTTGTTTGATGTCATGGTTGCCAGGGATGACGATGACGAAGCCTCCGTGATTTGTAGTAGTTTGGTGAGGAGGTCTTTGTAAGGGTCGAGTCCATAGCTGGAGGCGATTTTTATGAGAAGTCTTTAAGTGTATTGAACTTTAAAAGGATATGATTGTTCAGTGAGTTGTATGGGATATGTTGTTGTGTTGAGAGTATAGTGAAACAGTGTGGGAATGTTGTTTAATACTGTGCCCGCTGAACATTCAGTGAGTGGGTAATTAATCAAGATGTGCTTTCATGCCCGCTGAACTTTTAGGGGGGTATTTGTCAAGGTGCCCTTTTAAGCGGCCCGGCGGCGCTGAACTTTGAGGGGCCCGATTTGTTCAGGTGTCGTTCAATGCCCGCCGAACTTTTGATAGTATTTAAGCCCGCTCAGTGATCGGAACTCAGTTTAGGCCCCCGGGTATTTGTTCAGGTGCCCTTTCAGCGGCCTACTGAACTTTTAGGGGTCACTTTGTTCAGAATGGTCACGACTCGTCATATCCAACTTGTATATATACCCTCACACCACCGGGCCACCCGGTGGCACGGTGCGCCGGTTGAGTGACGGTTGATTGAAAGGCCTGCCGGGACCGTGCCGGGCTCAGACTCAGGCCCGGGAGGCCGCGGGCGGCTAGCCTCCTGCCTAGTCACTAGCCTGAGGCCGGGAGGCTTGCCGGGCGGCAGACGGTGCCGGGCCTGAGTCACAGTGACTCCTCCACGGGGAGCCTACCGGAGTACGAAACACTCCGCCACTGTTGAAAGTAACTGAGTCCACCCCGGGCCCAGTGATCCGATGATCAGCAATTTCGGGGAATTTCCGAACTGGACTTCGTTCACGGCGGCCACTGTCCTGGCCGGCGGCGGCAGTTTCGGGCCGCCGCCGCCGCCGAAGGTCCGAAGTTCCGCCGAATTTCCCCACTACTTCGGCCCTTGAAGGTATCAGTTAAGTTTGGGGGACAGCAGTCGGCAGGATTGGGTTTGGTTCTCGCTGTCTTTTCTCTTCTCGCCGTTTGGCCTGCCAGGCTGTGCGACGTGTCAGGGTCAAGCCTCCTCGACTCTCCTGATTGTCCTCGTACTGATTTTTAACTTCACTTTGAGTAAAGAGACTTCTGTAGGATTTTGCCAAGGTATGCCTCAATTTTGTGTACAGGGTAGTCGCTGGGAAATAAGGGGTGGTAGCTTGGTTGGAATATTAGTACCAGATAATTTCAGATGGTCTCAAATCTAGATTCAAAGTGAGGTTACAAATAATTTTAGTCAGGGATAATAGTACAAATCAAAATATTTTTATTTCCTCTCTGAGGCCCTCCCCCAGACACCTACCTCGTTCATCATCGGCATGGATCGACGCAATGCAGCTGCTGATGCCGACTTGAGAAGAAGAAAGCTGGAGCAGAGAGATCATGAGACAAGGCAAAATATCCGAGAAAGGTTAGTTGGTGAATCTAGAGCGCAAATCCCCTTATGCTTTGCATCACTTGAGGCTTCCCATGTCTTGAATGCTCCGAAATATTTGTCTTGTGACTGGGACATGGAGTTTGATTTGATTCCTTCTGTTGGTGTCTTTTTTCACGATGTGCATAAGAAGCATAGATGCGGATTGATCAAGGAAGTCACTTCAGATAAAATGCTTGAAGTGTATGTGCTGTACAGCAAAGAGACTTTGACGGAAGTGTTTGGGAACATTTCCCAAGCCGACAATCGAAGATATCGCGGATATCTCGATTCCATGCAACCCAACGATTGTTTTCAGAGCATCTACACGGATATTCTTCCACTGGCTGATGTGGTCGGAATATTCAAAGTTACATTTCCTTTCTGTTCTGTCCTAAGTTCCATTCAGAGTACTTCAACATTTGCGTGTGATCGGATGGCTTTGTTTTGAAAATGTGAACAGGGACGAGCGACTCCAAATGGGTTTCTTCCAAAAATTTCGTCTGACAGCTGATATGCTGCACTCATATTTTGGACAACCAGGAAATACGATCGATTATTTCAAAACCTCTACAGAGCTTGGGATAATCAGAGACACTCTAAAGCGATGGCTCAATGCTCGTGGAGCTGTTAATTGAAATTCAAGGAAAGCAAGGAGGCTTGACTTCGACATTCATATTCCTGTATTCAACTGCATACTTGCCTTATGCAAAAGGTCCCAATTGATTACAAGCTTCAATGTTACGTGTACAGGATCGGACAGTGGGAAACAATTCACTTGGTGCATAGATGCAGAATTGTTGAAGACTGCTTTGTTTCAGAGAGAGCTGCACATCCCTCTCAAAGCGAATCCTTATCATTTAGGACCTGCAACGGGCACTATCTATCTTGAAGGTCCGCTGTATTTTACACTCGTTTCCAAGCCTTGAACGTCGATCGGGCTGTAATTAAAATGAAATTTTCGAGAATCGTGCGATTAGGTTGGACTAATGAAATAATCTGGGAATTCCCAGACCCTTGACTCTTTTGGCGCTTCGTTTTCTCCCATTCTCCCTCCCTTAGTGCTTTGTGGAAGGGGACGGAATGAACAGGGAATGACAAGGGAGAAGGAGAGTGGAGGGGATAGGACAAACGATCATCGGATTCAGAAGGAGAGTAGAGGGGAAAAGACAAACGATACAGATTGAAGCATTGATTGAGTTTATCTTGATTCGCAGTCGATGCCAAAGCCTGAAACAGATGCTCGTTGAAATCTTCCATTAGGTTCGTCAAATTGGAACTGTTGGTTTTCAGAATCATGTCATTCAGTAGCTTGACACTAACCTACTTTCGGATGAATCATGCCGCATGCAAGTCATGTAGCATCCGGCCAAGCCTTCGTATAGCATCTGGTTGGATCTGACATCAGTGTGAGACCACCTCGACCAACGTGGTTGTTCTTCATGGACCTTTCAAACTCTCAATGGCGAGATTTCAAACTCATTCCCCGCGGCTATTTAAGGCCGATTGACCGAGGACGTCACTGGTTCTAGACTCGGAGGTTCAGGCATAGCAAACTGTGAACTTTCTCTACTTCCTTTTTTTATCGTAATCTAAGGTTGGTCTGTTTGAACTGAGCACACTGAGAGACACAATGAGTAGAATTCTGGCCCCGACGTGCCACCAAGCACAACAGCGAGTCGGAGCACGACCGTACTAGGACGCTCGGCGCCCTTTCCAGACGAGGGATGCTTTGAAGAGATCGTTAATATCGAGAGCTTCACACCTCAAGCAGGGGTTAGCATATCAGGCTTATTACATCGCCACGGCCAGCTTCATACGGTCGAGAATAACAAGGTCTGCACGCAGGGACCCTCCCGGTCAAGCGGACGAGCCGGATCTAGCTGCATCAGGCCCTGGTTGATCGTGGCATGCCGCAATATATGGACCTTATGGACCAGATATGGACCTCAGTGTCGCGGGCGGACCTCCTTGTCTGCACAGTTGATGCAGACTTTCCTCCCTAATCTTGAGCGGCGGGCGCACTTATCCCAGGTTCAGGCAGCTCTTCTCCGGGCTCATGGCAGCTACACAGTGGAGCTCTATCCCCCCGAATCCGCGCTTGGCGGCCGGATGCTACATGACTTGCATGCCAGTGCGGCATGATTCATCATGCCTGTATCATGACGATGGAGATGGTGATGACAAATGATATCGATATTGGAGAAAAGGACTCGACGGTTTGACATTCAGTGTATTCAAGCCTCTCCGGCTGGCTTTATTAGCGGGCCATGAGATTGATAATCTGATCGAGTTTAGTGCTCAAACTCTGATTGATCTCAGATGATATATTTCTAATCTCGGATCTGATTTTCTGATCCCTTTCCTTGATCCTGGATCTCATTTTCTGATCCCTTTCCTTGATCTCGGATCTCATTGCCTCAATACTTTCATTCAAGTTTTGATTCACCTCCTCGATTGCGGTGAACAAGTTCCGATATGGAGTATGAATCAAGAAGATAGGGACTTCCCAGTTGAACAGCTTACCAAGTTTGTCGTCCTCGGCTGCTTTGACAAGAAATTCTTGTACTTTTTCACAAGAAAAGTCGAAGACGGCCTGGTCTCCATTGACAAAAATCCCTGTCGCGGCGATCTGCGCCTCCTTTCCAATGACATCGCTCTTGAGAACATGAGATACTCGACTAAGCTGATAGATCTTTTCGAATAGTTTCTCCGGAGCCTCCGTGATCTCAAAACAAATGTAGTGGTTCGTCCTAACCAGAACGCTTGTGAAAGGGGCAGATCCTCCCGGAGTGACTGATCTCACGTTTCTCCCTGGATCGTCTACAATGTCTTTGAATAACGTGCAGAGATATACGTCTTGATTGAAAGATAAACACATGTCGCATTGAAAATTGTAGCCTTTCCCTGGAGCAGTTCCTGAGGTCTCTGGAAGGGAGCTGTATTCGAAGCTCGGCGGCATGTTCTCAGCCTTCGGGATTACTGATTGCCAGGCTTTGTTGTAATGCTGGCGGAAACTCTGTGAAGCTGTCCCGCTACTCTCAAGATTCTTCCCGATGCTGTCATCAAACTTGAGACTCTCACGGCGTACACATCCTATTTCATAGCATCTCGAGAAGATGCCAGCTTCAAAGAAGTTTCTTGACTCTATATGACGAATTTTTGCAAAATTGGCTACGCTACTTCTGCCGAGCTGGGCTCGGTTCGCCATGCAGCCCTCGAGACTGAGCGCGAGCAAGAGGAGGAGGCGGAGGAGCATCATGGACATGGCTAGTCTACCAGAGTCGCTTCAAGTTGCTGGAAGTTGGTTTGGGGGGCCTCTATTTTCCTCCTCCAAGCCCTCTTTTTCCCGCCCTCTATCGCACCAAGATATCCTACCAAGGGAGTAGAGTTTTAAAAACGCCGGCTTTTTAAACTAAAGATTTGATCGGGGAGGGCCCAGCCTGATGAGCAGAGGGGTCAAAGCCAGCGCCAAGCCCGATCCGTTTGGGATGCTTCTTGCATACTCGTTGATGAAAATGTATGATGTTGAAAGATATGATTTTCTAGCTTCATTTTGATCTCTCCCATCATGGATGTTATCATGCATCTGCTACTCATGCTGTCTGATCAGTCTGATGATGCTGTTGTTTGATGATGCTGTTTGATGATGCTGTTGGATGATGCTGTTGGATGCCACTGCTGTTGTTTGAAGATGATTTTTGATGATGCTGTTTGATCTCTTTTTCTCTCTGATACATACTATTAGATGTTATCAGGCCAGTGTTATCAGATGTTATCAGATGCTACTCTGCTCATCTGGGCCGTTTGGGATGCTTCTTGCATACTCGTTGATGAAAATGTATGATGTTGAAAGATATGATTTACAGGACACCAACATAACTCCTATGCATAACATCTATCAGATCGATAACCTTACATTACCTATTATGACCATTGTCAATTACATGTCCATACCTTCAAGTTTTGGAATGGTCTTTACTGGGACTTACAACTCTTTACTTTCTTGGATCATCAATCTTGTAACTCCATTCCTACTCTCTCCATTCTTCGAATACGACCAGTTGTCTCTGAAGACTCCAGAGAGTTCAAGATGCTCGCCTCCAAGATCGACAAGGAGATCTTCAGAGAGCAAAGCATGAAGAAGGTCCGTATCCCAGGGACGAACCAGAGACGGATGAAGAGGATGATGACACCGAGAACGAAGACACTGAGATTGACAGTGAGAACGAGGAGGATAACGAGGAGGGAAACGAGGAGGATAACGAGGAGGACGTCGAGGAGGATAACGAGGAGGATGTCGAGGAGAAAGAAGAGAAAGAAGAGAAAGAAGAAGAGTTTAATGAAATATTATAGCCTACAAGATTACTTGGAGATAGCATCATCAAAGCTGCCCTCACAGCAGTCCTCGAAGTGGAGCTCGGACTCATGCACGGAATTATGGCCAAGCTGGGATATGGGTAGAGTGTCAATAAACCTGTTCTTCATAATGAGGTCATTCTCTTGCCTCCTCATCCACACGGTCACAAGGTATCCAAAGGCAAACTTCAAGAGGAGAGCAAAGACGCTAATGAACACGAGTGCCACAGAGACGACGACGTACTGTAACATGATTTCAATGGAGAAGGCGCGCGGAGGTCATTGAAATATCACTCTTCGGCGCGTTGTTGCACATCATCTTCGCCCAGCAGTCCAGCTTGGCAAGGCTGTGGATGATGACGAACAGGCTGTAGACGACGAGATTGCAGCAGACCACTCCAAAGTAGAGGATGTAGGGAGAGGGAAAGGGAGAGGGAGAGGAGACAGAGGGTGAGGGAGAGGGAGCCTCCGGGGCCCGGGGGGGGGGGGAGCAGTTACCATGCGGTAGTGTCCGTGCTTGCGGTTGGCGTTCTTCTTGCTGGCGAACCACCTGAGGTCGGAGGGGGAGGGGGAGAGCGACAGGAGAGGAAGACGAGCGATCATGCCTGTACCTTTACACGAACAAGATCATGGCACTGCAGATGACCACGGTAGCGCCGATGATGGCCTTGAAGGACATAGCGTCATGGCAGGAAGAAGGAGGAGGCAGTAGGAGGACTCGGAGAGATCAGGAGGTGCAAGGAGGAGGGGCAGAGGAGAATTAGAAGGAAAAGAAGTAAGGTTGCAGGTGCAGCAGGAGTGGGAAAGGAGGAGAAGTCCTTCTAAACAAGGTTGGGTTTGATGAGATCCTATCTCTCTCCATCTTTGCCATCCTCACCGCCACAGTGCAGTTCACCCTCTCCTTTTGGCTCATGTATGACTGGCCTGGCATCACCAACTGGTTTGTCTTCAACAAGTGCGAGAGCATCAGCTACATTAGCGAGAACATTGAGCTCAACAAAGGGACTGCGAGCATCATGGTGATCTCCAATGATTGTACCGAGCTGGGTCATACTCGGCATCATGTCGAGCTACGAGGCTCCATTCACTCTGGATGGAGAGACTAAGAGGGTGTTTACAGCTCAATGGTATCACCAAGGAGCAGGACAGGCAGCATGACATGCATCTCTTTAGTGCATTCATGCTCAGTCTCACCTATGTGGTTGTGCATCTCTTGCTATCCTTCAAGTTCATGGCGGAGCTGAATAGGATTGGATCTTACCTCCTCACCCCCACCTTACTGGATGCATGCATGGATGGTTTCGGTTCGTGATGATCTATGCTTTCTTTGATGTCGGCGTCTTCCTACTCTACTGCATCGTCTTTGTGGCGGTTGATTGCTCGGATATCAAGGTCTATCTTGAGTCTCGCTCTCCCTCTGCCTCTCCCTCTGCCCGGAGTCTGCCTCTGCCTCTGCTTCTGCCTCTGCCTCTGCCTCTGCCTCTGCCTCTGCCTCTGCCTCTGCCTCACCCTCACCCTCACCCTCACCCTCCCTCTCCCTCTCCCTCTGCCTCTGCCTCACCCTCTGCCTCTGCCTCTGCCTCCCTCTCCTTCCCTCACCCTCTCCCTCACCCTCTGCCTCTGCCTCTGCCTCTGCCTCTGCCTCTGCCTCTGCCTCTCCCTCCTTCTGCCTCTGCCTCTGCCTCTGCCTCTGCCTCTGCCTCTGCCTCTGTCTCCCCTCTGCCTCTGCCTCTGCCTCTGCCTCTGCCTCTTCCTCTGCCTCTCCCTCCCTCTCCCTCGTTTTCCTTCTCACATGCTGCAGGTTGGCTTTGGCCTTGCTGGGTCTGCGCCGCCCTCTGACGAGATCTGAAATCTCCTGTACATTCCTTGTATAAAGTTGTCGCACTTCCCCTCCTCTTCCCTCATCCTCACTCTACCGTAACCGTCACACGGTGAAACTCGCAGTGACTATCAAGGGCGTGGCGCCCTGCTTCTGCAAGCACGTCCCGTTGACCCTCGGTCCCCGCACGCAGAGGTTTTTGCTCGCTGTTTTAGTCTTGTAAGCAATGCGATCACGAAGAGGAAGAAGAAAGAGCATCCAGCATCTACGGACAGAGTTCGTTCTGCGAAGGGGCGATTAGAAGGAGTCGAGACGTCGATACTGTTCCAAGGCCGTCATGATCCTCAGGATCCCGCGATCAGGGAGCAGTCAACGAGCTCTATGGTGGCTGACGAAATTGTTCATCGGCTTCAGAGCGAACACCGCAATTACATGATCTTACTCCGTGACGAAGGAAGTTTCTGTTGCTTGGATGCTTTTCAGAACAGTTTTATTTCATTTTAAACAAAATTCTTTTCCATCTGAGCTTACTCACGCTACTACTATTGAGATTATTTGGACTATTACTCCAAATTTGATTTTGATGCTTATTGCTGTTCCGTCGGATGTCAAGTACATCTTTTCGCAAGTCCCCGTGACCGTGAAAGGGCAGTACGTCGCCCCCGCGGAAAGGAAGCGCATTGCCGTGCACGTCAAGGTCCCGGAAGGAACGGTGCCGGAGCGGGGTCCTGGCTGCGGCCAGCTCCCGCTGAGGACCTGCCGCAACGAACCCTACTGCCCCGCGTTAGGTGAGGCGGTAGAGGTGGGAGAGGAGGTGGAGGAGGCGACTGCGCGCTACCGAAGCTGGAGATTGTGGCTGCGTTGAGGGGTGCCAAAGCCAGCGCCAAGCCCGATCCCCGGAGTCGGAAACGGTTGGGGACCCTGGCTTTCATCGTTTGCGTGCTCGCCTGTTTCGGCAGTATCGCCGCCTCGCATAGTGTTTTGTTGCGGCGGATTTGTGAAATCTTTAGTTAAAGCCGGCGTTTGAAAAACTGCTCTCTTGGTAGGATATCTTGGTGAGCGGGAAAAAAGAAAAACCGACCCACCCTTCAGGGCTTGCGAGACTCCGGCGGAGGGAAATACAGGGGTCATCAGACAGGCCCCTCCGACAAAGCAAACTGCGGCGACTCTGGTAGACTAGCCATGTCCATGATGCTCCTCCGCCTCCTCCTCTTGCTCGCGCTCAGTCTCGAGGGCTGCATGGCGAACCGAGCCCAGCTCGGCAGAAGTAGCGTAGCCAATTTTGCAAACATTCGTCATATAGCGTCAAGAAACTTCTTTGAAGCTGGCATCTTCTCGAGATGCTATGAAATAGGATGTGTACGCCGTGAGAGTCTCAAGTTTGATGACAGCATCGGGAAGAATCTTGAGAGTAGCGGGACAGCTTCACAGAGTTTCCGCCAGCATTGCAACAAAGCCTGGCAATCAGTAATCCCGAAGGCTGAGAACATGCCGCCGAGCTTCGAATACAGCTCCCTTCCAGAGACCTCAGGAACTGCTCCAGGGAAAGGCTACAATTTTCAATGCGACATGTGTTTATCTTTCAATCAAGACGTATATCTCTGCACGTTATTCAAAGACATTGTAGACGATCCAGGGAGAAACGTGAGATCAGTCACTCCGGGAGGATCTGCCCCTTTCACAAGCGTTAGGGTTTAGGGTTTAGGGTTTAGGGTTTAGGGTTTAGGGTTTAGGGTTTAGGGTTTAGGGTTTAGGGTTTAACCTTCTTCGCAGTCAACGGCTGCACGACGAATGGAACCTGCGCAAAGGCGGAGTGTCAAACACGAGGACGATTGATCCCGCTATATGACAAAGGTCAGAAGAACGAAGAAACGACGATCCTCTTCTTCTGCAAACAGTGTCAATCATTCACCTCCGTCCAACCACCGGAATTCAACTCTCCCGCGAACATTGATCAACACCCGACCAGGGAAATAGAAATTGCTTTTCCCCTGGAGCCAGGAGAAATTCAGATTTGGATTCAAAAAGTATCAAATCGCAAGGCAGCAGGCATGGATTTGATCTCAAACGAGATCCTGAAAGCTTTACCTGACAGCGCAAAGGAGGAGATAGGAAAAGTGATCAGTAGAGCGTTGACAGGAGACAAAACGTTGTTGAACATGCTAGCACGAGTCAGACTCCTTCCAAAAAACGAGCTCTGTCATGTTCTGGAAAATATGCGTCCTATATGTATCCTCTCGTCGGTGACGCGAATCTTCCAAGCGGTGATAGCACACAGACTGGCAAAAGCAGCTGAGAGGCACAAGCTGTTAACAGATAACCAAGAGGGTTTCCGACCCGAGGGCGGGACGATCCGTCAAGGTCATAGACTACTTAACATCATCGAGGAGGCCCAGAGCAGTCAAAACAACATTATACTGTTATACCTCGACTTTGCCAACTTCTTCAATAACGTCGCGGTTGAATCCATCGCAAAAATCATGGAGGTATATGGATTCCACCAGCGCGATGTCGACGTCGCAGTCAGCTGCAGTCAAGGCATAGCTCTGCAAATCCAGACTGAGAGGTTTGATACAGCAGCAATCCCGCTCCTCCGGGGATGATTAGTACCAGAAGGACAGAATCAAGAATTAACTAAAGCTATAAGCGAACGTAATGCAACTTGATCAACAACAACAAGACGAGAAAGCAACTCAACACCCTAATAATCTGTCATTTGCAGACGACCTTGACATTCAGTGAGAGAGATGAAAACGCTTGTTCAAGTGGTAGAACGATTCTGTCGATGGAGTGGATTAGAACTGAACACGAAGAAATCTGAAATCACCAGCTTTGATTATCGGCTAAAGAGGGAGATCCAAGGAACACAAAACATCAAGTTCTTTGACAAGGAGTTTGTGAACCTACCACCGACAAAATGGTTCAAATATCTAGGGATCCGGATCAGCTTGTGGAGACCAGGAGGAAGAGGCAACAAGGCGCACACCTGCCCCTTCACGTGGGGAGAGAAAGAACACATCTTGGAGAAGACAAAAGAACTGACAAAGCTGATTGAATCATCTGCTTACTCTGCAGCCCAAAAATATTACCTGGTGAAGGTAGGCATCGTCAATATCTTTAGATACTCGGCGGTACTGGTGAGCTGGTCTTGGTCAGACTTACAAACCTTAGATACCCTCTGGACCAGAGCATTCAAAAGAGCTATGGGATTGAGCAAGAGTACAAGCAACGCTATCTTTCACCTACCTTGGGACAGAGGAGGCCTCCAACTCCCCCATCCAGCACCCATCTTGGGAAGGGCGGCGATTCGGTATCTAGAGAAAGAAACGAATAAGAAATGCAGGGTGGATGATGATATCAAAAGCAGTCTGATCCACAAACTAACATCATGGTGCAACCAATGGGGGTGTCAAACAATAAACCAGCTACAACGAGAAATCAGATCGGGCAGACTCAAAGAGAACGAAGAGATAAGAGGACCGGAAAGACTCGCAATCTGGATAGCGGAAAAAATGCAGACCACCATCAGTTGGGAAATGATTGAAAGCAAGATGAAACCGGGGACAACAGCCATCTTACACGACCTGGAGGACAAGATGCTCTCAGAAGAAAACTCCCTGCCGTCCGGAGAAAACTCCCTACCTACATCTCCTGCTCGGCAAGGCTGGGAGAGTTTTGCAAAGGCATGGAGACTACTGCCCCAAGTAGGCTTCCACTCCATGACAAGTATTTTACCCGTCCCAGATACCGAGGGCATCTCCCTGCACCTGCCCATGCGACTCTGGCCATTCCCAAAGCAAAGGGAACAGGCAGAAGAAATCCTCGCACAATATCTACAAGCGAATGTCATCTGGGCAAAACTCGGACTTGAGCAGGCAGGAACAGGGAAGAGAAGAAGGCCAGCCAGGGAGGAGGGGAAGCCCCCAAACAAGAGAAGGAAAGGAAAAAGGGAGGCTAGCCCACATGAACTTCAGCCACACAAGAAACTAGCCAGACCGGACCAAGGGAGAGAGGAAACGAATACGAAGGCTTGCACCCGGGTAATTTTGAGGCGGTGGCTCCAACATGACCCCACCTGTTATGATGAAGGAGGGAATCAGCAAGAAAGATTCTATTACACTACAAGCAACATACCTTTCAAAGTTCAAGGGAACATAGCCATCTTTGAGCGATCTCACATTGAAGAAAGCAAGACCGTGGATCCACCAATAGAATGGTTGGAAGCGTCGCTGGACTCGGCTCCCTTCGCATCTGCAACAAGGGAAGAGGACGGTAATAACCGAAGAGACTGCAATCAAAGCATCCATCTGCTGCTGGAAATAGTTAATGCATTGGACGACGGCGAAACAGAAGCTACAGCATGGTGGCAAAAACTCGAGGAGGTAGTATCAGAGGTTCGACAACAAACAACACAACCATTGGCATACGAGTTTTTACAACACCTAGCAGAGATCACAGATTGTGACATCAGTACATTTCGTAACTGGCCGACACTACACACACATCCCCAGGCTCTGAGCAACAAGAGAGCAAGGGAACTGCAACGAGTGGTGGTTTGGATGGACAAACAAAAGAGATTACGTGAACAAATCCTGGATACAATACATGTCATTCTGATAGGATGGAAGAATAACATTGATGAGATACCTGAAGGTTTTGAAATTATCAGCCGGATCCCGAAAGGCGCTCAAATAGCTTATGCAGCAAACTTCTGGAGGACAGGGAATAGGTGCTTGACAAAAACTGTAGAAGAGTTATGGATACTAGTTGGGCACAAACTCCCAACATACTTACGAGACCAGCTTCAGGACAACATCCTCCCAACGTATGAGGAGCTGTGTAACAGACGAAGGGATCAGATCCAGCCGCGCAGCAATCATCAAGGCGGAAGGCATTTCACAGCAGCTATTGAAGGAGACATCATGCAGGGCAGAAAAAACAGATCCATGCGAATAGGATATGTTCTCCAACAACAAGAGATGACGTCAGGAGGAGGGATGAAAATCAATGGGAAGTGCAGCATCATTCGAGCGAACACAATCGCAATTGGCTTACTTCTGCAACATGTCCTTGAGGAAGGAATACAGATCAAAAGGGGAAATCAAGTCACAATAATGTACCAGTCCACACGTTTCCACCGCTTTATGACAAATACGTTGCGAATGGATACCATGCGATACGAAGACGAACTGCTGGAGGACTTACATGATCGGTTACTCACTTGCATGAAGAAACTCGAAGGGAGGGGAATCAGGATCCGACTCCAACTAGCAAAAGAATCTCAGAGACACATTCAAGAGGCAAAGGAAATGGCCAAGCAAGGAAAACAAGCATTCGCCTCGGGATGGGAGAAAGCAATCTACGATAGCCCAATGGAATTCATCATTGCAGGAGAAGAAAATCCTACATCAGGATTCGATCGCTTGAAGAAATGGGACTACATTATCAGACAACAGACAATGGTGGCAAGGATTCGAGCGGGAGACCTCACCTTGACAGAGAAATTCATGCTCGAAATGCATGTGGGAAGAGATTTACTAGGGAGAGCGTTCAGATTATGCGAAGGGTCAGTTACGCGAACAGCTATCCAAGCGATCACCTTCTCAGCACCGACGAGGAAGAAGCTCTTTCAATGGGGGAAAACTAACTCACCATGTTGTCCTCACTGTCCAGACCGAGAAGAAACCTGGGGACATGTTCAGCTTGCGTGTAGGCAATTCCAAGATATGATCCAAAAAGCACACAACGAAGTCATGAAGAAGATCAAGGTAAGACTGCAGCAGAGCTGGAGGAAACAAAGGGTACAGGTCAATTCATGGTGGGACACTCCAATACGCATCGTGATGGAAGCGATGGGGACTTCAATGCACCGAGAAGGGCAATGGATACCAGACGGTTGCTGCTACTTTGCAAGCATCAAACGCATTGTCCTCATCGAATTTGCAAGGACATCGGAATATGACGGAGTCGAACAAACAAGTCTGGAATGCCTGAAGAAGAAATTTCAGGAAAAGGAAGAGAAATATGCCCCCCTACGAGCAGAAATCACAGCTTTGCTACCTGACCATGAAGTGGAACAAGCAACATTCATAGCAGGAGTGAAAGGATCGATCATGGAGAGGGAATGGCATGAGAATTTCAGGAGGCTAAGGGTGGATGACACGGAATGGGAAGGCATCAAGACAGCAGCAATCAAGCAACTGCTGGCGGTACAACATACGCTATGGACGGCAAGAAGGGTAAGAGAGTCGATGTAGTCCGATGGGGGCAGGCGCGGCTCATGGACAAGCCACCCATGGCGCATGGTCATGGGCTGCATGAAGGGAAGAAGAGAAGGGCTAGCCAGCAGGAGAAGATACAGCCATGCCACAGTGGGCGACTGCATGCTGGGGGGGGAAGGGGCAGGAAGATGCAATGGAACTTAGCGAAAATAAGGAAGGGGACCGGGATCGGAATTGGAACGGGCCCGGAGGACATCGTTACTGAAAACAAGTAATACGGAAGCAACCAGGCCTAAGGGGCCTATAGGAAAATGGGCCAACCTCCCAAGGTTGGGAACCCCTTTAGACGGATCATTTCCCCCCCACCAGACATGCACGCAGAGACAAACTCGAAGCACGACAAGGAGACTAGGGGGGAGGAGGAGCCATCAGCCCCAACTAATAGGGTTTAGGGTTTAGGGTTTAGGGTTTAGGGTTTAGGGTTTAGGCGTTGACAGAGATGCAAGAGAGCAACGCACACGAGGCTACCACCGATAGGTCAGTGCACTCAGCATGGGTGGAAACCCACAAGAAGGACAACGCGCCAGGCAACATCATCTCTCAAAATGTCAATGGATGCAGTCAATTCGTGCTGAAACACATCCTGGCATATTTGATTGAGAAGTATCATCCATCTATTGTCATGTTGCAGGAAGTCAGGGTGGGGCGTGGTAAGAAAAAGGAAACAGATCTCCGAATGATGATCAAGAAAGAATGGGGATGTTACCGAATGTTTATGACCAAGGGTACAGGGTTTGGGAGAAAGGGTAAGAGTGATCTACGCCTTGTGATACTGGCGCATGCTGACCTTCTCCCGCGCCCCCCCTCCTCGCCAAATGGTACAGCATTGGAGGGGGCACACAGACAAAAAATACAAGTTTTACAGATCTCACGAAAAAAAGAAAACATACTTTTGTGTAACATTCATATGCCAGTGGCGACGGAGGAGGGGGAACAAGACAGCATGTGGAAGGCGCTAAGCCAGATGCTCAAGCCAGACCCAAACATCAAGCTCATCATCATCGGAGGCGACTTCAATGCATCTCGACAACATCCAGAGATCCCCATGAGAATAGGATACGGAAGCAATTCGAGTGTACACCGTGCAGATGAGAAAATGGAGCAAGTCTTAAATGAGCTTGGGCGAGTCCAGACAGTCACCTGCGAGAAGATGTGCAGAAGCAGCACACACTTCACCTTCTCCACATGGTACAAGCAGGGTCACCACCAAGCGAAACTGGATCATATCTTTGCTTTCCATCATCCATCTCGCACAGTAAGCCTGATATCGCAGACCGCAGAAGACTGCATCATAGGAGCTGCCGTCGACCACAGAGCACTCGTAGTGAATGTGAGCTCGCTCGATGCTGAGGGGGAGCAAGCCATCCCAAAGATTGAAATTCTCCCGCAAAGGAGAGATCGAGAAGCAATTCCTCGACGAAAGAAAAGGGTGGTCGAGATGGACAAGTTATCAGGAAGATTAGGTGTAGAATGGGCAATAGCACTGGATGAGAAGATAACAGCGGCAAAAGCCCTACACCAAGACTTGGACATTCTCGAACTGATAACAACAGCCCTCCCCACCAAGGAAATCCCCCTACGAGGCTCAGGCGGTAAACGACATGCATCTAAGATTCAGATGGATCTGAAACGCAAAATCAAGCAACTTCAAAGGGATCTGAGAAGCGCATCAGAAATTCCCGACTTTATTGATCGGGCACACAAGGAGTCAAGCTTACACGCAGAAATAAGAGAGAAGATGACCAAATTCAAAGAGATCTGCGCAGCACAGGACCAAGAGATATTTCTGAAAACTTGCGACGAACGAAGAAGACGCTTGGGGACGATAGGGAGTAAAGAGTCTCAAAATGCAATGGGCAAGAAGTCAGACTTTAAGCCCAAAGCCCCAATGCTGAGTCAACTGTCAGAGAAGTGCCACCCAAATACAATCGAACTTACGTCATGGAGGGATCTCCAGCCAGCGCTGCAACAGCCGGAGACAGCATATCTTCAAGAACTGAACCCGTTAATCGAAACATTCTTACAAAGCAGCTCCAAAGAATCAAGCAAAACCTTTTGGAATGCAAGACATCAAACCATGCTACACGTCGAGACTCTCGGGGCGAGAAACCAGGCACCACAAAAGATGTACATAACTCTGGCGCCTGCACACGCAATCGTACCCATCATCCGAGGACTGATCACCCGGGGGCAGCCAGGAGGGTGGCGCTTAGTAGGATACAAAAACATCGAGCAATTCATCCCCATGAGATTGGCAAGAGACCTCGAAGATGAAACCCACACGGCAACCTTCTTTGCAGTGAACGGCTGTACATTGAACGGAACATGCGCACGGGCTGAATGTCAAACAAAGGGAAGAATGATTCCGCTGTACGACAGACGTCAGGAAAACAAAGAACCAAAGATCCTCTTCTTCTGCAAAAGCTGTCAATTATTCACTTCCATCAAACCACCGGACTTCGACCCCCCA